CAGGACAATGACTGGGTGGTGGTAGTGGTGGTGTATGGATGCTGTTTGATGTGACTGAGCCAAGGAGGCAATTTCACGTTAAATATCGATGTCGGCCACCAGAGACAAAATAACTCTTCCATTTCCAGTGAGCCAATAAACAAGATATCCAAATCATCAACTGCCACCTAGTGGCAAGGAAGAAGTATTTCAATTTTTTAACAGGTTAAAAGAGACTCAACCTTCAATAAGACAAAACAGCTCCTCTATGACACCCAAACGCATCCTTCACTGTTTCTGTAAGGGTGGGTGCCCATGTTTTGCTTGCTAGTCTTCCAGTCTCTCTGTTCATATGCATGGCCTCTATTCTGAGTTCTTCCGTTTATTCCCTTTTCACTCTTTAATCATCCTACACCTCGTTTCTTTCCATCACCTTTATCTGCTGACTCGTACTCAAACTTCTTTGAATGATGAAGCCTCTCTCTGATTTTGCCACATGCTTGTTCACTATTCTTCCTCCTCATTCTGTCTGTTATCTCTCTCTCTAAATTTCCATTTCCTTGTGCTATTTCTCCTTTGGGGTGCTCTCTCTATTGTAGCTCCTTATACTCTTTTCCTTTATATTTCCATCAGGCCTCCTCTCTGCCCTCTTTCAGAAAACAATTTAAATCTTCCTTATCTTGCATTTTCCTTTTGACGACATTCTATTTTAAGCTTCTTGTTTTATCTCCCTAATAAGTGGGTTTTGTTTTTAAAAACAGATCCTCTGTTGCAGGAGCAGCCAACAGTGTGGTGCCTTCCTGATGTCTGGAACTACAATTCCTACTAGCCCCAGACAGCATAGGCAATGGTCAGGGATGATGGGAATTGTAGTCTACAGCTTCTGGAAAACATCCTGTTGGCTCCCCCCGCCCATAACTCTTTTTAAGGTTCCTTTTAACGTCGCCCACGAAATGTTAAGAAGGACTTAGCAAAAATTGCCTACCTAAATGGGGCACTTGCCAAATATTTGTGGATTGGGCGTGAGATGAAAATCTAGTTTTTCCTCAGAAAATTCTCTCTTTTTGCCCCATGTAACGCTGAATCTACTTGCACTTTGACATGCTTTTGAACTGCTAGGTTGGCAGGAGCTGGGGCCGAGCAACGGGAGCTCACCCCAAATCCCCCCAACACTCTAACCATTATGCAACACTGGCTACACCATTATCAGTGTAGTGTCACTGCTGTCTTGGGGGCAGCACTTGTCATATTTTGTGTTGTTCTACAATCCACTTGTCATGGCAGGGATACAGTGGCTGATCTTGGAAGGTGTTCCTTTTCACATAGGGACCACAACCTTTTATACCGTGAATGTTGGAGGTAGATTCTTCATCAGTAAAATCACATCTTAAGGTTGGAAACTTCACAAAGCCAAAACTTTGTGGAAAAGCTTTGCTTTTTCTACTCTATGGCATAGGGAGGATCTCCACACAGCAGGAAAACCCTCTATAAATAAGTCAGAAATTAAATTGTTATAACAAAATTAAATAAAAAACCCTATAGGAAAATGTGTATAATTTTTTTCTGCTCTCTGGCGCCATCTGGTGTTGCATGTTTATAGTGCATGCATATCGTTGTTTCTTTACTAATGTAGCTGAGTCCATGGTTATAAATGAAACTTCTTAGTTCTCTTCATAGACCCTTCATTCATTTTTTTTACCCAGTAGCTCTTCCGTCATTCAGTAATGATACCTTGTCTCTGATGGATATACCAAAATCCTTTCTGGCAGACTTTATCTGCCTCAAGTCTAAAACAAGGATCAGGAACTGGCGGCCTCTTAGTCAGGTGGTCAACTGGTCCTATCAAAGTAAAAGGAGGGTGTGGAAGGGAAAACCCTGGAGTAATGATGGCTACCATAGGTCCATCCAAACAATGGAGGTGTGGAGCTCGGACTTCCTATTCCCTTGCCACCATGGCCTGCTATCAAAACTAATTGATGAACAGTGCCCTAGAATTTTCAAGTAAGCCTAGTATGTTCCACATTATGTGCAGCTTACAAGGACCCCTTTTTAATTATAGCTTGAAGTTGTTGTTCTTTTTTGCAACCTAGCAAATATACATCCATAAAAATAAATCACAATTTTCCAGGGCAATTTCCCATGATAAAAAGCTTAATCAGGGCATAGTTAACAGCCCTGTGGCTGCATTCTCAACGCAACAATAAATTCTACAGCACAGCATTTATTGGTTTATTTCCTCTAGATAAGGTATTGCACAATGTGCTACTTTATCATCAAAGAGAACCAGACTTCTCCCAAGGGCAACGTGCTAGAAAACACTATTAAATGATAAATACACATTCTATCCTATTATGATCCATTTTCAAAGACTGGTCTACTTGCTTGCTTTTTCAAGTTCTTCAACTTGTGCAATGAAAACAGATGAGTGCCACTACTGTTATTATTGAATGTTAAGAGAGCCTACTTTTAAATGCCATGTTTACTTTTAGGGTGAAATCCAATGTATGAACAGACAGGACTTCCTTCTCCATCCTTTCTTACAAAATCTGCTCTAGAAAATGCCCCAACTTGCCAGTTTTCGGGACATGTAGGGAGTGGCACTGTGGGTAAAACCTCAGTGCCTAGGACTTGCCAATCGCATGGTCAGCGGTTCGAATCCCCGCGGCGGGGTGAGCTCCCGTCCCAGCTCCTGCCCACCTAGCAGTTCGAAAGCACCCCCAAGTGCAAGTAGATAAATAGGTACCGCTTTATAGCGGGAAGGTAAATGGCGTTTCCGTGTGCTGCGCTGGTGCTGGCTCGCCAGAGCAGCTTCGTCACGCTGGCCACGTGACCCAGAAGTGTCTCCAGACAGCGCTGGCCCCCGGCCTCTTAAGTGAGATGGGCACACACCCTAGAGTCGGACACGACTGGCCCGTACGGGCAGGGGTACCTTTACCTTTTAGGGAGTGGCAGGGGGAGGAAAAGGGGGGAGTCCCATTGCATGAGCAGAAGTCTGCTCCACTCATGCACAGACCCCCCCCCTCAATTCAAACCCTCCACTTTAAATGAATACATTTGTACAACTCAAGTGCTTCAAATTTCTTCTTTACAACAGGTATGTTTTTATAACACAGCATAGCCCTTTTTCACTGTGTAGAACTGATTTGATTTCACTTTGATTGCCAGTTTGACCAGGATTGGTGTAGCATGTTTAAACTTCCTTGTTCTGGTGAGCAACCTGGCACAGAATTCTGCACCAGCTGGAATTTCCAGTCTTCAGAGGCAGCCCTATGTACAACACATTGCAGTGATCTAACCTAGAGGTTACCAGAGCACGAACGACAGAAGTTAGGCTATCCCTGTCCAGACAGGGGCGTAGCAGGACCACCAACTGAAGCTGATGAAAGGCACTCCATGTCACTGAGGCCACCTGAACTTCAAATGACAGCAAAGGATGCAGCAGTACCCACAAGCTGCATACCCGCTCCTTCAGAGTAAGTGTAACCCCATGAAGAGGCAACCTCCTATCCACTCAGTCTAGGGAACCACAGTGCCTCAGCTTTATATGGACTAAGCTTGAGTTGGTTGGCTCTCATCCAATCCATGATTGAGGCAAGACGATGGTCCAGCACATCCACTGCCTCACCTGCAGATGTAAAGGAGAAGTAGAACTTTGTGTCATCAACATATTGCTGACAACGTACTCCAAACCTCTAGATAACCTCACTCAGTGGTTTTATGTAGGTGTTAAAACAGCACAGGTGATAAAATTGAACCCTGAGGAACCCACATTGAAGGCTTCACATGGCCGAAAGGCATCACCTTCTGGAAATGTCCATCCAAGGAGGAGCAGAGCCACCTCTGAGTGGTGCCACTGCCTGAAACTTGCAGTCGCTCCAGAGGGGTCCCATAGTCGATAGTATTGAAAGCCACTGAGAAGTCAAGGAGAATTAATAGGGATACATTTCCCTTTGTCATGAAAATGGTTCTAAATTAACAACCAAGAGAGCAGAACATGGTTAAAAAAATACAGTGACATTTTTTTCAATCTGAGCAAATACTTCTGTCTGCTTGGTTTGAATGTGTGGATGGGTTAAAAAAACTGACCCTGAGCACTTCTCCTTGAACGGAGATTGCAGATGTGTGAATATAAGTTGTGTCAATTTACTCAAGAGTTCAAAAGTGCACTGGCAATTTATGTTTAAAGTAAACAAGCTGTATTTGCAGTCATATAATTGGACCTTACAACTCTAGCAACTGAATTCAAAATACTGCTAGAAACCAGAAGTAAGCAGACCTACTGTATCCCGAGGGACTTTGGACTTATACTTCTAAAACGTCTTCCACAAAAGTATGGCAAAGCACTTTTGAAAACAGCAGCAGGACTTCATAAGCTATTTGTAACAGCACCAGCTAAGGGGAGGAAATCTACCACACCCAGATAGTTCTTTAGATCCCAGCCACTAGGCTGGATGCTCAGATAGGTTAGTGGAACCTCTATGCAATGGAGCTCTTTTGTCCTACAGCCCCTTCCTTGGACCTCCAAAAAGCTTGTCCTCTCGAATGATACGTGATGAGACAAAGGGACGATGCAGCAGGTCACTTCTGAAAGACATCAGTGGACCCAAGCCATTGTCTCCAAGTTTAGGCTGTGACCCCCGAAAAGGTTAATAAAGAATGCATTTAATTTTACTGTATAAAATATTTTGAGATTCTGCCTCGTAGCTATGAACTGTAGCCCTGTGCTTTGTCCTATAAACTAGCCATTTGTTTTATTTTAAAAAGCCTGTCTGGTGTACTGAATACAGACTACAGAGACTTGAGTTCAAATCTTGACTCAACAATCAAGATCACTGGGTGGCCTTCAATAAAACATCCTTCTTGTCTAACTTACTTCATAGGGATGCTGTGTGGATAAAATGATAGCAAAAACAAGCATATTGTTCTCAAGTTCCTGGGACAAACCTATGATAAATAATATAAATCGGCATTTTAAAGGGATGTGCTTGATTGTAAATAAATAAATGTAACACAAACTGGGAGAAGAAAAACATTTAGAAACTTTAGTTTTATGTTTGTAAGTACATATTTATGATAAGCGTCATACAGCAGTTGCATTCAACTCCCAAAGTACATACGCAGGAGAAGCAGCACACAGTACCTGAACATCTGTAGGAGTCCCCAAAAGCAAAAAAATCAGTTTAGTGTGACAAAACACCCTAGGGGTGTGCAGTATTCTTAGCAGTTAGGTGAAGGATTAAACAAAGAAAAGACAAACATACTTGAGTACAGCCCTATTCTCATTTGCATAACATAATTCAAACAATGAACTTTCAAGTTCAGTGCTCCAAATTGCTTTCTTGAAATCCTTTCCTGGATCAAGAAGAAGAGAGAGGCAGCCAGTTCCCCAATGTGACTTCTCGCTCATCTTCTACCCCTTGCAATGCAATAACTACTAGTTGTTGAAACAATGTGATGCCAAAACAGATAGCAACAACTGAAGCTGAACTTCCGACTTTGCTTCCCTTGCTTAATTTTTTTTTGTAAGGCTTCAGCTTACAGCAAAGTCAATGTCTCTTCTTGAAAGGCAACCCAAATACATGTATTTCAAAGTAAACATTTATTTTACATTTGTGTAGGCCACACACAGATGTAGGACAATTTCTTCACATTTTGAGCCTTCCCCCAATGCACGCACACCATGTCTTATGTACAGCAGTAGGTTTAGAACGATTCCTGAACTTAAGGTGCATAGGCAGATGAAGCCTTACGCTGGAAAGAGAACAGCTTATAAATTTGCTCATAAAATGACATGGCAAAAATGCCTTTTATGTTATCAAAGTCTTTTCACAACATAAACAAGTTTAAAATAATGTGTAAACTTGACTTCAGAACCAATAAAATAACCCTGCCACCCTAAATCAAATTATTTCCAGTATATATCTTTCAAAAAGATCCCCCATTTTTTAAAATAAAATTCATATATATATATATGTATATATATACACACATTTATAACTTAAGTGTTGTTTGCTGTAATTTTTCATGCAAGAGTAAGAGATGTAACCTTCTTAGAGAGGTCTTTCTGAAAATGCAGTAAAGCTCTTCACTCGTGCAAAGAACAAAGGGGTGTACATCTTGTCGATGTCAAAAGAAGAGACTGCTGTTTCACCAGTAGACCTATAAAAGATATTACAGAAACACATTAGACCGGTGCTGCAATATTGCAGAAAATGGTACTGAAGACAAAATTCAGCTTCCCCAAAATCTTAAGATTTCATTTTATTTTATTAGTTTCTGTAACTTATGGCTGCAGCTTATGGTTACAAAAATGGATCTGAAAGCCATGTGGGCCAACACCTTGTAAATGCCAGGGGAAAAAATGGAATAAGAATTCCAGTAATCTCACGAGGTGCTGAGTAATGCCACCTCATAAAGCAAATAATTATTTGAACCATTAAAATTTACAAAAAAGAAAACAAAACCCTGTAACTGTTAAGTATTAAAATGATCTAATCTCAATTTGTAAAAGCCTGGGGAAGCAAACATTATCTTCAGCTGACATCTGAATACTGTATATAGTGAGAACAAATTTATCTTCAAGGGAATGGCATCTCCAAAACCAGGTGCCACTACCAAGATGCCCCTGTTGTGCATTCCTGAACCATGGATTAATGCAGGACAACACAAGCAAAGCATCTTCCCCATCTATCTTAAGGACTGAGTTGACTGTACCAAGCCTCATCTATTTACAAATTCTTGTAGTGGAGGAAATCCAATTGTTTTTCTTTCGCTAATGCATCCATCAGTGGAATGGGCGTAAAGGCAATTTTTAGCATTCCGCCCCGTCCCACAGACTGCTCCAGGACCATCCCTAGGGGCCCCCACCATGGCAAAGCCCCCACCATCACCACTCTTCCCCACTGGTAGAGGCTGATGGAGGGGCACTGCATCCTCACCTCCTCCAGGCACCAAACATGAGGAAGGGGACAGAAGGACTGACCACTCTCTGTCATTAATCCCAACCAAACAGTATTCTTTCCTCTCTCCCTTTTTTAATCCAAAAACTTACTTGTAAGTAATGTGACAAGAGTGATGAATCCAAACAAGCTTGTTGAATCTCTGGCGGCCACTGGAACACAGCTGTAGCCCTACATGAAAGCTGTGGTCAGTTTCTTGCACAGGGACACGACAGAAATATCTGTACTTGTGGTAGTCAATTGGTTTCTACATGGAAACAGAAACAATATAGTGCTGTCGAGAATATGTAACAGTAAAGATAGTTGCCAAAGCTGAAAATCAGAGTTAAGGCTGCCGAATAAATGACACTGCCTGTATATTCCCATTTGTGAAAATACGTAGGTTCTATATATGATAACCTATCATTATCATAAAACAATCACAACAGGATGGTCAGAACTGAGAAACTGTAAGCAACAGAAGGCTTTCTGGGTGAAAAATCATCACCTAAGCAGTTTGAGTTTATTTTACAGAAAAATGGATGCTCTTTATATTTAAACGGCTTATAAAGATCAAAATATCTAAAAACCAGACTTACAGTAGAAAGCTCCTATTAAAAACATAGCAGTGGAGGCCTGCAAAAAAATTACTGGAAGACAAACAGAGGAAACAAGGTCCTTCTCGACACCTCTGCTGCCTTCAGCTTACCTCCCGTAAAGTCTTACCTCCACCTGAATTTCTATCCCTTGACTTCAACTGACCCTTGTCTACTTTCTCTCTCTCCCTGCCCACTAAAATTCTGATGTTCTACTATTTCTTGCCCATAAGCCCACATTCCTCCCCCTAAACCCGCAGCTAACAATCATCAATTATTTGGTTCAGAGCAGCAGGAGAGAGATCACAAATGAGGCATAATCTAAAGGCATGTGCAGAAACCATGTATTTGCCCAACCCCCTTCATTTATCTCCCTCAAAAGAGATTACAAATTGTTGTTAACTCTGTCTACATTTAAATGGCATTTTAAGTAACTGGTAAATTAGGTGATACCAGAAGGCAGCCTAGCATGGCAATAACAAAACAAAAAACTAAATTTATGGGTTTTAAAAAGGAAATTGAGGGCCTTTGTGGAAGTACTTTGGAGGTGTATGTATCTTCTATTTATTTTGAAAAGTTGTTTGTCTATCTGTTCTCTATGCATCTTGATACCTCTTAAGATACTGTAACCGAATTTCACATAATGGTTCTTGAGATTAAGAAGCAGGTTTTTGTCTATGTTTCGATAAAGTTTGACAACATTTTGAATCAAAATGGTAGGCCGATTCTATCAAAAGTGCACTGATTTTTTTGTGTGTCTTGGAATTTCTAAGCAACGCTGGGAACAAGGCTGATAGCTTCTTTTCTATTAAGAAATTGTGTTCAAGAAAGCATTTACTGCTTTCTTGCTATCTTAACCAATGTCTCAGTCCTCTAGCATTTTGTTTCATATGTACCTCTTCCTTCTTCTTTGTCATTACAGCAAATACTTTGGTTTGATTGTCCGTATCCTGGGAAAGGCGATAATGGCCAAGCAGGATTGCATCCGTTCTAAGGTTTAGAAGGAAAAGACTCCATTAAAATATACTTCTCAAAGAGCTGACAATACTTCACAGATACTGCTTTCCTCTCTTTAAGTGACAACTTGGGGCTGCAACTCTCAAGCCACTTAATTTGTATTTTAGTTTGCTCCTGAATGTTAATGGTACAGTATTTTAGTGCTCTCACCTTACTTTAAATCCTGACATCCCCCTTAATTAAAAGACAAGGTGCCAATCCTTTCAATGCTTGACAAATAAAATTCTCTGATACATAAACTTAACACACCTTGTGTTTTTAGTTCGTAAACGAGGAACAATAGACTGAGGTTCTTCCGGAGTTGTTAGCATCATTACTTGGCCATCTGGGAAGAATCTCATGTACCTACAAAATTAAGCAACATTAACCTGGGAAGGATGATTTTGCTTCTGTAAAATCACATAAATTTGAAAACAAAACAAAGAAATACAACTTAAACCAAGTTCCCATATATGTTTACATTTTTCCTACTTGAAAACAGGTGATTATGCTGCAATCGGCTTGTACCTGCATACAAATGTCTGTGCAGGACCACCAGAACTTGTCTGACTATTTAGTTCTGACCACCAGAACTATTTCAAATAGTTTCTTATGTAAAGACAGACTGCTCCCAAATGTTCCATGTTTGGGGATGTGGGAGTCTTGAGACCAGAAAGAGGCTCACCACACAGTGTTTTGGATCTTGGTGAGAGAATGCAACAGAACAGCATAGGTCCCCATAATTTCACAATCACAGAGATTCAGTGGTGCTACTGGAGCTATACCAGCAGCACAAGCAGAGATATCAGTGTGAAGATTTAGCACTGGGGTGTCATATCCAAGAGCAGTTAATGCTCTGTATGCTCATAGTTTGAGAAACATGGAAGGGTTCACAATGTGAAATACTGAGTCCAAGTGATTTTCAGTGGTTTCCAACTGAAAATAGAACTATGATTTAGAAATTAAAACCTTAATCCTTACAAAATTATACATGAGCATTATTTGTCAAGTTAGGGTCTTATCTGCTGCAGTTATCACTATTAAGAATAACCAAGCTGAACTGCATGAAGAAGTAGTAGTACCTGTAATAGTCCACTTGGTGCCATGCCCTATAGAAGCCATCAAGAGACTGTTCTCCTTGACGTATGTATGTTGTCTTGCTGATGTATACGCCTATGGAATAGGAAGTAAAAAAAGAGATATATAAATTTATGAACAATGACCCACTGAGTTCTTAAATGATTCACGCTTATAAAGTGATAATTTTTTAAACTTCCAATTATATTATTCCATCTAAAAACCTCTTTGAAATCCATTGGATCTCTAATATAGAGGTCACATAGTGATCCTCATCTTTCTCTTATTAATTTACATGCTGCAGTCCTATCCATTGCAACACAGTTGTGGTTAATCTAGTGGCATGAGGTCAATGCATCAAGCATGTGATATAGTCCCACCAACTCAACCACTTCAGTTTTACCAGTCATTTAACCCCTGGGCGAACTAACACTCAAACACTTCACCTATCAGTAACTGACCAGTTAACATATTACATTGGGATATATTTAAATAAGAGAGAAAATGCTGCTGCAATTGTCTTAAGTGCTGATTTTCTTGGTTAATGATTGCCTTACCATCAAATCGAACTCTAGGTCTTTCCAAAAACATTTCCCTCCATGAGGTATAAGGAACCAATTTGTTACAGGTCCTGCCCCAAACCTTCAAACAAGCCTGACGCCAGATTTCAGGGTCCCTAGTAAAAGAAAAGCACAGACATAAGAAAACACAAGGAATTTGAAAATACAAGGAAGAATGTATTTGGCTGTGATGAGAAGAGACTATTTATGAATGGCATTTATGCTACAGTTTAAATTTATAGACCTGTATTTTCCCCCACAGTAACAAAACTGTTAGACTAAAGTTTGGAAAAATGAACCCTACACACATTACCCAGGAATAAGCCTCAAAGAACACTGTGGGACTTACTTCTGAGTAAACTTGCATAGGATTGTGCAGTGATGAGGACGTTTCACCTGCTCAGAGGTAAAAGAGCAGTGGTGTGGGTTTTTTCGAGATGTGGGGGAAGAGTTGACAACCGAGAAGCAGTAAGATTCATGAGTACTGGGGACCATGCAGCACAAACCAGAATGGGAGCTAGATGGGAGACAGAATGGGACAGCCCCAGATGCACCTTAGGTCTTTAGACCCGCAAAGCAGGAGAGCCAACCATGCTTGAACACTCCAGAAGAAATAACAACAATGCCAGCAGCCAAGTTCATGCTGGAGAGAGAAATCCACAAAAATGGCTAATGGTCACAAGAGGCACTTCTGCCATAAGCAGTGAAGTGGTCCACCTTTTTTTGATCCTCCTCATCCCCACCCCCAAAGGAGGCATTGCAAGGACAGGCAAGATTTCCACTATTTAGCTCCACCCCCCGTTTGCCCCCCAAATACATAAAACAAATCTGTGAATAATTGAAATAAACCACAGAGCTGATTGGCCGGCCGGCCAGCCTGCCTGTCCCCCCCCCCCCCCCCCCGGTAAATCAAAGGTTGTTCTGTTCATGTTCTTGCTGGTTGGTTGGGCTGTCAGAATAGGCAGCTGCTACTATTGTCATTGGGAGTCATTTGGCTCACATGTTCATTGCAGAAAAGAACTGCTGATGGGGTGGGGGTGGGGAGGTGGGAAGTGCTAGAGCTTTTAAATGGGAATGATCTGAATCCCATGGACAAAAGGAAGGATGGAGAACTTCAGGGTAGAAGGCAGCAGGGTAACACACCACAGAGGAAGCAGGCAACAGAGTGATCCCTGTTACTTCATACTGGGGCAAGCATAGCAGCACAGTTTCTCCTGCTGGCCATGTCCTATAACTTCAGACCTCTCAAATACGTGGCAATCTAGGACCTGCTATTACTCTCATTTTGTTTGTTGCAGGAAGCAGAAAGCTGGATGTGACAATGAACTGATCTGCTCTATACTTAGCAAAACTACCTTTATAACATGGCTTTTGTTTTTTATAGTTGCTGTTATTTTACTTTATTTTTTATTATAATAATAATTATAAAATTTGTATAGCACCTCTCATCCACAAATCCCAGGGCGGTTCACAACATAAAAACACAAAATATATGACAAAAACAAGAACAAGAAAACACAAATCAATAACCCCCTCCCCTATTTTTATCCCAAGATAAAAGTCAAAAAGAACTATTCCATGAATCAAGCACAATTACAAGCACAAATTATTACCATTTTTAAAGAAGTAAATTTCATGGTTTCACAGTAAGTTTTTAGTCTGTTTTTGTACTTAACACAAGTATAAACTCTGTTTATGATTAAAATATCTTATTTGTTGTTTTAATAAAGTTAAAATGTTTCTGTCATTTTCCATTTCTATGTATACTGTCCTGGAATTCATTTATGTGTGAGGGAGGCGACACTATAAAATAAACACATGGTTTAAAAATACTTGATCCTTTGGCCAGTCAATTTACCAAATATTTTTAACCAAATACCCAACCCCGATTTAATACAGACTACCAAACTATGACAGGTTTCTTAAATGATAGTTGTGTTTGTACCTGGCACAAATGTAGAAGCCTCTGCAGACCAATGATAACTGTTCTAAAGACCTCAGGTCCAGATCACTGGAAACCACCCATCGAAAAATATACATCATCAGCTCCATTGGCAACACTTTGGAAAAAACAGATAAATAGTAATTATATATAATTACTCCCAGCCTATTTTAGATAGCAACTTCCAAAATAAGTGGTTCTTTGGATGTGTCTAAGAATTATTCACTGTTTATTTAGAATTGTACTATTTTAATAAAGATATCATAACTTTCTTTAGCTACATTAAGCACAGTGTGTTAGTTCCAAACATCTGTTTATCCAGAGACTGCTTATATCACTAAGCAAGTTAAAGTAATGATTCTGCATGTCAACAAAATGTTTACATGAAGCATGCAGCCCTCTATCACCTGCAACAAAGAATTTCAGCATCTATAAAGTCAACTCTCTTCTTCTGATGACAGCTGTGTCGGATACATCACATGCTATCACCAGCATACAAGGAGAAAGAATAAGTAACTATCAAGAATACAACCAAACAAGAAGTCTTTAGAGTGTTATTTAAAGGGATATGATTCTTAAAACCAGCAAGAAGAAGATGGCAGTGTAAGTTCTTACAGCAACTACTAACAAGCAGCAGATCATGGCCTTTACAAATAGGCCTCCATTCACTTGGGTCAGGAAGCCTATGAAATTAAACGCAAAAACAAAAGGTAGGATTAAAAATAACTGTAAACAAAAAATAATAATAATCCCTGCACGTCCCTATTTTTATTACACATTTCCGACACTAAATATGTATTTTTAACATGGAAATTGTAGTGTTAAGCCTATAGCATTCCAAATTATAACCACAACGAAGGACAGTTCAGACAGAGGTTTACCAGGCTCAAATGAAAACCCATGTCTACCTTTTTACTGTGCACACTATTTCAATATGAAAACTTCCCTTACCTGAGATATGAGTCTGATTCATATCAAGCTCAGGCTGACACAGTTTGATGGATGATTCCTGAAGAGTAAATTGCTGTTGAAAGTAGGACAGAAGGTCAGCCACCTTGCTATCATTCTCATTATCTTCAATGCTGGAAGAAGGAAGCATAAAGAGATTAGATTATCATACAACAGCCCCTTAACCATGTTTATGCTGAACCTATTAATTTCAATTAATTTACTTCCATGTGTGTGTATATCTAGAATTGCAGCCTTGTTCCTGAAAGGTAATGTTCTTTCCTATTTACACCATGTTTTAGAAACAACCTTTATTGGTTTCTGTCACCAATATTCATACTTGTCAATTTAAATGAGGGTTTTTCACCAATACAATTCTATATTTTTGTAAGTAAATTTCCAGACAGGCTCTTAGTTCTGGAAATTATGATGATAAGGCCCGGGGGCTGGATGTGGCCCAATCGCCTTCTCAATCCAGCCCACAGACGGTCCAGGAATCAGCATGTTTTTACATGAGTAGAATGTGTCCTTTTATTTAAAATGCATCTCTGGGTTATTTGTGGGGCCTGCCTGGATTTTTAACATGAGTAGAATGTGTGCTTTTATTTAAAATGCATCTCTGGGTTATTTGTGGGGTGTAGGAATTTGTTCATCCCCCCCCAAAAAAATATAGTCTGGCCCCCCACAAGGTCTGAGGGACACTGGACCGGCCCACTGCTGAAAAAGTTTGCTCTACAATTAACAAGTTCTTAACTTAGAGTGTATCAGCCCGGTGGCCCTACCCCTAATTAAAAAGAAACTACAGCAACTTGACTTCTCCAACACAGCTTCTTGTGCAAGAGGACCGTGTTCAGGCCTAGCCCTAGCTATTCCACCCCCTGAAGGGATCCCTCTATACTGCTTCACAATTTCTTCGGAGACTAAGCGAAGGGCTTTTACCTGTGCCCGTCTCAACTGTTTTCCTACAGCAGTTCTGTCGGGTCGTTATTCCAGAGTTCCCATCGCAAACAGAACATGCTCCTGTAATGACACGGCCCTGGAGACTATGGAACATGTAATGCTCTTCTGTCCCAACTGGACAGATGAAAGATCTCGGTTTTTAACTCCCTCGTGAATAAGTTCCATCTCCCAATCCAGCCTTGGATAGTGTCCCTCTTTTTGCAGGATTCTGATTGTTGGATTACTGAGATGACAGCTAACTTCCTGCTTAGTGTGATGAAGAGGAAAGCGGCACTAACTTCTTCCTTAACACCACAGATGCAGTCGATACGCCGCACAACCGAACGAAGTTCCAAGTAGCCTTATTGTGCAAGGACAATCGAGTTAGGACTAATCTGAGGAGCTGAAGGACCCTTCAACGGTCCTCCTCCAGCCTCAGCAGCTATTTTTTTTTTTTTCCACTTTCTTTAAGTATTCGCCCAGGACGATGTCTACCTCTACCTCCCCACCCCCATTTTATGTTGTTATTTCAATGTATACCATGCTATGGCCACTCGGCTAATGCAATAAATCTACTTTATGATGATACAGGTCAAACCTACACATATCTACTTAGATATAAGTACAATTGAGCTCAGTGAAACATGCTTCCAAGAAGATGAAGCTAAGGGTTCACTCTTAAGATTGCATACTTATTTGGGATTCAGCTGCATCAAGCTCGGTGAAATTTATGTTTGAGTAAACAAACACAGGGTTGTACTGTGCAAACTTAAACAGGATTTCTCGCATATAAAATAACAAATATGCATTCCTTGTACAGACTAGGCTTACAAATGAAATGTGTGGAAAGTCACGGCCGTGGACGTTAAAAAATTGAGGCACGTAATCTTTATCAGTACAGCTCTTGGAAAAATCAGACAAAATGCTTCCAGAAGAGCAACTGAGATCAGAAAACGGGGAGAGAGGATTATCCTGCCATTTCTTTGATCAAGATTGCTCCCTTTCAGGAAGTTTTCTTGCCCTGAATTGACAGATGCATGTAAACATGTATTTAGAAATTGGGGATAGGAAGAGATATTTCAGTTAGATCAGGAAATAGCACGCAAAGAACATATAAACTACCACCCCTGCTTCTGTAATGCAACTGTCCTTACGTGCTTTTTCTGACTTTATTAAAGAGAGTCACTGGATTATATCACACAAGTCTATGTGTCAGGTGCAGTTTGAACCCTAGATAAATCACAGAAAACATGTTAGAATGATAAATACAAACTCTTTGTGAATTCTATGCCCTCTTGGACTCTCAACTTATCATTTGGCTTCTAATTTTTGTTTCAATGTAACTATGCGGGTTTATTGTTTGTTTGGTTATAAGTTGCCTTGAGCAAAATAAAGTGACTACCAAATTTAATAAATAAAGCAAAAATAAAAATAAACTTTGATTTAAGGTAAGTGTGCATAGTGCACAGCAACCTTGCAGAATACTTCAGAAGAGCAATAAATGAGATCTAAACCTAACCTTTTACCATCTGAGAGAAAACCAGTATTAATGAAGGCTAAAAACACACACACCAGATTTTCAGTTAATTTATATCTCTTGGCATTAAAAAAGAAAAGAAAAAAAAGACTATGACCCTGTTCATGTATTACAATAAACAATGGTATTTTTGTGATGGGCACAAGCCATAAGGAGCCTCAGGCTCATGCTGATAAACCAAGGTTTATGTGCAAATGTGGGTGATGGCTGTTGTATTTGTATGAAAAATATATTTGTAAGTTTAATAACAATATGACGTGCACATTTTTTCAGAGGCTGGTTCCAGTGACTTTAATAGTTTACTCACAAGCTAAATCTATTAAGTCCTATTGAACTAAGTGCAACTTGTGTCTTAGGATCATAGGATCATATTTGCTTCAGAGTAGGATCTAGATATAGTACAACACTCAAAATATTTGCAGGCAATATGAGTTGGATATTTAATTACTGTACAGCAACTTTTATTTAAGGATACATTATATGACACCTTTGGAGATCCTTTAGAATGAAGGATTAAAATGATCCAATTGTGTCCAAAACACCTCGGGTTAAGTACTTAATTCGTTCTAGAGGTCAGTTCTTAACCTGAAACTGTTCTTAACCTGAAGCACCACTTTAGCTAATAGGGCCTCCTGCTGCCGCCACGCCGCTGGAGCATGATTTCTGTTCTCATCCTGAAGCCAAGTTCTTAACCTGAGGTAATATTTCTGGGTTAGCGGAGTCTGTAACCTGAAGCGTATGTAACCTGAAGCATATGTAACCCGAGGTATCACTGTATATTTATTTCAATGGCACTTGGAAGCAGCAACTGTGCATAGACTTGCAACTTTACAGAGTGATTTTACACGTTTACTCAGACATATAAATGTCTTACTGAGTTTGATAAGAAATTCTCTCTAGTAACAGCTTAAACCTCTGCAGTTAGGTGTATTTCAACCTACTAATTTCAGAGCACTTAGGCACATCTCACTGCATAGGACTAGGGTTTAAGTGTTTAGAATTGCAGCTATTCAGCATATTTCCTCATCAGCATCTTAAGCTTTCAAAATAATAAATATATTATACTTACTAGCTTTTCCCAATACTGTCACCATCTGGAGATCGGGTGTAGGTGATCTTAAACTCAATATCTGGGACCAGTTGCATAGCCAGACGATAGAACTTAATAGCTAAAAATAAAAGTAATGTATACTTAAATGAACTGCACTTACTTTACTGAGCATCTGCATCAAAAGCATGCTTATTAGCACATTTCTCAGAAGGTTGTATCTAACAATGCTGAAAAACTGCTCCAAAGGGTTGCCCCCCTCCCGAGCACTCATAAAATACCAGGAGGCAGTAGGAGAGGTTGACCAAGATCAATATTTATTTCTGTAAAATAAATGCATGAATCCAAGTTCATTATCATGAATGATTACTATGAAATAAGCAGTGTATAATACAAACACGTCTTGGGGACAGTCTATTCCCATACACTAAATAAATTCATACAGTCGTACCTTGGTTTTCAAACAGAACACATTCTGGAAGCCGATTCAAATTCTGAAATGTTTGAAAACCAAGAAGTGGCTTCCGATTGGCTGCAGGAGCGTCCTGCAGCCAATCGGAAGCCGCAACGAATGTTCGACTTCTGAGGCAAAGTTTGCAAACTGGAACACCTACTTCCAGGTTTGCGGTGTTCGAGTTCCAAGTTGTTCATGAACTAAGCTCTTCAAAAACCAAGGTACGATTGTATACACTTCTTACACCAAACAGGACCTTAAAGCTGAACCCCTGAATCATTAAAACTGCCTAAGGACCTATGAAAGTAGTCATAATCAACCAAAGATTAAAATGTCAGCATGTCGCCTTCTATCAGTCAGGAATAGGCAACGTGGCCTTATTTTTTCTGGTCCAGTCAAGATCTGGAATAAGGTGAAATGGGAGACCAGAGAGGAGAAGCAATTCCCCTGGCAACTGTATCTTCCTAGGGAAGGCTACCTCACACTATTAGTTAATGCACTAGTGCATGTTCAGCTATCATTTTTAACTGACATCAATGGGAAAGAAGAAGAAGAGTTGGGATTTGATATCCCGCTTTATCACTACCCGAAGGAGTCTCAAAGAAGCTAACATTCTCCTTTCCCTTCCTCCCCCACAACAAACACTCTGTGAGGTGAGTGGGGCTGAGAGACTTCAGAGAAGTGTGACTAGCCCAAGGTCACCCAGCAGCTGCATGTGGAAGAGCGGAGACGCGAACCCGGTTCACCAGATTACAAGTCCACCGCTCTTAACCACTACACCACACTGGCTCAAGAACCATGTAACTAGTCCCACAGGTCCAGGAGGGATTTGGACTTGTATTTCTTATACAACAGTCCCCAAACAGCATGACGAGCCGCTGTTCAAACTCGAGAAGTTTGGAGAGAGTTTATAACACAGCAGTAGCAGCTTTGCAAAAACAACTAAGTCTTTGGAAAACAAGCAAAACAAGTGAAACATGGTTTATGCAGAGAAATGCATTACAAGATGGGCAGATAAGTTGGCCTTCCCCCTTAAAAGTTGCAGGTATGCAATATGTCCATGGCCAATGTATAGCATCTATACATAAGCAGTGCTTGGATGGAGTGAAGATTCTAGGGTAGAGGCAGGCCTGGGTGTCAGCAGCATATAGACGCTGAAAGCGTTTTTCACCACAAGGCCTATTTTTGCTCATATCAGGTAATACAGTGTTTCTTGAAACCTGTATAAATCCACCAGTTCTTCAATGCAAGTTGGTTACTATCTCCTTTGTGACTATCCTCAAAGCAGCACTTGGGAGCCACCAGTGAGAACAGGGACAGAGAACCTATGGCGCTCCAGAACCTAGGGAACTACAACTCCCATCATTCCAGGCCACTGATCATTCTAGCTGCGGCTGATGGGAGTCAGGTGTTCATCATCTGGAGAACACAGGTTAGTCTTTATAAATTTCATCTAGGCCTCATGTATAGCCTGTGATATCTTGGTGGGCTGGCCAGTTGGTACTGACCCATTAAGACATCCTTTTCAATGGTAGTTATTGAGTTGTTGAATGTCTCTCTAGTGATGTGTACCGGTCTCCATCATTATTAACCTGCAGAAGGAACTTAAAAACGTTCCAGTTTACAAGGCTTTTGCTGTCTGAAGAATACTGTTCCTGGAAACCCTAAGATCACTGAACGGAAGAATGTTTTTCACTGCAACTGATTTCAGGTTTTTAAAAAAATTGTAATCATTTTTGGAATGTTTTAATCTATTTTACAGTGCATTCATTTGTTTTTAAATGGTGTATTTCTTTGCAGCCTTGGGCTCCGTGGGAAGACTAGGGCATAAATTCAATAATAATCTGCACTATACATTTAAAGCAGCATCACACCACTTTAAAGTCATGGGAAGAGGGACTGATTCCTAAATTACTCTGGAAACTAGCTCTTTGAAGGGAATAAGGGTTTCCTAGCAACTCTTAGTGCCCTTAACTACAGCTCCCAAGATTCTTTGGGGAACGTTATGACTGCTTAAAGGTAAAGGTACCCCTGCCCGTACGGGCCAGTCGTGTCCGACTCTAGGGTTGTGCGCCCATCTCACTTAAGAGGCCAGGGGCCAGCGCTGTCCGGGAACACTTCCGGGTCACGTGGCCAGCGTAATGAAGCTGCTCTGGTGAGCCAGCACCAGCGCAGCACACGGAAACGCCGTTTACCTTCCTGCTAGAAAGCGGTACCTATTTATCTACTTGCACTTAGGGGTGCTTTCGAACTGCTAGGTGGGCAGGAGCTGGGACCGAAAGACGGGAGCTCACCCCGCCGCGGGGATTCGAACCGCCGACCATGCGATCGGCAAGTCCTAGGCACTGAGGTTTTACCCACAGCGCCACCCGCGTCCCGGGTGATTGTAAAAAGTATAGTGGATGTTTCAACATGCCAGTGAAAATTATGTACTCTTATTCGCACTTAACCTTCTGTTTGAATGAAGGGAATGGATCAAATGCAGCTAGATTATAACTATGCTTTATTGGTTAAAGCATGGTGCTGATAAGGCCAAGATTGAGGGTTGGTCCCTGTATGGGAAAGCTGAATATTCCTGCATTGCAGGGGGTTACACTAGATTCTATGATATCAAATCCCATTGATTTCAAGGTAATTTATTTCTTGATCAATCAGTTAGGATCCCAGTCTTAGAATGGTAGCTCCATTAGCATCTTTCTCATATTATTCTTACTGAGTAATACAGCATCTAGCTTCATTTATTGTAAGTAACTTTTATAAAATATATTACTTTTTTAAGCATGTTATTTAGTAAATGCTAGGACTGGTATTGTATTCATTTATTCATTTTAAATGGTAACAGCATAAGTGATTTTTATAATGGGGCAGTTCACAACGACCTTTTTTAGTTTAGCCATGTCCAAGTCCATTTTGAATCTACCCCAAACCCCACCCTAAAAACCTGGGCTCAATTTAGGAGGGGGTTCAATACAATGTGAACTGCCCTGAGACCTGTGGGTATAGGACAGTATATAAACTTAATAAATAGTAATAACAACCCTTCCACACCCTTTCCAAAATCTAGACGGGGAAAGAAAAATATAAGCAGTTAAAGCTACACACTCCTCCAACGCTATTGGGAATCATGAGAAAACATACTTCACCAATGCTTCCCAGTTCAATCCATATTGCATTATCATTTCCCATAATCCCTTATGACAACCAAGGAATGATCAGGCTTCTGCTATCAGGTGGCTTCCTTGCCACAGTCCTTGATAGCCTAAGTTTGGGAAGAAGGGTTTGAGGGCCTGCAGGCCACCTATTATTCTCCCACTATCAGCAACAGGTGTAAAATCTGGTTTGTTTTATACTTAGGTCCTTGGAATCCATCTGATAAACTCTAAGACCATTCATTTGAAATGGGCACATTCGGAATCAAGTTAGGGCAGAGTAGTGTACTGTCTACTACATATATATCCCACCTCTTATCCAAGGAACTTGGGTTGCAAGGTTCTCCTCCTCTCCATTTTAGTCTCACAACATCCCTATGAGTTATGTTAGGATGTGAGACTGTGACGGACCCCAGGTCACCCAGTGGACTTCATGGATGAGTGGAGGTTTTGAACCCAGGTCTCTCAACACTCTAACCACGCTGGCTTATAAAGGCCTACTGGCATGCAATGGCCCCTACATGAAAGTTGTTATAACATGAAAGAGGCTATATGATACATGAAAGGGGATATAGTGTGCAAGTCATGACTCATCGAGTGTCCTACAAAAGGGCACTATGGATATCACCAGAGTTGCAGCAATTAAGAGAGATTAATTTTGTGAGCATCTCTTAAAGATTATGCTTCCCTTCCAATAACCTTCTGTGTTGAGACTGTATTGTAAGGACTGGCACTCTACCATATGTTTATGGTATAGGTGCATCTTATCAATCTCTCTTTTATAGAATAGTACTTATTGTTCCAGTGCATCTTCTAGTAAGAAATGCACTTTCTCCAATCATCATTCTGTCTCATTTTGCAGAAATACCAAGTTATTCACACACAAGAATTTTATAAAGTTTTTTATTTAAAAGAAAAGAAGGGTTAACATCACAGAACCAACAAGACTCAGGTGAACTAACCTAGCAGCCTGGAGTGTAGAAACGAAAATAGATGAGGTTGAAATAGGTGAAGCTGCAAAGTCTTATGCGGCAAATGCAGCACAGCCTAATACAGTCTTAGCACATCACCGAAACTGGATGAAATTCTATTATATGGGGCAAGTTATTTTATTTCTAAAATGTGGTATATGGCTAAAACTATCCTGTCCTAGCAATATTACATATTAGTGCATCCCAACTGCACAAAGACAATATTCTATTGTATTTTAAAGGGTATACAAACAGTGCAACTCTATGTATATTTACTCCGGACACAGTAGAACTTTACGAGTTTTACTCACACTTAAGTGGGCATAGGGTTGTAGCCTAATGTTCTTCTTTGACAGGAATATCAATGTCAGGATCATTAGAAGTCATTCTTGAGTACGAACATTTTTATATAAAAGCATAACTTGCTACAGCAATTCACACAAGCAGCATGTTTCAAAGCGAAGCAACTATTTTAAGGTTCTTTTTTAAAAATAGGATTTAATAAGAATGGAAACTGGGACAGGAGCTAGTTTGTGTTTTTCAATATCGAAGCCTCAGAAAACCAGTGACAAGAACTACCCTCAACAAATAGAATAGTATGCTATTTTGTTCAGGTTAAATTTAGCAAGATCCTAAAAGACCACCCACTGCTGCCTATTCTATATGTCAAGACTACTTCTCAAATTAGACTGCTGGTAAAAATCTGTTTCACACTGAACAATAAAAGTGAAGAGAGGGATCCTTAAGAGAAATCTTATTCAAGTCAAATTAGACATCACTTTGACTTTTTTCCAGCAAAAAAAATGGGATTATTGGCCAAATATCTCACTTGTACAACAGCTTTAAATTTCACTAGTTTTAGCCTTTTTAAAGACCCCCAAGAAGCTGTTTTCAGGCACCGGCAGCATGTAATAATTTCCTGTATGAAACAGTAGAATTTCCTTGAGAGTTTTTACCAAAACTTCCTCCTAAGAGCATTCAAAAATGAAGATGACAAAAGCTGCATAACAGTATGTTTAGAAGGTACCTAGTCACATTGTGATCAGTAATGCCATTTAGACACAGGCCAATATTTATGTGACTTTTTAGCACAGTATCCCTTCTGCACAGGAAGCTTTCCCACAGGTATATATATTACGTTGTACCAATTGGATATCAAGACACTCAAGGGTGAATTTGCATGTAGAAGAGCTTGCTTAGCTATGAAAGTTCACCAGTGTCAATAGCACCTATCTGCCACCAACACATGCTGGGTTTCTAAATATAACCAAATTCTGTACAGTGGTACCTCTGGTTACGAACTTAATTCGTTCCAGAGGTCTGTTCTTAACCTGAAACCGTTCTTAACCTGAGGTACCACTTTAGCTAATGGGGCCTCCTGCTGCCACTGTCACACGATTTCTGTTCTCATCCTGAGGTAAAGTTCTTAACCTGAGGTACTACTTCCAGGGTAGCGGAGTCTGTAATCCGAAGTGTTTGTAACCCGAAGTGTTTGTAAACCAAGGTACCACTGTACTTTATATCATGGTGGCATGTTAGCACACCACAGGTGAGACATTCTTGGATTCTGAATCCTTCCCAAGTAAAGGAACTAGGCTCCTGACAATTAATAATTTTCTGCCAAGGAGTACTTGTCAATTCACTCATGCAGTGCTAATAGAAAAATGGAGCAACAAGTTCTATATATCACAATACATACTTTAAAATGAAATTGTTAGTTAAGTTTAAAAGTTCTTAAAAAGAATCGGGCTTTAGAATCATTTATTAATCCTCACAACATCCCTGTGAGGTAGGGTACTGAGATATCTCTTCCCTCACCCTTAGGCTACCTAATTAAATTAATGACTGAGCAGGGCATTTAACATGGTTCACCCAAGTCAAAATCAATATTCTAGCCAAGGCACCGGAGGCCCCTGGTTATCTGAACTGTAGTTAGTGGTCCTTCACTTTTGCAACATGATTCTTGATCAGCAGATGAGAAAACAAAACTGCCTAGCTCTTAGCTGTGTTCACAATTATTTCCTCCCAACAATTATTGTACAAATAGTAGTTTTCACCCACAGCAGCCTATGAATTCAGTTCATAAGCAACAGTTAAGATCCAGAAATTTACTGTATAAAGATTAAAACACAAATATTAGATTACCTTCATAAAGAGCCCCATTTTGTTCTTGTTCCACTGCTTTCAGGAACAGTTCTCTTGCCTGTACAAAAATTAGTGAATTGTTTAAGAGTCCCTTGCCAGCAAGCCAAATAAAATTACTACTCAATCATACTATATGGCAAGTTTTATCAGCATTAAATATAAAATTAAGACACACAGAAGTGAAGTTTTTCTTGTCCAACTAAATGGATTGTATTTGTGAAGTTATTTTCTTAACCTTAAACTTTCATCACCTCGCAATAACATTTTACTTCTACTATTTGTTTTGCAGTTTTACAATTAAATTGTCCATCTACGGTAGTTCTGAAACTGGCAGTAATTCCACTCATCTGAAAATATCTCAATACAATGACCACAAGAGGATGTGCCACTGTGGATCTTTACAGCAGTTTTTCCAAGAGTAAGATAAAATTATGATTTGATACTATCATGGTGACTAGCATCTGCTGGAAAAAACAGTAACTCCTTGTAGATTCTACACCTAGAGCAAAAATTGGTGACATATTAAGCAAGAAAGCACCTGCGGGATGATTTCCAAAAGTGAAGTCTAAGGCAGTTGTGAGAGAAAGCACAGTCGTCAGAGCACATTACAGCTGCAGTATTTCTGCCAAGTCTTGCAATTAAGAACAGAACACACAAATCAGTGAAATAGCAAGTTTTTCCAACATATTGTGTTATTTTTGATAAATAAAATTTGCTCTAAAATTTCCTAGAGCATCGAATGAAAAAGACACAGCAAAAAAGAAATGGGAAAGGGAGATAGTTATTGTCATTCCACTTTCCTTCAGAAGAAAAACTGTCTAGCTTACTATAAAAAAGTGATTGAGGTGAATCAAGTTCTTCAGCATTTTCGGTTTTGACATGCATCTTCCTTCTGTTATGAATTCTTCCTATTTACACATGCAAGTTAAATTAGTAGGATTTTTGTCATTTTTATCTTGCTAATTTATCTATCCTAATAAAAAATTGTCCCCATCATTTTACTAATTTATCTACAATAAACTTGGCTAGTCCCTTTTCTTCTTTTAACTTGGACCCAGACAAGCATTTTAGGAACTCTGAGCAACATCTTCCAAATAAATATTTTAAAGCATCTTTCTGTATTACCCAGCTTTAAGGGTAATACGTCCATATTCTGTTAATTCAGAAGATGAAACAGAATGAGAAAGTAGGGAGAGATGGCACAGCAGTAAGAACAGAAGGAGAAAAAGTAGCCCATGCTTTTTAAGTGCTTAGCCCGTAGAGATTGCATTCCATTAGCTCACTGAAGATAAGAAGCTCAAGTTCTTTACCTTTTCCTCTTTTGCTAGTTCCAGCTTTCCTTTGGTATCTACAGCCTTTACTGAAGGCCCTCTTGCCGACGTTCTGCAGGATCGAACCTCCAAACCCGTAGAGCTCACCCCTGGGGTAAGTTCAAACATCCATTGTGCTCTGAACATCTGGAGCTCTGCCTAGAAATCCAGAAACTAAATCCAATATTTGGGTAGACGTGTCTACAAGTGCAAGATATTTAGATAATTTCTTCCACGTAATGAAGCAAATGATTCTTGGTATTTTACTTTTTTAAAAAATCTGAAGGTATTATTTCTTCCAGTCAGTAACTGACATTTTGCTGCTGAGTTTTAGTGTATTCATAGCTACTAATTTTAGAGTCTATATGTGAGAAAGAATCACTTTGCTGTAGGCCTTTCCAGGACAAATTTGCAAGTTTGGAAACAAGCAAAATAGATTCTGGTACATCTTGTCAAACCCAGTGCAACTGAAACATCACAAAAACATGGAATGCCAATAAATGGGTTCTGACAATCATCTAAACAAACTGTTTATTATATAGTTAAGCCACCTCAGCAAGTGCTTTCTGAACAAGATTGCAAGGTCCTAATCACCAATGAATTTCTACTATTTTCCAAGCCAGTTTCTGAGCAAATATGGTGAAGAACTATTTTGGGGTATTTTCATTTGGTGAAAGTAATTGCACTGGATCATTTAACTTGCTGAAAAATGAAGTGAATTCCTCAATCATTATTGCTGCTAAATTATAAGCTGCCCCATTTCCTATTTATTGTAAGAAAACTAAGAGTTGCAACATTCTTCAAATCCTTCAGATAAGTATGTCACAATAAGATGCTAAGATGTCTCAATCTACACAAAAAGATAATACCCTAAAGGAAAAGTCTATTTGCAGAAAGAGCTTACTATAGCTCATTCTTCAAAGAGTGACCAATATACACTATGTCAGTATTTTAAAGCTTGGAAGTTAGAAAGAAGCCAGGAATTACAGCATTTTGTATGGATTAATGCACTCCCTCAGATTGTGAAGTATTTCTTATCCACAGATAGAACTTACTTCTACTGCCTCTGGAATTACTTATCTTTATGAATATTATAGCACAATAAAATCCTTAAAACTTTTCAGTCCAAAGAAACAAACGAGGCACGTTATCAAATTGCCTATGTGTTCAAAGCATTCATATACATTGGCTCTTAAGTGCAGATTGGGACAAGTGTACCAACGAAAGGGCAAAAAATACACAGACCAAAGAACAAAATTATGCAGATGAGTCCATGCCCTAAAATACAATAGCATACATACCTGAAGATTTGCTTCCCCAGACCTTTCATTGTCATCTGCTCTTACCATGTCAGAGTGACAATCTTCTTCACCTTCTGCCTGAGAGAATAAATCACATGAAATTAGTACTTAAAGTCACATTTTTAATGAAATTAGTATTGTCCCATAATTTGTTCTTATCCTACAAAACACCTAATCTAAAATCATACAGAATTTTTAAGCAGATCTTATAGATGCGTCACTATTCATACTCAAAGTATACCCTCTGAAATTATTAAATATTATTAATCAAATAATAATAGTAAGTACTTGCATGCAGGATTCTATGTCATTGCAACTCTGGGGTTTGTTCATCACTGCTTAATACTAATGAGATGAATATTAATTGGCTACAGTTTATTAATGGGATCGTTTACTAACTTTAGATTGTGCTCGATGGCTGACCTGTCTTCTCAAAGATAACCCCGTAGCTATTTTTAAAATGAGATCTCTTCATGCAACAGATAAATAAAAACATAAAACAGGATACATAAAACCTTTTACACAGCCTTGCAGAAGACAACCAAAAATGTTTAAAAAACATTTAAAGATGTGTTTCCTAAGATAAGCTATCTTTTGGAAGAAAAGGTAAGTGGACAAATACTATTATTTACTATTAAAACTAAGACATCTATAGCTAAGCTCTGAAACAGGAACTTTTCAAGTGTAAATTTAACTATGTGGCATTCTAGGTAAAGAATTTTGTATTCACCTCATTTGTATAAAGCAGTGATGAACAAACACCGGAGTCACAGTAACTTGACGTACAATCCTGCATGCAAATACAGAACCTTATCAGACCATGCATGAAGTAATGCTGTATTTTATTTGTTCCAGTCTTATACGCCATTTGCTCCAGATGAAAACATAGGGCAGTTTGAAACAATAAAAAATACATATAATATATAAACCAAAATTAAGTCATTCATCCATTTAAAAAACAGCAACACTAAGCCTCAACAGTATCAAGACCATCAAGGCCTGGACAAGTACACATGAAAATAGACTGTGTATATGGAATTAGTGTAGCAGCTGCAACAAAGAGCTGAAGGTAGAAAAATAAAAAATCCTCCCACTACCTCTCATGAAAGTCTCTTACTTCCTTTCACAGAAACCTTCAGCCACACTCACAAGAAAGCACAGAATCAAGACAGTGGGAAGAGGAGTCATTTTAGGCGGCTTGCTATTTGATTTTTCACACTAGTTCTTGACAGGAATATTACCTGGATTGAGTTTTCCTTCACTGTGGGATCCTAAAACTCAGAAAAATCTTAATTGCAACCTGCTCAAAAGCAGGTTCATACTGGCAAAACTGATGTGCAGCACCACACCCAGCTCAGCAAATAACTCATTCTTGCTACTTGGGATATAAATGCATGACACCCAGGTTCTGTGTGCTCAATACATATACTGTATACAAACCTATTAACTCATTATCAGGTGTTAAAGAAAATCATAGATGGCTTCAACTAGACTCATCCAATGAACAGATTCAAAGTTTGGGACCAAAGTGCTTTCAAAGTGGCTCAAACATTCTAAAAATATCTTAATGCTAATGTTTCCACTATTGTTTCATATACAATCTTCCTCGAGTTCTGTGGGCCTCACTGGATGGATGGCATCAGTAGCTCTTGTATATTTATTTATTATTTTTATTATTTTTATTTTGGTTAGTCGCCTCCTCTTGCCATAGGCCACTCAGGAGTAGAAGCTGCTGTTGGCAGTGATGAAGTCTTCTCCACAGCCCTGGGTGTTCAAGGCTACTCCCTGTATGTATGTATGTATATACAGTAATTCTACTTATGTATATGCATATACACACATGCATATACACACATATTTATATACACGCACATTCATATACATATATGTGCAGATTCATATACATATATGTGCATAGTCATATACATACATATGCACATAAAGACACACATAAAATAACAGCGGTCATATGCTTAATTTTGCATGTCGGTGCTAGTATAATCTGCCCCGGACTTTAAACATGATGGATCACCGGGGAGAACTAAGAATTTCCCCTCCAACATTTCTCCCGATGACAACAGGGATGCCGTAAGGAAACGCTGGATCAAGTCAGAATCCAGGGATCGAATCAGAAACCGGGATGGCTTCTGCAAATCCGGGACGGCCCCTGACACCTGGGAGGGTCTGCGCACGGGACGAAAAGGAGGGCAGGGAGGAGGCAGGCGCGTTCCGCCCCGACGTGCCCCGCCCCCGTCACGCGCCGCCATCGCCCCCCTCCCTTACCATGCTGAGGCCGAGGCAGTTCCTACCCCAGGCCGCCCGTCCAACGGTCGTTCTCGGGCGCTGTGGCTGTTTCAAGGCGCGAGTGGCCTCTTCGGCTGGTTCTTCGCGAGCGTCGGTGACGACCGGCAGCCGCGGGCCCCGTCTTTTGTGCCTTGAATAATGTCTGGTTTTTAAGTTTTCTTCACCCCCTCCTCTTACGAGCGGTTAAACAAGCCGGGAAGGGAATTTTAGTAGAGTTCTCGGTCGGAGAAGCGCACCACGCAGCGGGAGTCACTGCGAGCGCGGCGTACGGCAGCCATTTTCTCAAGGAGAGAGAGAGAGCGAGAGCAGGTCGCAGGCAGGCAGGCAAGCGCGCGAGCGAGTGTCGCCAACTGAGCCGCGGAGCAGACGAGGCGCGCGGTGCCAGATGGGACGCCGCTGTGCGCACGCGCGCAAACCTTTCCCCTCCTCCCACTCGGGGCGCAGAACCAGAGCGGGTGGGTGTGGCGAAGAGGAGGGACCTACTGTACCCAGAAGGCAATGCGCTAACGGTTGTTTTTTTTGGTCTTCCGTTACCCTGCGCTGCCTGCCGGGAAGTGTAGGCGGTGCAGTGTAGGCCGGGAGCCGCGAAAGCGTTCTTTAAGCATTCAGCTGGGCGGTGATTGGCTGGGATGAGGCTTTCAGAAACGTCGCTCCGTGGTGTGCGATGGGGATTGTAGTTCGCGGTAGCTGAGGGCCGTTTAAGCACACAGAGGTGTCGGGGGGTGTCAAGTTGTAAACCAAACCAACCATCTGGACTTTGTGTGGTTTCAGGCCTTTGGCTCGCCCCTTAAACTGAGTAATGTGCGTGACCTAAGCATGGTTTCCCACAAGCAAATCCCACGGGCCTCGGTAGCACTTCCTTGACTGGTAAGTGGCGAAAGGAGGCAGCCTAAGCGACAAGTGTTTGCCCATCTCCAATTGCCTTCCCACCACCCGAGCTACTCCCGTTTTCTCTAGAGATGCAACCAGTGCTTCCCCCTCCCCAAAAAAATGTTTAGGGGCACTCTCATTTTCCTACTCATGTTGAAATACTGCCGCTCAATGAGGCCAAACTTGGATTCACCAAATGTTTAAGGTGCCGTGCCGGATTTACATATAAGCTAAACAAGCTATAGCTTAGGGCCCCGTTCTCTTGGGGGCCCCCAAAAATCTTAAAAGGAAAAAGAAAACGATGTACATTTCCAAAATATAAGATAAAAAAACAAATGAAATAAATCCTACATACAGCAAAAGTGTTTTGTGTTGTGTATGGACCTATTAGGTTCATAAATTACCATATAGCATATATTCAACACAAAACACAGTGACAATTTGTTGTTGACAAAGGACAGCTGGACATATAAAGGGCCCCATTACCTTCAGTAGCTTAGGGCCTCATCAAACCTAAATTCAGCCCTGTTTAGGGGTATGCGTCCCCCGAGAAAAAAAGCACTGGGTGCAACTAAGGGGAAAGCGGGCTGGCTGCATGAGGAGCCGGCGACAGATTTGGATACAGCATCTGGGAAGACAGACCCAAATATATATTCCCTTTTTTTAGCTTTTGGACTACATTCACGGAGAGACTGATAAGCTGAACTTCTCCCTCTCTTGACAAAAGCGTTTTGCATCCATCTTTCGGTTTCCGTCTCAAGTTCTTTCCCATCGCTTTCTGCTGTTTGCTTCCTGCAATCCTCATAAGCAATGCTGTTAGGTTTAGATTGTCCACCCATCGTTCCTTGGCCTTTTAACATTGTAGGTAGGGTCTTCCACAGTGAAATTTATATCTTCCCAATCCTATGGCATTCGGTCACAATTCCTGTACAGGCAAGTAAACGATAAGGTTTCGTTTAAAAAGGAAAAAACTCTCTTAGGCTGCAGTGCTTAATATAATTATGTCTGGTTAGATGCAGTGGGGTTTAGTTCCAAGTAAGCGTAGAATTGAACTGTCCAGCCTTCATCCTTTGCTGATACTAGGCCTAAAGTACTCTTCCTAACAAGACAGGACTGAACTGAATACCTGCTCATCCCTTGTTCTTCATCTTCCTCATTTTTATTACCTCTCCTGTGTTGAATTTCAGGTTATTCTTTGTGGCATGGGCCTTTCCTTGCTCTATGAAGAAGTCATACACATTGATGGCACCAGTGTTGTGCATAGTGATATATAAACAAACACTGTTTATGTTGTGCTTAGCTTCTACAATGATATGTATCAAAGCTCAAGCCTTCCTGTGCAATGCTGACCGATCCTACCACTGTTCCCTCAAAGCCTGCTGTGTTGGCTGATACATTGACAAGTTCAGCATTCCCAGTTGTTGCTGCATGTTTGAAAAAATGTCCAGGGGCCAAGCTTTGCTCATCTTAGGCTTGCATGCATTGAACTTGCTGCTTTTCCAGGAAATAAGACAAAAATTGTGCTTGCCTAACTAAATGCCATACGGGGGAGCTGCTGAGTTGCTTTTACCAGGGAAAGCTCTTGGTTGTCCCTGCTCAGTGGCCGCATTTTCCTTTTGTGTGTGTACAGTATGTTTTTCTCTTGGTGGGCGGAAAGCTTCCCCTTGCCCATCTGAGTGCGATGAGTCTGCCTCTGCTCTGGTTTCCTTCTGATGGAAGAATCTACGGCTTCCACTAGCAGGGTTTGTACTGGCTATACAACTGTAGTTTTTAATCTTGTTTCCAGCAATTGCAGGACTTGCTTCTCCTGAAAGGGTGCGTGTAAAGCTGACAGACTTCCTTTGGAGCACTGATGTAAATTTTGTATGTCAGTCCCACAGACATGACAGCTTTGGGGGCTTCGTAAAATCAGGTTAATCCTCAGGTTTTTGTTTATTGTCCAAATTCCTGAGATCTTAGCCATCCCTCCATGTCTGACAAGGAGTAAAATAAGAGTAGAAACTTCATTTGTTGCTTACATTTTGAATTGTTAAAAGATGACTTTTCCTGCTATTTTGACATCTCAAGAAGAGGCCTAAAACTTGTCTGCTTGCAAGAATATTCTGATTCGGCCTATTATCTACTGTGGGAAAGGATGTAGAGACATTGATAGTTTTTTGTTTCTGTTTGTTCGTTCTGTAGCCTTTTAGTGTGATTTGTTGGCAGTATTTTAATACAAATGCTTATTTTGTGATAACGGTGGATAAAAAATAAAAACTGATCTAAAAGCAACAACTATATAATGTAATCACTAATTTTCTCTTAAAGAACAGATTAAATAATAATAAATTCTGTTTTGTTTTTTTAAAAAACTTGTTTCTTAAAAATAATCTGAATAACACAGGTCACCAGCAAAGTTATATATTGGGCAGCATCATCTGTAAGATATTCTAAGTTTAGTAAAAACCAAATAAAATATACAAAGCTGTCTCTTTATTTACAGTACATAAATCATATTATATTTAGTTGTAAATTTACATAGTTTAATAGATATTCACTATTAATTAGGTAATGTAGGGGAAAGCATCAATTCAAAACCTTTAAATAGCATTTTTTCCTTGCATATTTCAAACATGATCTCTGAGAGGTCTAGAGGGTGGGTTACACAAGGCCTTTTTGGTTTGTAATGAATTATCATGGCCCATATACTGCTCACATTTAGCTGTTGCTTTGAATACTGAGATTTTTGTTTTATTCATTGCATTTATATGCTGCCTTTCTGCCAAGGCACCTAAGGTAGTTTACAATTTACTGTACAATTGGGAGGAGAAGCAAGAGAAGGAGACCGTCTGGTTGGAGCAGGCTGCTAATGTTGCCTTTGCCTGCCTCCCTCACATGCTGCTTCCTCCTTACTGAGCAGATGGTGTCTGTTGGCCCTTTGGGGACAGGGAAGGGGCATGAATGTGACCATGTCATCCATTCATTCTTCACTACGAAACTCATTGTACTCGCTATGGAAAACTGACTCTGTAACCTCAAATAACATTATTTTAAAGAATATCTCTAGAACATCTTCTTTGCCTATATCTGCCTGTCTATCTTGTAATTATGAGTACTGTGTTTTGCTTTGTGGTCACTTTCATTTATGTACTTAGTTTTCAGGTAGGAGTCACTTGAAAACAAACAGGAGGTATCCTTCTGCATTTCCCCCCAGTGCAAATTAATCATATTGTCTGTGATGGGATTGAGCGCTTTGTTTTGTTTTTCATTTGCATGACTCTTAACTGTGGGAATTGCCAGCAAAGTTCAGCTTTCTCATGGTTATCTACTATATATTTTGGAATGTTGATTGTTTACCAAATCGCTATGCATTTGAACACCTTTAGTTATTGTAACCAAGGTTTGCATAATGGTTCCTAAGATGAAGGAGCAGGCTTTCCCCTGTGTTTGGATAAAATTGGACATGCATGTTGGTGGACTGAACTTTTCAAAACTGTGCTGTTTTGAACCTCTGGTTTCAAAACTGTTGGATGCAAGACTGCTAGTATACTATATAGCAAGGGATGCAGGTGGCACTGGGGTCTACCACTGAGCCTCTTGGGCTTGCCGATCAGATGGTCAGCGGTTCAAATCTCCTCAGTGATGATATTGCTCTGTCCCAGCTTCTGCCAGCCTAGCAGTTTGAAAGCATACCAGTGCAAGTAGATAAATAGGTACCATTGTGACGGAAAGGTAAATTGTGCTTCCATGTGCTCCGGCTTCCATCCTAGTGTCCTGTTCCACCAGAAGCAGTTTAGTCATGTTGGCCACACGACCCGGAAAGCTGTCTGTGGACAAACGTCGGCTCCTTTGGCCTGAAAGCGAGATGAGCACTGCACCCCATAGTCGCCTTTGACTGGGCTTAACCGTCCAGGTCCTTTGCCTTTTACCTTATGTAGCCATTTTCACTTTCAGATTTGCAAACCAGTTAACTTCAGAATCGTTTGGCTGAGATCCCATTGAAACCTGCAGAAATTTTACACTCGTTTTGAGCACTTAGACTCAGAAGCCTCATTTAAACGATAGGTCTTATTTTCATGAAAATCAATAAACCTAGGACCAGGGATTGAGTCCTATATGTTTACACGTTATACACCAAACAAGAAACGTTCCTTTTGTATCCTTACCACTGACTTTGCTTTTGCTTGTTACCTTGATGCTCAGCTCTTGCTGCAGGGTGGGGTTAGAATTAAAATACTAAAATGTCTCCATTACGGCTTTCAAAATGAGTGCTTTTAGACATTAACACGATTAATTTCCATTTGCCAAGATGCTATTTGACATTTCTGAAGCAGGGTCCATTACATTAAAATGACAAAAGCTTTCTTGGAAAGTTAAGAATAATTAAGACCAGGGGATAACTATGTACCTTACCAAGAGTCCTATGTCTGTGCAAAGTGATATATATGTAGTGTGGCCCTCTATCCATGTGTGTGGCAGAACTCCAGGAGTGCATTGCTGGACCAAAAGAATTCCCACCTGGGTAGCATAGGGAGGATATGAATTTTGTTCTCTGTACAGACACTTTAAACCACTTCCCTACCTCCTTCCCGCTTATGGTTCCAACTGTGCAGAGAGTCAGTCTGTAGCCTCTGGCCATTAATTTAGCATATCACACAATTAGGCACAAACATCACATAACGAATGACCACGCTCCACAGTTTCATCAACTAAAGCAGAATTAAAAAGCAGTGAGTGATAGCTCTGTTAAGAACCATTTTGAACACACAGTTTCATAACAAAAGCTCCTTTCCAAAGAAAAATGACAATGCGGGGTGTTTTTTAAAAGAGCTTCTTCCTTAAAGATGAAGAGCAGGGAACAAAAATACTCGGATTAAAAAATATATATTAAAAAATTTATTTGCTTGTCATCTTTGACCCGTGATGAATGTTTGTCTTCAATAAAATATATTCATTGTGGCAACTAAATAAATATGTTGAAAATTTATTAACATCTTACGAAACGTTTGAGAAGAAAATCTACTGTGCTCTGAGTCAGCGACCCATTGCTAATCTTTTAATAATGAAGGCTGACATAGGGTTCCTTCTGGCTACAGGAAAACAAACACTGTGGTGCATGAATTTTCCAAGTGCTCCCCCCCCCCCGCACTGTTTTTTTTTTAAAAAAACCAACAACAACTATGGAGGTATCATTTGAATATGATAAGATTATATTTAGCCTTCCTGTAAGTAAGCTGACCTAATCATAAAGAAAATGATTGACAGATGGTAGACAAGAGGGAATAATGAGTCTCTTTTTCATCTCTCTTCTGAATCTGAGACAGGGGCAGCTGGTCTTGTTGATAATCCTAAACCTTCTGGAATCAGATTAATCATTGGTCTATGTTATGCTGGGATAACATTGTCCATTTATGTCTTGCATCTGTCTGGTCTATCCATCTAAATATGATTTTGATGATAAGAAATTATTATAAATTAAAGTGCATTATTTTATCAGAATTGACAGGACTATGTCTTTGTCATTAACAAACTTTCTCTTGAATTCATTCTTCCAGTTCATATTTTTGTGCCTATAATTTTGTCAGTTTCTGGTGCTAGTATAAATTGCATTAAGTAGTTCATGTGGGCCATCTTATCAGTAGAGCACACCACACCCTCATTTGATCCCCTGTCTTCAGGCAGTCCAGGAAAAACACAGATAATGATTATGAGCCACATTGCAGGGAAATGAGAATATCCAGACATTTTGGGCTTGGAAAATGGTTAGCATTTCCCTGTATTTTTACAGACGCAAAGCCAATCCCTGAAAATATGAGCCCGGACAACATTCACACTGTTCCAGATGCTTTGTGTTTGTGCTGCCACCGGAAAAACTTCACTCTGAGAGGAAATGCAGCTGTGGAAAACGGCATCCTAGGGACTGAAATGAGTTTGCATTCTGGAGGATCTCCATCATGAATAGATATACAACTATTAAACAGCTGGGAGATGGGACTTACGGTTCTGTTCTCCTGGGAAGAAGTATTGAATCAGGGGAGCTGATCGCCATTAAGAGGTAAGAGGCTCACGTATGTTGTACAACTTCAGCATTAACTCTTTGGAGACACCGTGCAGCTTAAATAGTAGGTGACTATAAGTTGACAACGTGTTTGAAGATTGTGGAATCCAACTTTGCTGGCTTTGAAACTGGGCCTGATCCATTGGATGGGGGAGTCCGAAGCAGTGTGATGTGGTACAAATATCAGCATGTTTGATAGGCCACTACCAGGGATCTGTGTTTGTTGCTCTTCAGCAGACCTGTAGGACTTAGTATTGAGTTAAACTGCAGCTTCTTGAGAATCTCTGCTTTCTAGCCTTTTGTGGCTAGGTCATGCCTGTTGAAATCTCTGAAGTTACTGGAATTTTGTGATGGAGTTACACTACCCTTCATAGCTTCTCATCTCACTGCAACGAAATAAATTATGGGAAAAGATAAATTTACAGACTATTTTGTGCAAAATATGTTCAATTATCCACATTCAGCTTTTCTGCGCAGAATTTGGTTGCCTAGGTGCAAGTTTATTTAGCACAGAATATAGAAAGCCGTGGCTGTAACCAACCAGTATGTTACAGTCACATCTGTCCAGCTGACCAGATGGCTTGTGATGGGATTTTGACTCCCATGTCAATGTGGATGTGTTGTCTGTGCATGTATTGTTTATGTACAGCTTGCAGTATTTCACAATGTACTTGTTCAGAACCACAATAACAGATGAATAGCCCGGAGAAAAATAGCAGCAATGCATTTGTATTGGGAAGGTTGGCATCAAATTCATCCACAATTCATGCACTGCAGATTAATGCACTGTGCAAGCAGGAAGCTTTGTCTTCACATTGAGCTAGTTTCAGGGTTTTGCCACATACTTTTTGCCCAAATGTTATTTAATTTCCTGATCCTCAGCTTTAGTTGGATCACAAGTACTTTTTAAAAAATGTCCTGGCTCTATGCATGTTTTGATGGGCAGAGATGACTAGAACTGCAGGCGTGTTCCAAATATAATGTTAGCCACAATCCAGCTATTTTTTGGTTTGTTTTAGGGTAGAAGATTGTCAACAACTGCACATGAACTAGTAGAAGGCATCATATAGTTAGAATATGTTTAGTAGCCGTAGTTTAGGTTGAGGTTTGCTTTGAAATATTTTTGAACTGCTGCCAGAATGCCTTGTTTCAGCACAAATCAGCAATTTCTCTGGCATTTTTCTACTAGAGAGAGAGAGAGGTTCTGATTTTTTCCCCTTCATTGAGAAAAAGAGAATATTCCATATTTTTTCTTGTTCTAGAGGGAGAGAAGGAGCCAGTTATATTTATGGCTTGGGAGTATGTGGCACTTACATCACCATAAGGATTGCCTGATCATCATTTCACAGGGTTGTTTGAATAAGATGCTGTTCTTTCAAGTCTCATTTTGATTGAGCAGCAGTGGGAAACCTGTGACCCTCAAGATGTTGATGAATTACCACCATCCCTTACCATTGGTCATGCTGGAGTCCAACCACATTGAGGGGGGCACAGGTTCCCAGACTCTGTGCTAAAGGGTGTTTGGCTTATTTTCCAGCTAAAAGTGGAAATCTGTGGGTAGGGATAACATTGTGCTTGTATTAAATGAATTTACCCAATCGCTTGCATTTGGTGGTGGGCAATGCTGAGGAGATGGTACAGTATATTTGTATACATGTTATAGAACTGAAGTATCATATAGGAAAACACAAACACTTTAGACAAAATCTCCAGATCTCCAGAATGTGGAATGGACAGGATCATCAGATCAAACCCTTTACCCTGAACATAAAACAGCCAAGACCTCAAGATTTCCCCTTATGCTGAAAACCTCAATATAAATTGCGGTATAAAACAATGCTTATTTAGGAAAAAGAATCGACAACAATAAACTTTAAGAAATATGGTTGTGTGCTTTTTTAAAAAATTCAGCAAGCTGACCTAAATCACATGCAAAGAAGAATACCATGTTCTCATTTTGCGTAATTCTACTTCTGCAAGTCATGAGTGCCTCAATTATCTTATCAGAGGTTTGCATGACTTTTAAACCTCTTTGAAGCCAAAAGGAGCAAAAATACAGATTAATTAATAAAACAAAAACAAAAAAATATGTGTGCTGGCCTAGCATATGGGTGGAGTCAGTGGCATGGCGTGGGGGCTGCAGGGGGGGCCGGCCGCACCGGGCGCAACATCTGGGGGGGGGCGCGCTCGCACTCGCAGCTCTCTGCCCCTACCGGGTTAGGGGGCGCAAATTACTTACCTTGCCCCGGGTGCTGACAACCCACGCTTCGCCACTGGGTGGAGTGCCAAAGAGCTACCATTTAGACCTGTGTACAGTGGGGGGTTTTTTTCCTCCCACCACCACCATATGTGCTTTAAAAATCCTCTTAGTATTGTAAATGTGTTTCCATGTGACAGTGGCAGTGTTCAAGAAGCACAAGCCCAAAGACCTTCTTGGACATGCAGAATTAGGGTGGTTGTTGGATCCCAGCCATAAAAGAAGCACAGCTCTGAGTATTGTGAGCTTCCACTTATTCCTTCATGGACCTAGTACATGAGTAGTATCAGATTGTGATACTGACTTCCTTACTTTGTGCTTCACAGGATGAAGAGGAAATTCTACTCCTGGGAAGAATGTATGAATCTTCGAGAAGTTAAGGTGCGTAAATTCAAAATTTGCACTGGATTCCTTCAGCTTCGGGTAGAGCTGTGGTTGAAAGTCCATGGTCAGATGCTGTCTTGGGCAGCATTGCACATTTCTCCGGGGAATTGGAGTGCCTCTCGGCTGAAGAACGGATTGTGCCAATGTGCCCACTATCAGCATTCATCTTTACAAGGCCAGAGGAACATTGGTCATAACTGACTCTAAGAGTCTGAGAACTTTTTAACAGCCAGGCGCTTAAATTTAGCAGTATCTCAACTTATGTTTCTGGGACAAGCGTTCATTGTCACTTATCTTAAAGCCCTGTTTCAACAGTGTCTGTAATTGTCTTATCTTGCATTCCCAGTCCTTGAAGAAACTCAACCATGCCAATGTGGTGAAACTGAAAGAAGTTATCAGAGAAAATGATAATCTGTACTTTGTGTTTGAATACATGAAGGAGAACCTTTATCAGTTAATGAAAGAAAGGTATGTTGATTTCCACCCAAAAAAACCCCCCACCATCCAGTATAACTAACCAAAACCATGAACTACTATTCACCAAGCACTATAACTATGCAATCGTAATTCATGGTAGCGAAATCACATCAAGTATGATATTTAGGTTTTTGAACTGAGATTGCTCAGCTCCCAATTTCTTGTCTTGGAGGTCCTTGACTGGCAACTGGTGATAAGTAGGCCATGATCCAGTGACAATGCCCGGAAGGACCAAGGATGGGGACAGGAAACGCTGCCTGAATAATCCTGGCACCACATGTATAGCATGTAATTTTGTTCTGGTACTCCTAGACTTGAATGGTTTTATTGTGAGAATATTTTATAAGCTGCTTCTGAGAGCCTCTTGGTGCTGTGAAGTAGAATTTTGAGCAGAGCAATCTGAAAGGGGGGAGGAACAGGAGGACGAATCAAAGGCAGACACGGTGCCAGATCTGATTAAGACTGAAGGCAATGATGGGTCACTTTTCCTTTTCCGATTCCCCATCAGCATTGCAATCTGCAACAACAAAAATCCCTTCCCATTGCTATCAATGGGAGAGAAAATAAATATGCTAGTTCCAGGTGTGGCATACTTTTCTCCTCAAACCAGGAGTGTGTTAGAGGAATGGGAGGTCATTAGATCCAGTGGAGCCCACCCATATCCACTCCTGGCATGCTCTTTTTTGCCTTCTCTGCCATTGCAGCAGCGGTGGTGGAGGAAGAACCACAGATCTTTCCATGGGTGCAATGAGGATGCCTGCTTCTTGGGCAGAACACCTCTGCCTGCAGATCTCCTGCTCTGTGCACTGTGGCACCCAGAACGTCCTCCTCCAATAAGGGATATATAAACGCATGCTTATTACTGCTTGTATAACTGTATCCATTCTAGCCTACGACTGTATCTCCAGTAAATAAAGAAGTACAGCTAAGAACTCCCTTGTGTGAACATAAATCCCCCTCCTATACTTTTACCTTACAGGAACAAATTATTTCCCGAATCTACTGTCAGGAATATTATGTATCAGATTCTTCAAGGACTTGCATTCATACACAAACACGGTAAGACCTGACTAAAGGCCAAATTGGATGAGTATCTGTGACTGTATTGATGGCATGGTAGGAAGTGATATTAACAAATACTTAAGAAATATTTGAGCAGGCACTAAAGGTTTTTTGTTTGCGTTCAGGAAGGTAAACATGACTTGTCGAGAGTGGTATGAGTGAGGCTGAAAACACACTCTTCTCCAGTGTGTTCCAAAAAGGCTAATGTTCGTTAAACAAAATATATTTATTGTAGAATTATACCATTTATTGCAATTCCTAATTAAGGCTGCAGCTGGAAACATCCTTACTGTTGGGGTGTAGCCCCCACTCAAGTCAACAGGACTTGCCTTTGGGTAAACATGCAACAAGACTGAGCTGCACAAAATGTATCTGTAAAGCCTGGTTATTTGAATGAACAGTTCTATTGTTAAACTGACCTCCTACCCCTGTTAGAGGATTATGGGTTGATCATGGGATGTCATCCCAGGCAGGAGCTACAGGGTTCAAGGAAAGCTGCCAAGACTGTTTTGCTGCAAAAGAAGACAGAAAGTTGTGTGGCCAGATGCCGTCTCTGAAGCCAACGCAGACCACAGTAGTTCTGTGCAATTCTGGCAATAATAATACTGACCTTGTATTGTATCGTGTTGTTAAGTCGTTTTGAGACCTTTGTTTGTATAGTGATAAATGCAACTGTTAGTACTGTTAGTAATAATACAGTTGCATGGTTTACTGATATATTTGAAATGTCTTGAACATTTGCACAATAGTAATGCTAAGTGTGATTATCGTTGTTTTCTTCATGTTTAGTGATAGTGAGTGTGAAAGAGAAATTATTACCTTTCACACTTTTTTTTTAAAGAAAGAAAAGATATTTTACCTGGTCAGATCTTCACCTCAAAATATAAAGCAGTATTAGAGGAGAACATTTTGTGGTTTATAATAGCTCAGTTTACTCTCTTGGCAACTTCTCTTAATAAAGTGTTATAATGGCGGCAATGAAAGGAGATGGGGTCAGATATTATGTAACCGGAGTGAGGGCTTGTTATTTCCTGAATAAACTCATTCCTTGTAACTTCCAATGCACTGCAGTTTCAGAAACATGAAACAGTTTCATAAAGTGAAAACGAAGTGGATGATTTGATAGAATGGCTTTGTCTAATTAATTGCTGTTGTGTTAACTAGATTGTAAAGCAATTCAAGTGTGCCTTGATAGCTCTTTTTGGACTGTGCCACTTGGTTTGACCCTTTCCTGTGGCATGGAAGAGTTTTTAATGCTTTATTAATGAATTTCTAGCAGGAGGTCTTTTGAGCAGGGACCTGACCTCAGATTCTGTTTGCTGTGCCAGGAATCAGCCCTGGAAGATTAAGTAATACTAAAATAAAGAACCTCATAGCATATGCAGAGTATACTGAGTCACCTTTGCCAGCTGCCACATTTTGGGGTTAGGAAACAGACCATCCAAACACGCCTGAGCTTTAGCACCCCTTTCTCAAAATTAACCACTGATTATTAGGGTTTCCAGATCTTTATATCCCCCGCCCCGGCTCCAACATTCTATGCCTTTAACTGCTTTTGCTCTGTGTACATGAGCAAATTATAGCATTTGAGTGATTCCCCAACTATAAGTCAGAGTGGACCCACTGAAATAAATTAATTTAAGTCTCTCAATTTCAATGGGTTTGCTCTGTGTATGATTAACATTGACTATCACCCTTTATCTCCATGCCGTAAAAAGCTTCCATCTACTGCTCGCAGCAGTTTTCTTCCACTGTTTGAAGAGGAGTGGGAAAGCCAGATATTTTTTTCCCGGTCAGTCGACAAGCCTGCTAGTAACTAACCACGCAAACATGCACAATGAAATGAAAATGTGGGCGGCAGAACAGACTGACTAATGTTTGTTTTCATAACTACAGGGTTTTTCCATAGGGACTTGAAACCTGAAAACCTCCTTTGCATGGGACCGGAACTTGTGAAGATAGCAGACTTTGGCCTTGCACGGGAAATCAGATCCAGACCTCCCTACACAGATTACGTATCCACAAGATGGTAAACACTTGAGCTCATATGCCTTAAGCTGTGCTCAGAGTAGATCAAATGAAATTAATGAACACTACTCATTTAGGTCTATTAATGTCACTGGGTCTACACTGAGTAGGCTATGGCTGTGTATGTGGTGTTAAAGATTACTTCTATTCCACTCTGATTGTGATTTTTGGGAATAATTAAGAGCTGTCTGACGCTAACAACTTTTCAGTGCCAGGTTAAGACTTTCCTCTTTAGCCAGGCATTCGATGGAATTTGAGTTCAATGCTTTATGTTACTGCCAATTTGGATTACTGATAAATTCACCCACACTCCTGGAAGCTGGTATTTCAAGTTTTAAGTTACTGGTTTTATTGCTCACATTTTGATGGCAGTGGTTTCTAACAATTTTGGACGCTTTAAAACTTGATTGTAAGTTTTCATGTTGGTGACACATTTTTTAGATGTGCATCAATTCTCAACAGTAATTCAGTTATACTAGCAAGACGGAGGTAAACTAACCCCTTTCCAGCCCTGGGAAGAGCATGGGGTAAGGTAAAAGGTAGGTAAAGGACCCCTGGACAGTTAAGTCCAGCCAAAGGCGACTATGGGATGTGGTGCTCATCTTGCTTTTCAGGCCGAGGGAGCCGGCGTTTGTCCATAGACAGCTTTCCAGGTCATGTGGCCAGCATGACTAAACTGCTTCTGGCACAACTGAACACTGTGTTGGAACCAGAGTGCACAGAAACGCCGTTTACTTTCCCACCACAGCAATACCTATTTATCTACTTGCACTGGTATGTTTTCAAACTGCTAGGTTCGCAGGGGCTGGGACAAAACAACGAGAGCTCAGCCTGTCGTGCGGATTCAAACTGCCAACCTTCCGATTGGCAAGCCCAAGAGGCTATGGGGTTTTAGACCACAGCACCACCCGTATGCGACACACCTACACATTGCGGCCAGCACACTAGTGTGTCACAACACACAGTTTCAAAAGCTCTGGCCTAGAGAATGTCCTGCGTTAGGTGATTTACAAATAAAATAAATAACAATTGCTCGGCACCTCACCACTTTGATTATAGTTTAGAACTTCAAGGGTTAATTATCCCTGCAAGACAGAGGATATATTGGGGAAGATCTAAGCCCTAGACAGGACAAGCAACCCTTGAATAAAATTGCTTCAGCTTCTTACCTTGAGCGATGCTCAGGGAGGGAGGTTGGGTTGGGAAACATTTTAGAGGCTCTTGTTTCCATGCTGGCAGAGAGAAAGGGACCTTTTGCAATTGCTGTCCAGTGCAAATGTACTAGTCTGGTGTAAGGTTCTGCTTGGCATATTTTGTAAATGAACCCCGCTGTGTTTCCCCTTCGCTTTTGGCTTTCAGGTACAGAGCTCCTGAAGTGCTTTTGAGATCCACTAACTATAGTTCTCCCATTGATATCTGGGCTGTTGGTTGTATCATGGCAGAGGTTTACACACTCCGGCCGCTCTTCCCAGGAGCTAGCGAAATTGATACTATTTTCAAGATTTGCCAAGTGCTGGGGACGCCAAAAAAGGTAACTGTGAGCCTGTCTTCAGTGCACATGAAGGAGTATAACTCTGAATATGTTCTGTTCTCCCCTCCCCCCTACTATTCAACTTCTTTTCTGCTATTGACACTGGATAGCTGATTGCTAAGATGTCTCCAGTTTTATACAGTCTTGATAGAGAAAATAGTAACTTGTACTAAAAAGGAGACATTGTATGGGATGGTGGGGAGCAAAGGGAAGAAAAATGTTCTGCCTTGGAATTAATTCCAGTGGAATTCAGCATGCGTGAGAGGAAGCTGTGACCGCTCAAACTTTAGGAGAGCATTCTGCATATGCTTGGAGTCATTCTTTATTGTTGAATTGCTGTCCATAAGAATTCTATGCCAGGAACTGGCTGACATTACTGTGCCTTGGTGCTGCGAAAGAACACACATTGCTTAAATGGTGTACAAGCATATAGTGCATATTGATATGAGAAAGAAAGATACAATAAAGGTACAATGAATGCAGTAGAATAACAGAAACAAAATGCCTGACAACGGTCTACCTATTGAGTGGCCTGGCCAAAATATGGCGGTGATCAGCTAACCTAGGACTGCCTTACTCTACCCTGTCATTGCCTTCACTTCACCCTCCAGCTTTCTAGTCATGAGTTAGGACTCCCCGGTCTTCTCACGTGCTCTTGATTCTCTGGGATCACTTCAGCCTCTTACCTGCCCCTTCAAATGTGTGAGCTGATCCGCTTGCTTCAATTATCCCAGGATCAGTTCATTAGTCAGCCAGACCTTAATGCAATGTTGGAAACGTTGCTTATGAGGGCATGAGGGTGGCATCTTGAGCAAGGCTGCACCAGCTACATGGGTATTCATTTCCTGACCAGGCATGCTTCCGTCCTTTTCAGAATGACTGGCCTGAAGGCTACCAGCTTGCCGGCACCATGAATTTCCGCTGGCCTCAGTGCGTCCCAAACAACCTGAAGACCCTCATCCCTAATGCAAGCAGCGAGTCAATACAGCTCATGAGAGACATGTTGCAGTGGGACCCCAAAAAGCGGCCAACGGCAAGCCAGGTTTGCTCTTCTTTCATGAATATGTCTTTACAACTCTCTGCCTTGCTGACAGCTCACTCAGAGGAACAGAGGAACTTTCAAAGGTTACATGGAAGAGTGAGTTCAAAACATGTGTTGCAGGCTGTTGGTTCTGACCACTATTTCCCACCTCCAGTCCCAACTCAGTGGAATATTTTTCTGATTCAGGGAAGTCTCAAGTCTCTTCACCCACTGCTGACACAGCTCTGCTTTTCTCTATTTCTTATTGCAGTTTCTAACTCTATACCTCGCTTTGTTTCTTCTATGCATTCCCATCCTTGCTATTCAGAAAAGGAGCACATGGAATTGGATTTGTGTTCACATCAGCACCTCTTAAAAACTGCAGCAGGGCGGACAGCTTTATCTGATCCTTTATTTGTTTTCAGTGGAAATAAAGCAGTGAGAACAAAACTCATACTTTGAGAATAAAAGCTGCCTGGCACTAATTGATTAACATGCACTACTAATTGGTTTAATCAAAGGGCCCTAATAAAGTGAGATGTTGTCTATTATGTTTATGATTTCTTACCTGTCCTTCACCATAAGGTCCCAGGGCAGGTTACAGCAATTTAAAAAACTGTTAAAAATAAATTGCAGTCACTGGAATAGCGTGCATCCTGAAAAAAACATTTCTCAGGTGTCAAATGCCATGGTAAAAAGGTAGCCCAATATGAGTTATGCCAGAGAGAAGTCTCTGGGCATACAGACTGTGTGGGGAGGGTTGTGCACAACACCATAATTTTTTAACAAAAATTAAAATTTTGCACCCAGACATTCCAGATTTTGCCTATAATTTGTAAATTGTGCAGATTAAACACATTATGCAAACTGCAAAATTGTTTGTGGCATGGATGAGTTGCTTTTCATTTTTGCATAAATCTGGTTTTGTTGTGGAGGGGGAGAAGGAGGGTTGCAGAACATGGAAGACCAACCCGTTTCCCTTCTGAGATTTCAACAGGCATATATTTGTAGCACTAAGAAACCTACTTTTATAAAAAATGAAAGCAGCAACTACTAGAAAGTTGAATTTTGCATGTGCTATCATATTTTGGGTCTTCCTTGCCCTTAGGTGGTATTGTGGCATGCACAGAGCCCCAGATATTGGGACTGAGAAACTGCCTGTTTCTGCTTGCTTGCCTCTCCTTGTTTAAAAGATTTCTCTCCCTTGACTTTTAGGCTCTTCGATATCCTTACTTCCAGGTTGGCCAATTACTGGGCACCTCTCGCTCTACTCAGGAGCTGGGAAAGCAACAGAGAGACCTTCCTGATAAAGCACAAGTCCACATGAAACCCATTCCACCAGCACAGCCTCCTCCTAAAGCACAAGTTCGCCTTTCCTTCAGACCATTCCAGCAGAACCAGCCCTCCCACTCCCTGATATACCCCTACAAAACAGACACCACCGTGAGTGACCATTTAAGAGAAGACAAGCCTAGCCAGGTGGCTTTGCCAGAAATTCACAATAAGATTCCTCAGCAGGTAAGACACAGTCTTGGATGAGATGTCTGCCTTTCTAAAATGTGGACATTATCTCACTCTTGTATTTTAAATAGGATTGGCTGTGTGATTTTAAGTGCAAATGCAAAAACAGATTTCTACTTTTCTTTTTTGTTTCTGGATGCTAGGAGCTTGTTCGTGTTGAGCTGATCTTTCCACAGTTGCTCTCAACACAGAGGCTACATAATGTTGCATGAATGCCGCAGCCTCTCCCATCTATTCTGCGTTAGACTTGGGAACTCTTGACTTGGTCTCCAGTGAAATGGAAATCAAGAGTTCCTTAGTGTAGAGCAGGCAGGTGGGGCAGACCTTGGCTCTACTGATACATGGGGAATGTTTATTGAAATATGCCTGTTAGGAAGGATCCAAACTTCTACTCATTTGAACATCTGGGTACTGATGGTTATACATGATCTTCTTGGGGAGGAAGTATGGTACAACCATCAAGTGAAGTTGGAGGTCTCCCCATTTGGATGACGCGTGCAGACCCAACTTCTTAAGATACATGCTACACCTTGCTCTGAGCAGGTAGTTATGTCTCTCCTGCCCATGGTGAGGCAGTAAGCCATGGGCTTCCATGGCTTTCAGTTGGCTGCAGGAGCTTCCTGCAGCCAATCAGAAGCCACACTGTGATTTCCGAATGTTTTGGAAGTTGAACGGACTTCCAGAACAGATTCCGTTCGACTTCCAAGGTACGACTGTAATGGGGATTTATTTATTTGGCAGAAACCGTAGAAGAGAAAATGAAAGTGAGTGGTGGCCAGTGAGACCAGATTTTGGCAGTAAAATCACAGCCCTGTTGCCAAAGGCCCATTCTCTGCCCACTGGAAGCACTTCCAATATTTATTTTGCTCATACCGCAGTTCTGATCTTCACATGCTTTTCTGTTTTCTTATTTTCCTCCCACAATGTCAGAAAGCAGACATTGGGACAGAGAAGACAAATGGGGAACTTAAACCAAAGAACCGTCGTAGATGGGGTCACATTCCCGGGACACTAAAAGACTCTGAGGATTGGGAAGACCTGGAAGATGGAGGTGTTAACTCTTCACTTGCCAGAAAGGAGCTTAAAAACAAAGGGCAGAGTGATGAAGCTCTTTGTAGGCAAGTTACTGGCCTTATTTTTCTTTATTTTTCCATGGAAGTATTTCTATACTGCTGTATCATACATACTGCTGTATCCTGTGGTATAAACATGGCTGGTTGATTTTGGTTTCAGATTTGAAAGTATCCTGGATCTCAAGCCGTCAGCTTGCTTAGGAACTGGGAACAGCGCGCCTTCCTATCTTCGGCAGGACACACCAACATTGCAAGTTTCTGCAGCCAAACAACATTACTTGAAACATTCTAGGTATTTACCTGGTTAGTAAAAATAAATATTTACTATGACGCTTCGTAAAATATGATAACTCACTTTTGACGTGAGTGAGTAACCTCTAGTTCCAGACGTCCTACTGCTTATTAGCTGCAATCCTAACCACACTTACAGGGACTTCAGTGGGATTTACATCCCAGTAGATATGTTTTGTTTTCATTAAGCCATTTCCCTTAAATTTGCTACAAAATGCATTTTTGCAAACTTTATATTTAGCAACAAAAAAATGTTTGGGAAACTATTTTATTGCTGACTGTTGATTAGGTGTTGATCAAACTGTCTCGAGTTTATGATTGGTTGTAAAATAATGTTACATTTGTATTCCATCCTTCCTGTAAGTTGCTCAGAGCGCGTTTTATTTGTGTTTTAGCTTCAAACAGTCCTGTGAAGTAAGCTGAACTGTGGCTTAGTGAATTGCTCAAGGCCATATACTGAGTTTCATTGCCTGGCATAGGTTTGTCCCCGAGTTTCCCAATATCCAAACCCATCATGTATTGCAGCTGGTTCTTTTCTGGTCTCTCACTAGAACATGCTCAGCTTACATTCTCCGTGGACAGCAACCACAATCTAATGCCCTTCACATTTAGGCATGTTTAACCTAATTGTGTGGAATATCTATGAAATTAACATACAAAAGCAAGGTATAATACAACCCCAAAGCGCTTGTCATCAATGGGCAACTGACGAGCGAGATATGTATATAAATAAATGTATTCCTGCTGCATTTTTACAGCGTCTTACTTCTTATTCTAGGAATAAGCACAAGAAATAATTTAGTCTCCAGTTCAAGCAAAGATTCCATCCCGTCCAATCCATGGCCCAGTTCTAATTTACCTGGAAAGACATCGGTGGTGGCAGGAGGGATCACCAGGCTGAACTCCAGTAAGGAAAAGAAAAATTGTCTTCTTCTTTTTTAGTTCTACCTACTTTGACCTGTTTGCTGACTGCATTTTGTGATAGTGATCCAGTGTTTGATGTATTGACATCCTTGGCTGCTGGGTATTTACTGCATAAGACAGACAAAGCAGGGTAAAGTGGCTGTGATCCTAAGTTTATTCATAGCTTTGATCCATGCACATTTACTTGGAAGTAAGTCCCGCTGAGTTGAGTGACATTTCTTCCCTAATACTTCTGCATAAATTAAAGTAAATTCCTGCTGGTTTTACACTGAAGATCATGACATCATATACATAAAATATCAGATTTTTTTTCAAAGATAAAAGTCTCTGAAGAATCAATTCAGAAACTTAGGGCTCATCCACACTTCCCACTGCTTTCCCCTGGGGAAAACCGCTCTTTAGTGCTCAGTGAGAGCAAATGGCAATCCAGGTTTTCTCTGGATTGACATTTGCTCTGATTTAGCACTAAGCAGTGGGTTTTCCCTGGAGCAGGGCAAGATGGAAACTGCTGGGACCTGTGCCTAGAAAGTGTGGGTCAAGCAGAAAGCCACTTGGACTCTATGCACAGGACAAGTAGAAGTGTGGCGCAGTGCTGGCGCAGTTTCAACTCTTTCTGGTGACAGTACCATCTTATCACAGAAAAGGAAGCTATCACATCACATGGGGTGGGACTTTAAGACAATAACTGGATTAAGCATTGGCTGGATTATTAACTGGAATATATATATATATATATGTATGAATGAAAATAACTGGATTAAATTTTTAAAGGAAAAAATAAAGGTTGTTTGTGAAATTTTGTACTGGCCTACTGCATTGACCTCCGATTTTCTTTCAGGCAACACAGGAGCCAGTGGGCTAAGGGGTGCTTACATCCCTTCATTTCTGAAGAAAGAAGTTGGCTCTGCTGGCCAGAGGGTTCAGTTAGCGCCGATTATTGATGCATCGTCTTCAGACCCATCTCGTAAGCTCTTTCTGTTTCTGAAAATGGTGCTGGGGAGCACAGCAAGAATGCCACTGCACTGCAAAATGAGGGCGCTTCATCTGTGACTATCTGCAGTCCGTACCTGCCTGGGCTTCAGCCTTTATCTTGTTCGTATGACCATGGCTGCATGCAAACCCGACATTGAAAGCGCGCGCACACACACATATCCCAAAAATGCTGGGAACTGAAGTTTGGGAAGGCTGCTGGGAATTGTAGCTTTGTGAAGGGTAAACTACAGTTCCCAATGCTTCTTTGGGGTCATGCTTTAAATGTATGGTGTGCATACAAAGCGCAAGAGGGGCAATTGTTGAACCAGCTTTCCCACTGTGGATTAAAGAGTAACTCCAGAAAGATAGGCATGCTTTCTGGGATGCTTCCCATGTTTTGTTTTGCAGTACCCAGTCAGATACATGGAGTTGTACTCACACACTGGGACTTCCCCTTCCTCTTCTCTTCCTGCTCCCCCCACAAAAAAAAAATCTGCTCCAGAAAGTCCTCCAACACTCTGGAGCCGATTTTGAGAATATACAGAAAGCTGCAGGGGAGATCAGATGAAGGGGAAGTTCCATGGCAACCGAGGGACAGGGCCTGTAGTTGCTAATATTGCAAATCTAATCTTTTTTCAGTAGTTGAAATGGCTGATACAAAAGAGCCACTGTTTGTCCGAATACCAGCAGACTGAATTTCCTCTAGGACTACAGACCCTGTTTGTTCTGCAGTTGTATACCTCTCACACAAGAATTCAGTGTCCTAAGGATTTTGGCTTTATTATTATTATCATTATTTCCCCTGGCAATCATATTTCTAGACCTTGTGATGGCAACAATGTTGGACTATAACTCCCATCATCCCTGATAATTGACCATGCAGGTTAGGGCAGATGGGAGCTGAAGTCCAATAAAATCTAGAGGGCACCATGTTGGCTACCTCTAGCACAGAGAGTACTTGGTTAAACTTTAGGATTCAACAATGTAAGCAGGGAATTGAGAGCATCTCAAAGCTCTGTGTTTCTACCCACAACTAGTGGTAGCAGAAAATAAGCCATTTCAGTAAAAAAACAACCTAAAATACTCCTTTCTTTGGCCCTTGACAGAACCTAGAGCAGTAGCTCAAAAACACCGTAACTTATTATTCCAGTGAGGCAACTCTTTGTCCTGTTTTATTTTTCATATGTGAAGTGAGAGAGCAGGTCTTACGGTATCTTAGTTGACTTATTCAGAAGCATTCAACTAAGATAGTTTAAAAGCATCTGCATAGAAAGTTGTGGATTGGATTCTGCGTGCTAGTTAAAGTATATAATTTTTTTAAAAAAAGAATAGCTCTGCTTATCAAATTGGTGTACAGTGGTACCTTGGTTTAAGAACAGCTTAGTTTATGAACAACTTGGATTAAGAACGCTGCAAACCCACAAGTAGGTGTTTTGGTTTGTGAACTTTGCGTTGGAAGCAGAGCATGTTTCGCTTCCTGTTGAGTGTGTTCTATTTGTAAATTGAGTCCCCCGCTGCTGTGGGAAAGCACACCTTGGTTTAAGAATGCTTTGGTTTAAGAACGGACTTCCGGAATGGATTAAGTTTGTAAACCAAGGTACCACTCTATTCATTCAGATTCAGATTTGGTGACAATGGTTTGGATCCAGAAAAGCTTTCCGTTAATGGAAGGGTCAAGTGGAGCCTTCTGCAATCACAATTTTTTCTTGATTCTCCACATCTCTCACACTACTCTGGACAGCCTCCTAACTTCTCAGAGCAAGGGAGCACAGGAGTTCTGAATCACCCCTCCCATTTGAAATTCTCTAAGGATCCTTTGGTCAAAGTCACCAGATTCTGTATCTGAATTTAACCCCTGATCCGTTCTCTCCTTTCACACTTCCTCTCTTTTTCCTTTGTAGAATACACTTCTCTGAAGTCTGTCAGACCTCATATAGGGAGGCCGTCGTTTAACATACCTATGAAAAGCACACCAGGTCTGCTGCCCCACCCACCTCCAGTTCAACCAGTCCATGGACGAATTGACTGGTCTTCAAAATATGGCGCTCACCATTGAACTCTTGAGCTGCAGTATACGTTCCACGAACAGTGACCAATGATAAGACTGTCTCCAGCAATATTTTATACGCTGGCAATTCTGTCGATCGTTTTTTTGTATGACCAAGAAATTTCAAGACCGTCGAAGAGGGTTTATTTTTAGTTGTATGTATTTGAAAGCAAATCTTGGACCTTTTTTCTATCATTTTTATTATGTGATTGGGCAATTATTTTCATAGAACCAATACACATTTGTATATCAGGTTTAGTATTGTGGGTCCCTTGCTTTATTTGGCATTTTTATATGATGAACTTGTAACTTTTTAAAAGAAAACTATTTTTCCTTTTTTTGGCCTTTTTTATATAAGTGAATAAATGTAGCAGATTGAAGCAGTATTTAATATAAATATGGTGCAGGTAGACATAAGGGCATTTACCAAATACTTTATAAAGTTAAATTTTCAACCTGGTATGTTGGAAAAATAACCTGTTAAGCTTAGTATCCAGAGCCGCCTTTCAGCTTCATAATTCAGCAGCCACAGTCATGTTACTGGTCTCGTCTTAGCTGTAGTAAATCATAAAAACAACTGGGGCATGAACTCCTTGTTCTTCATGTGACTGAGAATTGTTACAGCTAGTTGATCAGCAAGATAGAATAGTAAAGCTTTTCCTTCAGGCTGCAGATAAGAGTTTTGTATGTTCTGAACAAACCTGAAAAACCAAATCCTTGCATATAAAACATGAATTTGGCAGGTGAAAAGATCCAGCCTATTTTTTCAGTGTTCATTTGTTCCCTACATACAGCTCATATTGGTTTGGTCCAGGATAAGCTTCTCACTGCTGACTATGTAAACTGGAAAAGGGAAAGACTTGTGACAGCAGGAAATTAACTTGACCACATGCTTCTTCATTCTAGCCTCTTTCCACAATGCAAACTAAACCATCTACAGATGGAGTCATCCTTCAGTGGGAAGCAATATGGGTTGCAAGAGTAGCAAGGCCCTTGGATAATATTTAAAGCAATATTAAATATGACAAAGCTGGTTCATAGAGTAATATAAATGGAGTATTAAGATAAATACCAGCAGCAAAGTTAAAATATTTTTTTTATATTCCACACAGCCTACATTTCATTTTTATGGCTTGCCTTTTTGGAAACGCAGCTTAGCGACTTCTTTTACAGGGTTGACAAAATTTATCCTTTATATAATTTGAGGTTTACATTAAGAAATGAGTTGACATGCATATTTATATACTGTAATTTTAGGATCGAGTTCCAGCCGTTCTAGAATGGCCAGATTTTAGCAGATGTCAGTAAGCCAGAATTTTAAAGATTGAAGCTATACAGCAGAACATGGTATAGAAAATGGCAGGTTCAAACCTATGCATTGTTTTTAAATGAAAACAAAGAGTTGAAAAAGTTTTAAGGAGACTGCCCTGCTTGGCAAGTGTTCAGCTGAAATGATACATCATTTTTTAAACTGAGGTGGGAGGAATGGGGATTAAGATCTCAGCTCACAGAAAAGGCTCTTTCTCAGGGAGAAATAATTACCCAAAGCCAGTAGATGGGTGTTTCTGTCTAGGCAGTTTTTGAGTATAGAATGAGCATCTTTTCTACGTCTTTGTGTCCAATCTGTGGTAGGAATCACGCTGTGTCTTGAGCCATATTCTGCCATTGCACCTTCTCCGTCATCCATGAGGGCAGGAGATGCAAGTAGGCATGCTAAAATTGTGTGTCAACACCTTCCCATTCCGATGATCGGCTGACAAGCTGAAGGAAAGTTCCGTTTCTTTTTGCATTGTGGTGTCTGGCCACTCCTTCACTAAAATACAAACAATTCTGCTTCAAGCATTTCCACACAGCCAGCGAAAGAGGTGGGCAGATAACAGAAATGCAGAGGGAAATTGAAAGCAGAGCTATGGATGATTCTCTCACAGAAAACATAGGGTGAAGTTGGCAATCAAACAGCTAGGATGGCAACAAAGGTGTTGTCAGTTTTTTTAAAAAGCGTAACAGCTGCATTGTTCTTTAATGCATGGATGTGAGACCTACAGCCCTTCAGATGTGGCAGGACTCCAGTTCCCATCAACCCCTGCCAGCATGGCCAGTGGTCAGTGATGGTGTAACATGCATTCCCAGGTTGCCTACCTCTGCTCTAACCTGTCACAGGCAACATCCCAACTCCATAACTTTTGGGAAATCAGCTTTTTTTTTCTCCAGAAGATAATAGGATATGAACTCATCACTTGCCTTCAGCTGAACAGTTGCTATCTCCCTACCCCAAAATAACAGCATTTGGGGGTTATCCCACCAGCTGTTTCATTTCCCCTATTCCCTTTGTTATTGAGGGAAAGTTCGTACGTAGTTTTGGTTTCTGCAACCATGGAAACACAAGACTAGCAGCTATTTCCCTCTCTCCTGTACACGAGCTATATTTGACCAGTATTTCCTATTTGTAGTAAAGCACAAAATGGACCAAGAAGTCGTTATACTTTCTTATCAGAGCCTACACAAAGCCTTGCTCTGTTTCATTGCAGTCCTCGGTGGCTGCTATATGAGACAGATGAATTTGGAAGGAGATAAATTTGACCCATTTTTAATTCTGCAGTGACAACGCAATTTTCAAAATTCATTTATCAATGAGATAACTATAACCTGTTAAATCAATTTACTACTGACATGGTATTTGTAAATCCTCTGTTGTGGTATTTGTATATTCTTTGGTTCCTGCTTCAGGCACTGGGACAAACAGAAACATACTTTTGCTTTTATACTGTTTAGAAAAATATGTGGAGGGTCCCCTCCAATGGAAAGCAAAATTGCCAGTATTTAATGGAGGATTATTTCATTTAGAACTTTTTTTTAAACGAGGACACTAGAGTTACTAATTATTAAATGGTTTAGCTTATATTTAATTTTGCTAATATGTTTTCCTTATTAAGCTGCAGTTCTCACCACAGTTACTAAGGAGCGAACCCCACCGGCATTTACTTTTCAATAACTGCTTAGGCTGTAATCCTGTTGGCTCTCTTACCTGAAAGTCCTTTTCAGTTCAGTACATGTGTAGGATGTTCAGGCATGTAAAGGATTGCAATGTAAGGATCATGATTGATAATAGCCCAGAAATGAGCACTGCAACCCCAGAGTCGTCCGCGACTGGACCTAACAGTCAGGGGTCCCTTTACCTTTACTATTGTCTGATTGCTTAACTCTGCAGTCCTGTACAAAATTACCTGGTAGTAAGGACCACTTGTCCAATTCAGTGGATCTTACTTCTGAGTAAGCACATATAACATTGTACTGCAAGTTTAACAGATAAGTCTGGAGCAGTTTACAGTGACACAACTGTCACTGAATTCATATAGAGCACCTCTGCTTGAAGTACATTTTCATGAATTCTTACGCTTATAATTTGAATTGACAACATAATTCCCTGGAGAGCAATAAAGCCTTATTTCCACTTCTCCTTGGTTTGTGTCACAAAAAATGATAAAAACCACAAGCGGTATCTTACCCCGAGATCTGACCAAAAGCAACATCTCTGCCAAATATGCCACATGTTAAATGTTTTCACTTAGCAATGTTTGTGACGCCTCTTCATGTTTGAACCATTTGTCTTGCATGCTATAGAGTAGCTGGTGGGTGCGAAGAGCGTGTAAGACACTTTATTCTGAAGTAAGATACACTCATCTGTTCCATTTCTGTACTACAGGTTTGTTTTAAATCTTCTGCACTTAAATGAATGGGCACCTCGACCTCCTTAAATTTGTTTTTCTTCAAGTGATTAAGGCTGCAATCCTAAACCTGCTTGAAGAGTAAACGTACAGTTTCCTACATTCAACAGCACTACACTGGCTTATAAAGTTGTTGAGGTTTATAAAAACCGGTTATTGGTTTATATTTGTGATGATTAGTCAATAATGTATCAGTGTTGAATAGCTCCACTCTACTCACACGGTGACTCTAGCACAGTTTGTGGATCACTACAGCCAAGGAACGCTTTAGTAAAAACACGAAACATTGTGTGTCTTGTAGCCAAGGAAAAATATGTATGGAGAATAAGTACAAAGTTAAATGTGAGTCAACGGGTATAATTGGGTATTGAAAACCTAACATGTTTTCTACTTAGGGGTCTTTTGTGGGGTTTTTTAAACAAATGCTTGTTTCCTTTTGTGTCACGAGAGGCTTCTTCCCGAAATAAAGTGTTTCAAAAAATCATGTTTTTGAGTAGTGTTGAATAATCCCTGCATTCAGTGAAATTTGGTTGTGCCCAGTGCTTTTTTCCAGCTGAATGTAGCACCTCTCAGGTGGGTGCCATGGTCATTCTAAGGGAAGGAGGGAGGTGTTCATGGTGAGTTCTTTTTCTAGAAAAATACCACTGGTTATGCCCTCTAGTGTTCAGTGCCTTTCCTCTTCTACCTTTACACATTCGGAAACTAGTAAAAGACACAAATATTTAGCCAACGTTCAACTCTTAATGGCACCATTGAGACTATTAAATAATAAAATAATAATCAGGATAGCACTCAAGGGCCAGTTCACCTCTCACCAGCTTGTACCACAGTCATGTTCTACATTCAGCATGCAGCTGACATTGTAGTATAATAATAATAATAATAATAATAATAATAATAATAATAATATTATATTTCCCCAGCCACTCTGGGCGGCTCCCAACAGAATATTAAAAACACGATAAAACATCAATCAAAAATACTTCCCTAAACAGAGCTGGGCTGGCTTCAGCTGTCTTCTATAAGTCAGATCGTTGTTTATTTCCTTGACATCTGATGGGAGGGTGTTCCACAGGGCAGGTACCACTACCAAGAAGGCCTTCTGCCTGGTTCCCTGTAACTTCGTTTCTCGCAGTGAGGGAACCGCCAGAAGGCCCTCAAAGGAGGACCTCAGTGTCCGGGTAGAACGATGGGGGGTGGAGATGCCCCTTCAGTATAAGCTCTCCCCAAGCAATTGGGATGAATCCTCAGTAAGTAGGCTGTTGGGAACAGATCTGTGAAAAAAACTCATCCCAGCGACTTTGGCTGAGAAGAATAAAGTCCCTAGTCCCACCCATAGTTGTCAGCTTTCAGATTTGAAAATAAGGGACCAGCAGCCTCAAAAATAAGGGATCAGCAGCCTCACCTGTCCCGGGGACAGTCTACGGGATATCTAACAATCCGTGATAGCAGCGGGAAACGGCGCTGGAATAAGGGAATTTGCCGCAAAAAAAGGGAAGGTTGACAGCTATGGTCCCACCCCTAAGACTTCTGTCGACTCTCATTCCTCAGTTTTTTTAAAGCAGAGATTGGCCGCCTGTCATGGGTGCTTTAGTTGAGATCCCCTGCATTTCCAGGGTGTGTGTGGCTGGGGTTGCACTAGACAACCCTCGTTATAGATAACTCTTAACACATTTATTTGGAAAAAGACAGGTAGACATATTTATGCTGTGTTGTGTTGGATTGGTGTACTGTAATGTTGGATTTCCAACATCATAAAATGCTTGTGTTTCTCCTCCCACACATACAAGAACATACAGTTGAATATAATACGTTGCATAAATTTTAAATTTCGCCTTATGAAAAGAATGGCAAACTGCCACATGCAGCGCCTTACTTGGATGTGTCTGGAGTCTTGGAAGCTTGACTACCCTACGTTCTCCTACAAATGGACCTTGAGCTTGTTTGGAGGTTCTAGCAGGGGAGCGCAGCTATCGTATACCCTTGACCGAAGAACGGTACACTCCTTCTATCTGGGATGGTCGTCCTCTTCCACCGAGCGCGCAGCTTCGGGAGGGACGCACATGGAGCGGTGAGGGAGGAAGGGGACACCCGCCTAGCCAGCCAGATCAGCCGAATCAACCCTGGCGATCAATGGGGTGACAGATGTCGCAGCCAGATCGCCCTCACATCCAGAGAGGAAAGAGACCTAATGTCTATATATACCTCTCGGGAGCCTGTTGCTCTAAAGTCATAGTGACTCTGATCAGCTTGACTCGCTGTGCAAAAGTGAAATTCTTACTCGAACGCTGAAAGAGAACATTAAAGAGCGTTCTGCAAAATCGGGTTGGTTTTATTTATTATTCCGATTATTTTGGCCCTCGCCCTCCTTCCCAGGTTGCACTGAGCCACATGCAAATTAAATATCTTGCTACTGGCTGGGCCCTCTCGTCTTGCCCACGCCCCCTTGCCTGCCGTGCACAAAACGGCGAGGGAGGCGTTGCCTGCTCCTGGACTGCGAGCGCCTTCAGCATTTGCAGCTACCGCCGAAGGTAGGGTTCCTTGTTCGCAGTTGCAGCAGCCATGCACGTGTGCAGGAGTGCATCGTGTGAAGAGCTGCAAGGGGGGTTGGCACGGGACGAGAGGCGCAAAAAAGTTGCCCGTCGATGATGATCGTGATGGAGAGTGGTTAGCAGCAGTAGCTCCACCAGGCCTGTTGCACCCATCCATCGGGTTGCCTTTGAAAGGCACCGTGAACGTAGGAAGGGGAGCTAAGCTGCAGTTTGCCCCAGCGCTGCTTTGGCTTTGCGCATTTGCTTTGCTACGTTGCGGGTTTGGAACGTGGAGAGCCATTCCTGGGCTGGGCTGGAACTGGGTGGGAACTGAGCGTTCGAAGTTCGAAGCCTTTGATGTGCCCAGATCAAAGCTCTCCGCTGGAAGTGGGTTGCTAACATGGGTTGGTTACTGAGACTTCGCGATCCAGTTCTAAAGCAGCAGGGGGGGGGGGCTGCATGCCGCAGCCCCAAGTCAGAGGGGCAGTGAATGCACTTTTATTTCCCTCCTGCTTTCAGCTGCCCATGAGTGGGAGGCTCTGTAAAAGATCCAGAGGGCTTCTCACCTGTATGGGGCGCCTGCAATGGGGGTAGCCAACGTGCCGCCCTCCAGGTGTCGCTGGACCACAAGGAAAGGTTTATTAGACTAAAAACCGCTATTTGTGTTTGTAAAATAAATAAATGTGCAATTTGCTTTGACCAACTTGCAACTTGCAAACCAAGCACGGAGCGGGGATGGCAGGGTGCATGCCTGTTGCATCATTCTCAAGCTGCCCTCGCACATGAGAAGGGCGCAACAGGGCAGGGGACAAAGCTGGGATCGCAGGGTGCCGTGAGGATTGTGCCCTTCCAAAAAAAAACCTGCCCAGGGCAAGATCTGGGCACAAGATTCCTGCATTTGCAAGGGGTTGAACTAGATGACCCTTGTGGTCCCTTCCAATTCTACAATTTGATGATTCGATTATTCCTGTAGGGGCGACACAATTCCCTCTAGTTCAACAGATTTTCCCAACCCTCCATACTTGAATCAGTAAGTTTCAGCATGTTAGCTCGCTTCCACCCATCTCCCGTCAGGACTTCAACTGCATCCCAGGGTTTTCTACATGGTGGAAAGGAGCTGCGTTTCCTACAGATAACCCATCTGCTCTGGATGATATCTCCCATGGATGCTGAAAAGCATGGGAGGCAAAATGGAGCTTTGAAGAACTCCAGGGGGTAGCTCAAAAGTCCCCTGGAACAGGAGAGAGCCCTTTTAGAAAAATTAGAGTTGTTTGAGGACAAAGCAAAGGAGACAAATTATCTTTGATTTTATTATGTATGTAAAAAATGCTGTACACCATCTAACTCTTCCTCCAGCATTTGAATGGATCAAGTAGATTCAATGAATTGGAGTGCTAGTAGCAGCATATCTGTGTCTTCTCTTTATCGCCCCTTCTTTCTGATACTAGATCCCCATCTATAACATTCTATTGGTGCCCTGTCTTCTGTTTGCTGGTGGTTCTAGCAGTCTGACATTTATCTCTTCCTTAACATTTCACACGGGGTGTAAGTTGACTTGACTTTATTGTGTATTGTTTTGGATGTCCTTTGTATCTAACTACAATTTTTTAAAATTTTTTTTAAATAGTCCCCCAGCACTACTTTTTAGAACTGCCCCCTCTTCTGAACAAAGGACTGGCACCCCCATAGCACCAGCCCTCCAAGTCCCATCTCAGGGACAGCCCATAATAATACCATGGTCAGTAGTATTGAAAGCCGCTGAGAAGTCCAGGAGAACAAAAAGGGAGAACTTTGCCTCCCAAATTGCACTTCTCAGAGTCAGTTATCTGCTAGAATGACTTCACACCAAAAGAATTTGGTTCAATTAAAAAAATACCACTGCTTATCATTTTGTTTCTCCTTGTCTTTTCTGACAACCATGATGCCAAACTAATGATATTCAGGGAGCAGTAAATATTGCCAAATGTGGGGGCTTAGTTAACCTTCAAACACTTGCTTGTTTCTATTGTTGGCTTTCGAAACCATGTTTTTGTGTGTGTGAGAGAGGAGGAGCCAACATGGCGCCGAGGTAAGACGCGCTTACCGGTGCTCTTCGGACTTCTTTTAATCTTTTTTAATCTTTTATACTTTTATCTCAACTGACTCAGTCAGTTTTTGAAGTATTTTATAATTGCTGCAGCCGCATACCTTGGAAACTCTTTGAGAGATTTGGCCCTGCTCCAGACTGCTGCAAGCCGCTCTTTGTTTCTCTCATATCAGCGGGCTGGCTTTAGCTGCTAAAGGAGTTGAGAACGCCATTATCTTAATTGCGTGTTAAGTGTTATGTTATTTTAAGAATCGTATAATCTCTGGCCTGAGGAAAGCATGGGTCAGAAAAACGCTTGAGAGACTTTGACGAGCCCCTATCATCCCCTAAACCAAAACTATCAAGGTTGGTGCCACACCGGAATGGAGGAGGGAGTGACCATGCCGAGCAATGCTTTGCAGTGGAAACCCAAAATCGCTTCCAACCTCTAATTGATTTAGAAGCTACTCCGATTCCGATGACTCAAAATGTTTCAAATGTAAAGCCTGTAAAGGAGAATACGAAAGAAAAACTCTCATCGCAGGAAGATGGTTTGGCATCTGTTATGGGGAGTTCCCCAGTTGTGAGCAGTTACACTTAGTAATTAAGACCCTTCACTGTATTTTTAAAAGGCTGGACGAGGTATCTTCACAATTATCCAATATCCTGCTGAAAATCGGAAAACTTGAATCAACAACACAATCCTCAGTTTGTGAGGTCAAAAACTTATTGCCTCACCCCCATTCAGATAAAATACTGGAGACTAAAACTAAATATGTCTTAAATTCCCAATTGAACAATCAGATATTAACTTTGCAACCCAAGAAAAGTTGCCTTTCTGTCAGGTCGGAAATAGGAAGATGGTCAACGCTAGAAGGAGCTAAAGACTGCTTAAGCAAACTTTTAAAAATTAAGAAATATCAGATTGACCTATATGCTGTAATGCCCCTTCCCCGGCAGACCAACTTCTTGAAGGTGATACTTGCGTTCCACTCTGAAAAGATACCATCTATTATTGTTAGGAGGAAAACGCTTTTGTCCATGGCCGACATTGTAGCAACGAGGGTTTTTACAGACAGCAAGATCAAACCCCTTCTAAATAGGTGCCCTGGCGGTGAGGACATTAGGACAAGAGACTCTGCCTTACCTCAAAATACTGTCAGGCCCAATCGCGATGACTCTGCAGCGTGCCATCCGCGACCAAACTCGATACCCTCTCAAACTGCTATATATGAGGATGATAATCTGCAGACTGCCCTCGACGAAAGGGAACTTATTGATTCATTCAGAGCCCTTCCTCCGAAAGAACAGTCGGTGATGATGCAAAGATTTGACACGCTTAAATCTCAGCTTTTGCAAGTCCAACATAGAGGGGAAGATACTAACGATGTCTCAAATAATCCCACTTGGGCCCACCGGACAGAAGTGGTTGACCTTCTTCAGCTCAGTCCCACTCTGAATTCAAAAACCATCCGACAAGACTCAAATCTTCAAGTTGCTTCTGCAGCGTGCGCTACATCACGAGACGACCAGGCTCTGCCATCCTCACTGAACCTTCATCTATATTCATCAACCAACATATCTAAGGACGAAATTCTGATTTCCCTGCTTGACTCAAATCCCTCTTTAACTCACTCATCTATGCCAGAGCTAGAATCTTCTCCGGTTTCGTCCAGATATAGAAGTAGTCCACAAGTGATGCCCCTGAGAGAGTCTTCCGCAATTTCCACCTCCGTGATGCCCCCTCAATTACCTCCTTCAAAGGAAACTGCGAATGTTACACCTCGGGACCCGCCGTCAGAAATGATTGAAGACCCGATGGGACGCATCAATAAAATAATCCGAATGTCGGATGACAAATCTGCGAGAGGGTTTACCCCGACGGACTCAATTTCCCCTACCTGGGTATTTCTCTGTCAAGTTGTACCAAGAATTTCGAAATGAAGAGACTTCCTGTTCAGAGACCTACTTTCAGTGGATCATCCACGGTGTGCCAACAGTCGAACCAAATTGTTAAAAACTTTAATTTGCAGGGCGCCTCACAGTTACCATCCTCCCAAAGTAAAATAACTGACTTTTTTGTTACATCTTCTGTCTCTAACAGAGAGTCTGCCCCCCCTCCATTTTGACTGTTAAAAGAACAACATAGAAGTCCCCAGCTAGCAGTCCTAAGTTGGAACATTGCTGGCTGGAAAAGGAAAAGATTAGATCCCGAATTTCTGTCCTATATAAACTCTTTCCAGATAATCCTTTTGCAAGAAACATGGGAAGAAGATAAAATAGATATAAATGGCTTTGAACTGATATCACTTCCAGCTATCCCCTCCCAGAAAGGTGGCCGGTCCAGAGGCGGTCTTGCAATCGCCATATCGCTTAAAATGAGAGCTAAACTCTCGCTAGTTCATACCTTTCCTCCTTTTGCTTTTACTGGTCTGATTTCAAGTGAAAAATTCTCACTATTAATCACCAATGTTTATCTTCCTCCAGGTGGTCTGATATCAGACCTTCATTATAGATGGGATTCTCTGGAAGATCATTTATTGGCATGCTATGTTAAGTACCCTAATATTCCATCGATAATGGGTGGTGACTTCAATGCACGTACAGCTGCCAACTGGAATGGGATAATTAAGGCCAAGTGGTGGGTATCTCCCCCCTACCCAAAATCTGATTTAATCTCTTTCACATCAAGAAGATCTAAGGACAACAGAGTGAATGAGGCGGGAGTCCTTCTTTATCAATTGGCCATTCGTATGAATTTGAACATTCTAAATGGCAACTGCCCTCCGGACGTGCCAGGTGAATTCACTCATTTGGGCACAAAATCAAATAGTGTCCTAGATTATCTTCTAGTCTCAGAAGACCTATTTTCAAATTTCTTTTATCTCAAAGTAGATAATGTACAATCCAGTGATCACCTACCTCTAGCGGCCAAGCTAACGCTTGACTGGCACCCGGTTAGCGGAACACACCCAATTCATGTAGGTTTAAATGCCACAGCTCAAGTAAGAGGCATTAAATGGTCCATGAAACAGGCCCAAAATATGCAGAATTCTTCCAGAGGAATAGCTCCGAATCCCTTATTGTTTCATTGGCGGAGCTGTCTGAACCAAATAGGATACTGGAGTGGTTCTCCCACTTCTCTGCAGATTTAACTAGTTTCTTTACGATGCCGGCTCACCTCGCTAACCGTGATCAACCCAGGTTCGGTGCACCTTGGTTTGATGCCAAATGTAAGCAAGCTAGACTCTCTCTCTGTTGTATCTACAACAGATATAAAGCCTCTGGAGCTGAAACTCTCCCCCCAGAGTACTTGCAGGCCAAAATTGCTTACAAACAGGCTCAGAAGTCAGCCAAGCACGAGTGGCAGCTAAGACGTTGGCAAGCGCTGATTGCTGCCTCTAAGCTTCGCAGCTCTCGCGGTTTTTGGAATTTAATCAACAAAAGATCGAGGAAATACCCATTGACGGTTATCCCAGCCCCGACATGGGAACAATTTCTAAGAAAATATTTCTCCCAGACAGACATCTCTAACATCCAATCTGATACTCTCTCAAGTCACTTGCCCATATGGCCAGATACTGACCCGGAGGAAATAGTAGATTTAATTGCCAAACTGAAAACTGATAAAGCCCCAGGGCCCGATCTGATCCCGGCGGAAGCTATTAAACAACATCCAATATGGTGGGCTAAAATTCTTGCAAAAATCTTTGATGCAATCAATGCCACGGGCCAGATACCTACATCATGGAAGGAGTCCATCATAATTCCTATATATAACACAGGACCACCAGAGGACCCAGGAAACTATCGTAATATCAGTTTATTATCAATCATCGGAAAAATCTACACTCGCTTCTTGCTAACCAGACTAACCCAATGGGCCGAAGATTCCAATCTGATAGGCCATGAACAGGTCGGGTTTAGACCAAATCGCGCTTCTATTGACCATGCTATAATTCTATATCATTTGGCGCGGAAATATTCTTCCCCTACTCATGGTCTTCTATGTGCCGCTTTTATAGACCTGAAGGCGGCTTTTGACAGTATCTCTAGAGAGCTGTTATGGGAAAAACTGGCAAAGTGGGGCATAGAAAAAAGGCTGTTGTGGCTATTGATTAAATTACATGAAGGGACGGCTGCTAGGGTGAGGTTAACACCTGAGGGCGATCTAACAAACTCAGTTCCAATAAACAAGGGGGTACGACAAGGGTGTATCCTTGCCCCCTATCTTTTAACCTCTATATTAGTGACATGAGGACGCCCCTAGCTGAGGCCCAAACCTCCATTCATGCACCCAGGCTTGCAGACTATCGCTGCCCCTTATTATTGTACGCTGACGATGCGGTGATCCTCTCTTATTCTCGAATCGGTTTGAGGAGGGCCCTTAAGATTTTTGCATCATATTGCCAAACAAATTTACTCACTATTAACCATTCCAAATCTAAAGTCCTAATTTTTTCCAGGAGTCGTAAACTGTATAGATGGGAACTTGAGGGGAAGCCAATTGAACAAGTTTACAAATTTCAATATCTAGGAATTTACTTCCAGTATAATATGGGATGGAAAGCGCATATCACATATTTACAAAACAAGGTGAAAGCCCTTATCTACGCTATACTACGCTTCTTCTTTACTGAGGGGGCTATGCATGTTCCATCCGCCTTAAAAGTTTATAGTGCAAAAGTGGTTGCAACTATGGCCTATGCGGTCCCTTTATGGGGCGTCTTTGTAAACCTCTTGCCTCTGGTGACATTGCAAAATCTTTTTCTAAGACGCCTTTTGAAACTACCCTCCTGTGTAAGCAACTCTGCCATTCGCTTAGAACTTAAGACCCCCTCCCTTGAGATTCTGATGTGGAGACATGCCTTTAATTATTGGCTGTCCCTTTGGCATAAATTGCCAAACTACCATCTTATTCAGTGCCTTTGGAGAGATGAATTCACCAGCCCATGGGCAACAAAAATCCATTCCAAACTGTTGTCTTATGGAATCTCTCCCTCCGATATACTTAATTTAGATCTAATTACAGCTAAAAAGGTCATCAAACAAAGATTGGAGGATGTAGATTTACAACAAAATCTTACCACAGGTGGAGGTACATGTTCCCCGATATATCAGGGCATTACATCTATGTCCCAGATACCTCGATATCTGTCTACTTTATCGGCTGCGTCGCATAGATTCGCATTTGTTAGAGCCAGATTTAATGTGTTCCCCTCAAATGTGCTGAGCAATAGATTTTCTAACGGTAAAATCTCTGTTTTGTGCGCATGTGACAACAAATCGATAGAATCCCTTTATCATATCTTGTTTAATTGCCCCTTATACAATGTTCCCCGATCAAGGATCCTGAGTTCAATCATCCTGGAAATTGCTGCTAAACCACCTGAATTACATCTAGCTTATCTACTCCAGGACATTGACTCTTATAGAACTTTACAGGTTGCTAGATTCCTGATCTCAGTTCTGTCTTATAAAAGACTTCAGGGAATGCTGCATGACTATTAAAAATTCAGTAAACTCTATGCACCATCTTTATCTTCAAGGCCATAACACGGTACAGTTAGAGATTATGCGTTGAAATATTTTAGTTGATATTTTAGATTGTAAAATGCTATTGATTTTATCTATTGATTTTTATCTATTGATTTGTTTTACCTTGTGGGCTTATAGCCGAATAAAGTATTATCTATCTGTGTGTGTGAAAACCCACTTGAGATTTTTATATTCGAAGAACAATCTGTTCCTTTGCTTTTATGCATCTACCAGGTGGGTGAGTTCAGTTTGTTCAGTCTGACCCTTCTAAAAAAAACCCCAGAATTTGAACTGAGAATGGGGAAATAAGAGTACAATCAGTGGTACTGATTTTATGTCCCATATTTGTTGGCAAGGTGTCTAAGGCATGCTGTCTAAGATATCTAGGGAAGGGTAATATTTTTTCCACTGGTGCTTTCCACAAAACTGGTATAATATGAACTTTAGTAAAGTGGATTTGTTTTGTTTCATCACTGGATACTTTGTTTAGCAATCATCTTAATTTCAGTGTTTCATTTCTCCCTCCCTCCTTGTCGCCCATTCTTCCAACCTTTCTGTGAAAGTTTCTCTCTCCAATTGACACTCATTTCCCCCCCCTAATTCATCTGTGTCACTGAACATTTATTCCTAAAAGTCAGATGAAAGTGGCAAGACTTCAGCTCCATGTCTGTGCACAAGTGCAAGGTTTTTCTACACAACAATGGTCAGTGTGGGAGAATCCTTATATGTACTGTAGCTTGGTGGGAGGGGGGGATTAACCCTTTGCCTGATCAGATGCCCCATGTCACCAGGTGGCATAGGAGACAAACCTTCAATCAAAGCAAATGTGAGGTTTTTTCCTTCACTATTCACATTTCTGGTGTGTGGCATTGAGACAGGGACCCTAGTGGTTAAAGCCCACTAACTCTTTACCATGGTCCCGATCCAGATTTGGTGAGTCTGCACTGGCAATTTGTGTAAGTAATAAGCTGCACTTAAGAGCACACACCTAGTTAATGTATCTTCTAGTATGGCCCTAAGTCACAACCAGCATTCCAGGTGGTATGATCCTGAAACCCCATAGGAGCAGCCTTGGTGGATCCTACTCAATGCCATTCTAGCCCAGCATCCTCTTTCTGACAGTGGCCAATCAGAAGCCTCCAGGAATCCCACAAGGCAATAATCACGTTCTGTTCTTGCCCCTTGGCAACTGATGTTCGGATAAATACTGGCACACAACATGGCAGTTCTTTACCTTTCAGGGCTAAAAACTTTTAACAGACCTATTCCTATTATTTGTTTGTTACAAGGCAGTGTATGTGATCATCCCACCACATTATATCCTTACAACAACCCTTGAAGGTGGAGAGGGAGTGACCTACCCTAGGTAGTGGGAGATTTAACTCTCTGATCCTAGTCCAACGCTCACTAGACTAGCTCTAATCCCCTATAAAGCTGTGTAGGCAAGACTTCCTTTTGTCTGACTTGAATCTGCAAGAATTAATTCCACCTACTTCATTCATGTATAACTTTTGCATGAAGAACTCCCATCTTATTCTGAAGCAGACCAGTTGTCTAAGTAAGAGGATCCTGTACAGATCATGCTTTGATTTTCTGGTACAAGGTGTGCTTTTTGTGCATAAGGAAAGGGTTGATACATATTGTCCATCTCTGGTTCATTCTGCTCTTTGCTGCCCACCTGCCTGCCTCTGCCTCCAGTTCCCTCCTCCTCATTTGTCATCATACTGTAGTTTGCAGTGCCACCTGAACTGCAGCATGACAACATCCTTAGGGTATTATTATACGTATGTCCTTTCTCTTTGTTGTTTGGACTGATATATCTTTTCCTTCTCACACCTCTCTATTGGACCTCAGAATAAGGTATTCCTTTTGAATGATCCTCTGAGAGAAGAAAGGAGCAAACATGGCTGCCTTCTCCTCCTCTAGACTAGTTAGGCTAGAAACATTTTCTATCCAAGGCATTTATTTCCTACAATAAACAACTTTCTTATTTTCTTACCTACAATCATCCGTGTTGTGTCTGTGCGATTGCAGCAGCCAGGTGTACTATTTAACTCAAATGCAATAGTAGTAGTAATAGTACTACTACTACTAGTAATAGTAGTAGTAATACTCTGCATCATAAGGGGCTTCAATGGATAATTGGTCCAGCTACCCCACTACAAATAGCCGTTGTTTTGTTTTCCTGTTCTAATGGTGCTGTAATGTGAAGAACTTGCTCTTATTCCAGGTTTTCTCAATTCACCATCTTCATATTAGAAGTGGGATCTGAAATAATTTCCCCAGTGCTCAGTGTGAGCCTACAAAATAGAATACAGTGGTACCTCGGTTTACGAACTTAATCTGTTCCGGAAGTCCGTTCTTGAACTGAAACTGTTCTTAAACCAAGGCACGCTTTCCTTAATGAGGCCTCCCGCTGCCAGTGCCCTTCCACCGTTCGGGTTCTGTTCTTAGACTGAGGTAAAGTTCACAAACCGGGACACTACTTCCGGTTTTGCGGAGTTCATAAACTGAATCGTTCGTAAACAGGACTGTTCTTAAACCGAGTTACCACTGTAGATTGAATTTGCAAGCGGCAGTTGGCTAGCCTTCACCCACATTCTTGGATCATCAATGAGCAGCTGAAATCTGGGTGGTTTTGTTTTCTTTCTGTCTTTTTATTTATGTCTCTTAGCCGAATAAGTAGCTGTTCTCTCCACTGATGCAGCTGTCTTCCACAGTTTTTCAGCCGTTGCTTCCCCCCTCCTTATTAAGGGACGCAGCAACACTGAGAACTGTGGGCTATTGTTTACGTGCCAACACATAATTTTCCCAGGATCCTTTCTGCTGAAGACTAGAGAAAGTAACAGACTGGGTTCTTTTCCTACTTCCAAAAATGTAACTAGTTTGACTTGAATGGATTGCTAATTGTGCACTCTTCCTGCCTTGTGGGTTGCAGAATAGAATAGCTTTCTTTTTGAGTTCTTCTAGTAACCTGTTCAGGCTTGATAGCTGTTTCCTTTCCTTTCCTTTATTTCTTTTTAAAGTTTTTCACAATACAATAGAAGACAAGCTAACCTACACAATAAAAGGGGCAAAATAAGAGAAACGAAAAGAGATAGAAGAATACAAGATCTATTCACACAAGTGTATCTTAACTTTTGTCCCCTACTAGTGCAGGGAGGTAACCTGGCCATTGGACTGACATACGTAATATTTGTTCCAATTGGGACCATTGGAAAGGGTTTTTCTTAAGGAGGGTGGTGGGGTGCCCTGCCCACCTTCTGCCTTGCCAGTGCAAGTCCAGAAAAGCTCTGAATTTGGTGGTCCATCCGCCCTTAGCGTTAATCTGCTTCTGCATCCACTTTTCCTTTTGCACAAAGGGATGCAACAACAACAACAACAACGCTCTTTGGGCAGTTTTTATTAACATGCCAGGGAAACAAGTGGAAAGTACTCTGTATGTTAGCAATGTATCAATAAGCAAACTATAACAAACTGCATTTGCTGAACGATGGCCTTTTGTACTATATCTCGATGTGCCAAGAGACCTTATGACCTCTCTCTGTTGCTTAACGAATGATGATTAGTTTCAGATCTTTATTTGGTGAAATGTGTTTGCTCAAGCAAGTTGGCTGTGCACCAAGAATGATGCCTTTGTGTTTCTTTTCATCAGGCAATCAAGAAGCTGAAATCATGTCTGGAAAGCCCAAACTGTACTACTTTGATGGAAGAGGCGCGATGGAGTCAATACGATGGCTGTTAGCAGCAGCTGGGGTGGAGGTTTGTGTTTCCTTGTCTGCCAGCTTCTGTACAAAGATGTTATCATAGTTATGGGTTATGCCTTGTACAGTGTGGGATGCAGTTATTAGGGCACATTACATACTGTAGCCAAAAGAGATGAGAATCAGTGGGGTATTCCTATTTCTTACAGCACAAACAGATTTTGTTTCTTGATGTGTTGAAACTTTGAAGCAAGCAACTTTTTTTTTTGCCATATCTTGATGGAATATATGATAAAGCCATCAAGCCAGATAAAGTTGTCCTGGGGTTGGATAAGCCGCCCTTTAGCCTTGGGAAGGTCCCCCCTTCCATTTATTTTTGGATATCCCATTCATACCATGGGAATATATTTTGCCCCTTCCTTTCACCAGCACAGCATACAGAATTGTTGAGAATGTATGCATGTACAACCTGCTACACTTAAATTATTTTCATTATTTGCTTATTTTGCAACTGCACATTCTGAAGCCACACAGTCATTTATAATAATAATAATTTATTATTTATACCCTACCCATCTGGCTGGGTCTCCCCAGCCACTCTGGGCAGCTTCCAACAAAAGTTTAAAAATACATTAAAATATCAGTCATTAAAAACTTCCCTAAACAGAGCTGCCTTCAGATGTCTTCTATAAGTCAGATAATTATTTATTTCCTTGACATCTGATGGGAGGGCATTCCACAGGGCGGGCGCCACTACCGAGAAGGCCCTCTGCCTGGTTCCCTGTAACCTCACTTGGAAGGAACTACCAGAATGCCCTCGGAGCTGGACCTCAGTGTCTGGCCTGAACGATGGGGGTGGAGATGCTCCTTCAGGTCTACTGGGCCAAGGCCTTTAAAGGTCAGCACCAACACTTTGAATTGTGCTTAGAAACGTACTGGGAGCCAATGTAGGTCTTTCAAGACTGGTGTTATGTGGTCTCGGCGGCTGCTCCCAGGGGAGAGGAATTTAGAATCAGTATGTCAGTACAATATAGAAAAACGTTCTACTGTTATGTACAAATTGTTGGCAAGTCATGAGAACTAGAAACATGACTTTAAAAATCTGGAGTGGTATCCAACAAAATGCTTCCTTTAGTCCCAGGACTAGTCTGTCGCCTCTCCTCAGTTGCCCCCTAAATCTGTTATGGGGGTTCCTCTAACCCTCTGGAGCAGATTTGGGGGGGAGTGTGGTGTGAAAGGAGAGGAAGGGGAAGTTTCACTGTGCAAGTAGAAATCTTTGCATTAGCAGAAGCACTTAGCTGGTGTCTGCCTCAGATTCCTCTGAATTCTATTGAAAGCTTATGAACCACCCAAAAGAAACAAGGAGGATTTGATGTTTTATGAAAAACTTTAATTCTGGTTTTTATTTTTTATTACAAGCTGCTTTGATGACCCTGTTAGGCCAGAAAGACAGGATATATATATTTAAAAATCAAGTAAGTAGTACTTTCTTAGATGTGCCAACATAATATGAAGAAAGTTTGCTTTTTGTCTTAGAGTGCTCCTATTTTACTCAACTTTTATCCAGCACAAATCAGTAATCCAAAACAGTTTATCAGAAATACCTAACTGCAGTACAAGGGGAGAGGAATTAAAAATATGATTTCAATGCACTTAAACTTGGGCAACTGGACATGTGTTTTCTCTGTGTATCTGCTTGTGGTTTTTGCATGTGTTTGGGTTTTTTTAGTCCTCGTGCTATTGCATTGTGTGATTCAGTTGAAATCCACTCGGTATCACAGTGATGTAGGAGGAAAGGAAAATCTTATCAGAAGTGAAGAAAGCAGCTGTTCCTTTCTTGCATTTCACTGGTTTTGGAAACCTGATTCAGTGCTGGAAATGCCCACATCTTGATAAGAAACGGTTTGGTTAAGTTATGAAAGGCTCATTGCTTAGTTGTGACTTTTCAGAAGCAACAAACTCAAGGAGGGGGCTTGTTCTTGGATGACGTTCAATGATGAGTGTGCTTCTCAAGCACTGCAACAATTCATTACACTTTTTCTTTTCCCCATCTGGTAGTTTGAAGAGGAATTTCTGGAGACCAGAGAGCAATACGAGAAGCTGCTTCAAGGTAATTCGGTGATTTTGAAAATATTTGGCCAGGCAAGACAAACAAAGTACCATACTTTTCCATGTACAGTGGTACCTCAGGTTACATACGCTTCAGGTTACATACACTTCAGGTTACAGACTCCGCTAACCCAGAAATAGTGCTTCAGGTTAAGAACTTTGCTTCAGGATGAGAACAGAAATCGTGCTCCAGCAGCGCAGCGGCAACAGGAGGCCCCATTAGCTAAAGTGGTGCTTCAGGTTAAGAACAGTTTCAGGTTAAGTACGGACCTCCGGAACGAATTAAGTACTTAACCTGAGGTACCACTGTATAAGACTAGGTTTTTTTACTTTAAAATTATGTGAAAAACTGTGGGTCGTCTTATACACGGGGCAATCTCTCCCCTATTTTCTTAAAATAGGGGGCATCTTATGCATGGGGGTGTCTTATACATGGAAAACTACAGTATCTTCTTGGATAGGAGCCAAGGAAAGGCAAATACTTTTGAGTGCCAGAGAAGAATTGTACTCTTGCATTTCAAGTAAGCAACATAGTCTAGTGGCAGAAGGGAGAGATGTTGATTTTAATTGATCTCCTCATCCTCCAGCTCCAATTCCTTTGCTATTCAGAAAAGTTCAGTACAGTGGTACCTCGGGTTACAGACTCTTCAGGTTACAGACACTTCAGGTTACAGATTCCATTAAGCCAGAAATAGTACCTCGGGTTAAGAACTTTGCTTCAGGATGAGAACAGAAATCGTGCAGCGGTGGCAGCAGGAGGCCCCATTAGCTAAAGTGGTATCTCAGGTTAAGAACAGTTTCAGGTTAAGAATGGACCTCCAGAACGAATTAAGTTCTTAACCCGAGGTACCACTATATTGGAAGTTATGAATGCATGAAGGCACACCTAGCCACAGAGGACACTGCCCCCATTTTCTTAATTTGGAATCCCCCCCAAATAGGTGTCGTGTTATACACGGGGGCGTGTTAGACACGGAAAAATACGGTAGTTCTCTTGAAACCTGTTTTTAATGGTCACTGTTTCCATGACTTGAAAACAAAGTTCCTAGCTGACTGCAAGGTTGCAAGATAGTTTTTTTGTGTGTTCTTTGGCCAGCCCGTGTAGAATAATAGTCGCCACCAATTGCTCCACCATTTCCTCATTTGGTCTCTGCAGTCCTTCTGAGCACCAATACAATACCGTGGAATTGTACTGACTTTCATTTCTAGAAGAAACATTTTGACCTTTCGCTGTTTTTCTTTTTTTTTATCCTCTCAAAAGATGGATTCCTCCTCTTTCAGCAAGTGCCCTTGGTGGAAATGGATGGGATGAAGATGGTTCAGACGCGAGCTATCCTCAGCTACATTGCTGCAAAGCACAACCTCTACGGGAAGGACCTGAAGGAGAGAGCACTGTACAGTACCAGAAACATTTAGCTAGCTTTAAGTTATATTTCGGGTCCTGTATTTCACTCTTGTTTCTGGCTTCTGAGACCTACTACATCCTGGGGCCGTTCAGATAGTGTGGACTACAAATCCCATCAGCCCCTGCTCAGAGTTGCCTGTGAAGGGGGATTGACAGTGAAACCAACTCTGAGAATTGTAGCTCTGTGAGGGCAATTGGCAGAGGGCCTTTTTGGTGGTGGTGCCTGCCCTGTGGAACGCCCTCCCATCAGATGTCAAGGAAATAAACAACTATCTGACTTTTAGAAGACATCTGAAGGCAGTCCTATTTATGGAAGTTTTTGATGTTTGCTTTTTTATTCTGTTTTTAATCTGTTGGCTGGGGAAACCCAGCCAGATGGGCAGGGTATTATTATTATTATTATTATTATTATTAATAATAAATGTCTCTTAACAACTCTCTGTGCCCTTAACAAACTACAGCTCCCAGAATTCTTTGGGGGGAAGCCATGACTGTTTGAAGTGGCATTGCAGGGTTTTAAATGTATGGTAGAAATGTGGCCTGAATCAAAGGGCTTGTCCTCCACAATTTCACTTATCCTGCCACTTTTCCCCAGGGAAACTGACTCTTTACTGCTGAATCGGAGCAAACATCAGTCAGATTCTCTATGGAAAAGAGTGAGTGAAAAGCAGATTTTTCTAGAGAAAGTGGAGGAGCAAACTTTTACCTGTGCTTTCTAAGCATGGGACAAGTGGGAAAGTAGTTGGTGATGGATGGTTCTTTAGCTAGTCTTCATGAAAAGCAAATGATGGGATGGGAAAAAAATCATAGCATTTCTATGTGGACTAGGAGTGGGCACTTTCTGCCTCAGTCGCCTGCAGACCCAATTGTCCTCTCATTCTGACCGTTTACAAAGTGGTGCCTTCCAGATATTTTGGGGGAACAACTCCCATCATCCCTGGCCTTTGGCTGTCTTAATTGAGAGTTGGAGCCCAGCACATCTGGATAGCATCATGTTGCCACATCCCTGGGTTGCAACAACATGGAGAAAATCCCCCATCACCAAGCAGCTGGAATTGCAATGTCTTGTCTGCCTCGACACAGAGTAGTTGGTGGCCTCTTTTCTGCACAGCAGGAAAGAGCTGAAATTCTGTTTTGTTTGTGCATGTCGTAAACAAGATGGGCGCCTTAACAGATGTGTGAATATATGTCTCTTTAGAATTGACATGTATGCAGGAGGAACAACGGACCTAATGGCCTTGATTATGATGTACCCTTTCTTAACACCTGAGGACAAGGAGAAGCAACTGGCTACAATCATCAAAAAAGCAACACAAAGATATTTCCCTGTTTATGAAAAGGTGCGTTTCAGTAACCCTGCTTTATGAAACAGGCTTGTGATCTGGGCCGCTTCACAAATTTAATGTGTAAAATGTAACACAGGAAGAACAAATGTGTGGTGTGGTTTTTTTTTAAAGGACAGGTATAGTGATGGATGAGAAAGATGCTTATGTGTGCTTGGGAAGCTGTTCTTAGGCGTTGGGCTAACACTGGTGTCTTGCAGGTGCTGAAGGGCCATGGAGAAGATTTCCTTGTTGGCAACCAGTTCAGCTGGGCAGACGTCCAGCTCCTTGAAGCTATTCTGATGGTGGAGGAAAAATCCTCCAGTGTTCTGGCCGACTTTCCTCACTTGCAGGTACGGCAAACAAACACGATATGAGCGGTGTTGGAAACCCATATCTATAAGCTCGGCACCAAATGGCTCCTTAAACCAAGGTTGCAGTTGCCAAAATGGAATGTCTGGTTGCCATTTTGGGGCTCTAAAGTCTTATTTTTCAAATGATGGACTGACTGTGATTGGTTCTCAATTAAGCATCTGGCTAGCTCAAATGATAACCCTGACCTCGGTGAAGAGCTTTGAGAACTTAAAGAAGAAAAGTCACTTGATTCAGGGACAGCCCACATATATATCAGCCTATTCCGACCTCTTTTTCTTAATGGTGACACAGCCATTCATAATGTAGGGATCTCCATGTGAGCAGGGCAGTGGGGTGGGGTAAGTTCACTGCTCCTGCTCAGAAAAAGTGTTTTGGTTCCTGAGATTCATTCCAATTGTGCAGATAAACTATAACTGATAGAATTCTACAAGAAAGGATATTAGTGCGTGAAAACAATTGATATCCAGTGATCCCCAGATGGAGATGTCAGGCACCATCCTGGCACTTGGTTGCAAGTGGTTGAAAACCAGGTGCAAAATGCGCCTGGCTCCTGGCTAATTTCAAACACTGAATATGAGTTATGTTGTTTCTTCCTTTTTAAAAAGAATTCCTTTCCCATCTGTTCCAGACCTGAAAGCAGATGGGCTTCTGTAGAAACCCCTTCTAGAAAACTAAGTTAGACCTTAGGGTAATGTGATGATGATGATGTACACTAGTTCTGTGTGATGAGTGACTTAATGTTGCCTCCCATTACAGAATTCTGAATTGGCAAAAATGCTTAGATGCCCATGAAGCCACTCTCCTTAATTCAAACCAGAGTGAACATGGGAAGCATGTGCATGTTAAAAATTCATATTTTTTTTTAAAAAAGGCTGTTGACACAGCTGTAGCAAAGAGAGCTGTGGCACTCTAGATCATGGGTTGGGGGACATGTGGCCTTGCAGATAATTCCACCTCCCATCAGCCTCAGCCAGCACAAGGATGATGGGAGTTGTAGTCCGGTGACACCTGCAGCTCTAAAGGTTTTTAGCCTATGCTCTAGAGCAGGCATCCCCAACCTCCAGCCCTCCAGATGTTTTGGACTACAATTCCCATCATCCCTAACCACTCGTCCTGTTAGCTAGGGATCATGGGAGTTGTAGGCCAAAACATCTGGAAGGCCTCAGGTTGGGGATGCCTGCTCTAGAGATTGATTGGCTTGTTGGGCCATCAGTTTTAATAGACTCTACCAAATAGATTGAAGGTGATGGGTGCAGCATGCAAGTTTGTTATTTTAGTGCCATAGTTCAGGTTCTTTGATTCTGAGTCTGCTTGCTCTTGTTTTTTTTCTTCCTTTCCACTTGTTTTCAGGCTTTTAAAGAAAGGATCAGCAACATCCCCACAATTAAGAATTTTTTGGAGCCAGGAAGCCAGAGGAAACCTGTGCCTGACGAGAGATATGTGGAGACCGTGAGAAGGGTCCTCCAGATGTATCACAATTTGTCTGCAACTCCTTAGGCAGTATTTCTGCTGAGCTCCAGAGAATCACCAGTACTAATACCTAATAACAATGGCTGTCATAAAACTCATGGCATTGTGTTAGAGACTAGACTGCTATATGACACTTGATAGCTGCTAAACAGAATGGGGATGTGCATTCACTCAATCCACACAGAAAAAACAATATGCCCACATCTAAAACACATTTAAATTGCACAATTTCAGCTATATGCAGGCAAGGTGGGGATGCTCTCGTGAGATTTGGCGGGAAGTTGGATTGTCCTGCAGGATCTTGTGAGAGCAGTCCTACCAGTCCCAGAGATGGCACACCGAAATGTGAGGTGCCAAGGTCCAACACTGGTCATGGCTACCTGCAAAGAACCCTGGGAACTGTAGTTTGTTGAGGGTTCTGAGAGCTGTTAGGAGACTCCTATTCTTCTCACAGAGCTACAACTCCCAGAACTCCTTGGGGAGAGGGATTGGTTGTTACAAAGCACTCTGGGACAGACCAAATACCCCGCTGAACATTTGAGCCAGGCAGGATTTCAAATTCAGAGACATTTTTTAAAGGCAATGTTTCCCCCCCCCTCCTTGTCTCAAAAATGGCGCCTTTGATCTGTTTGAATCCTGGCAGATCTGATGCCTTTGTGGAGTAGTACTATAGCCTGTAAATTCGAAGCCATTTGGCTGCCCCACTCCAGGCTAAAAGCTGGAAGAAGACTGGCTGGTCTTCATTGAAAATTCATGGAAGATTAGTTATCAGACTTGAGGAATCTTCAGTATCCCTGGAATCTAGCAAACAGTTAAGTTAGATGGCAAAAGACAGGGTGTGTCTCCTTCTGAACTGAAACCCAACAAACAAATGAACGGATTTTGAATTAACTAAATATGAAAAGCTTCAAAAAATAAATTATATAAACACCTTTTTCATTAAGAAAGCAAAACAAAACCAAAATTTCTCCTGCACACCCCTACTACTTGTGTACTTGCTAGTAGTAGCATACGTAGCAAAAGAAGAATGCCATATACGAGGCCTTCTTTATTAGCAGATATATTGATCAATATTCCTACTCTTTTTGGAATGCAGCTTTCTTTATTAAATATATTTTGTGTATCCTGTTTCACCGGGTGAAGCAATATTTTTATTCAGCTGGACGGATATAAAAAACACTATTAGAAGGGAGGCTCGGACAGTCCTTTTCTGCCTACCAGTGTGTTCTGCAAATGGAAGGGGTTTGCTGCAGAGCTGGAAAAAAATTCGAAAGAGATTCCGTTTCAGTCTTTCTGCCTTTCATTGCTGGTATTTCTGAGCTCAGACGGCCAAGCTTATGCAAAACGCATGAAGACATTCAAAGTGACACTTATTTGCAAATTCCTGTGAAATCAAAATACACTAAACCTTCAATATATTTTATCTATCTCCTGCAACTTTTGCATTCTGTTATTATACTAAGCTGACATTGGATTTGGTATATTCAATTTATGTAGTGTTTTTCTTCCTATTGCTGCTACAATCTGGAAAACTCTCTAATAAACTACCTTGATTCCTGAGTAAAGAAGCATTTGCTTTTCCTTACTGTGTAAATATTGTGTGGAAGCTGTGCTTCTGGATCAGTGCCAGATTTACGTATAAGCTAAACAAGCTATAGCTTAGGGCCCCACTCTCTTGGGGGTCCCCAAAAAATTTAAAGGGAGAACAAACTGGATGTACATTTTATTGGCAAAACCTATTGGTGTTTTGCAGCTTTCTGACTACTCTGCTAGGTCTGGCTAAGGTCTCACAACTAAACGCAGAGTTCACGAAAGCAATTGGCAACTTGGCTGCAGACAGGCCGGACGAAGCAGGAACCAGGAACTTGTAGTTAGGTGTTTATTATATACAGTGGACTATTTACTGGAATACGGATCTTTAGCTAGCTCTCTCATACATGAATCACAACTCTCAACCTCCAACTCCTACACTGACACATTCCAGTTAGTAGGCCATTAATCATTATTTCCCTGAGAGAGCTTGACCAATCATGGAGCTGTTTCCATGCCTCTGTATCACCAGGCAGATTGCACTCCTTTACATTGCCTTGGCTGTCTCCCAAACCCTAACTGACTCTGTGTGAGTAGCTGCATGTATTCAGATTCCCAACACATTTCCAAAATATAAGATAAAAAACAAAACCTACATACAGCAACAGTGTTACTTATGATGTAAGTAATGGGCCCCACCTGCTAGTCTGCTCCCTAAAATATCACTGGTTTGATCATTTCTATATATAGTGGTACCTTGGTACTCTGTTCCAGATTTCAGTTCAACAATTACTTTGAAAAAATACATATTTTGTTATGTGCAAATGGCTTGATGCCTATTAGATCCATAAATTATCATATAGCATATATTCAACACAAAAGCAGCGACAATTTGTTGTTCACAAAGGACAGCTGTACCCATTACTTTCAGTAGCTTAGGGCCTCATCAAACCCAAATGGGGCCCTATTCTGGATCCTTTATTGATACTGCAATTTTATATGTGTCTACCCACACATAGGATTGTGGTTGCTGTTGCTGCTTTCTCGCTTAATATATTTATAGAAACAGAATTGTAGAGTTGGAAGGGACCCTGAGGATCATCTAGTCCAACCCCCTGCAATGCAGGAATATGCAGCTGTCTCATATGGGGATCGAACCGGCAACCATATGATTCGCTAGCCCCAGCCTGACGTAGCTGAAAAAAGCCGCAGGCCACAAAAGGCAGTCTGGGGTAGCTTTTTCAGAACCTTCTTTCAGATAACATATCAGTGGCTATTTTTAGACTGAATCTGAACCTCAGTTGGATAATGACTAATATTAGGGCTATTACGTTACTGGCTAAGGTTACAGTTGGTGGACGATAGGAGACTACCAAAATGCTATGTTTCAAAGGCTATGGCTACAGCTGATAGTATAGTCTGCTAACTCAAATTCCTGGTCAGTTCACAATGCACAAATTACTAAATAAGTGTGGGTTTTCTGAAGACACCCTCTTTTGCTAATAAGGCTGTTTTTTGGAAGCTACATTTCTGATAAGTTTTCCTAGGCGAAAGCTACCTGCCAGGTAGAGGAAATGAATCAAATTCAATTGCTTGCTGCCAGTGCCACCTGCTGGCTACTGCTTTGTTTTCTAATCTTGCCAGTTAAAAGCATCAACAGAACGATTTTGTTGCACACGACTCCCAAAAAGTGATTCTGGATTATGATGATTTATTACCGTAAATTTGTATACCATCCTTCATCCAAAGATCTTAGGGCGGTTCACAGCATAACAGTGCAAAAGCAAAACAAAATTATGGGGCATTATAGGCAATTAAAAGCTGGCACTCCTCAGAATGGTGGGCTAGGAAGGGGAAGCAAGGGAGACAGAGTCTAGGTCAGGGGTCGGCAAACCTTTTCAGTAGGGGGCTGGTCCACTGTCCCTCAGATCTTGTGGGGGGCCAGACTATATGGGGGAGGAATGAACGAATTCCTGTACCCCACAAATAACCCAGAGATGCATTTTAAATAAAAACACACATTCTACTCATGTAAAAACACCAGGCAGGCCCCACAAATAATCCAGAGATGCATTTTAAATAAAAGGACACATTCTACTCATGTAAAAATGCGTTGATTCCTGGACTGTCCGCGGGCCGGATTTAGAAGGCGATTGGGCCGAATCCGGCCCCCAGGCCTTAGTTTGCCTACCCATGGTCTAGGTGTCAACAGTGGGGCCTGTCAGGACCTCCTTCTCTGGCCAAAGATGTCGATGAACAAATTGACGATAATATCCTGGTACAAGCTCTCATGGGCCACATCCAACTTTGACAGACAAGCTGACCCACAACAGCTTATGCCACAGTATTTATTAACAAGGTTGTTGATTTTTTGAAGAGTTGTTCAACTGGATTTGCCAAAAAGGATTCACATGGCTAACTCTCTGGAATTTATCACACACTAACTTATATTTAAATCTACGCAGATCTGAAAGTTCCGAGTGTTTTCACACATGACATTAAAAACCATCTTTGACCCCCTGTGCGCACGTTAGAGAGAATATCATTAATCCGGGGTAGAAAACAGACACTTTAGAACCGAGATGTGACAAAGTAGCCAGTACTAGTGCAGGAAGGAACTGCAAATCCTTGGTTGAGCTTGCGAACGTGGCTTTAGGTTCACTCAAACAGAGGCTGGAATGTTATCTTTATTGTTTGAGTGGGAAAGTCACCTCTGAGGGAGGAGTTCCAGGATTTAATTGCTTTTAGGCAAAGCTTTTTGTGCCACAACAGGAAGACCCGCCTGACGCTCACACCAAAGGCTCCAAGGTTAGTTCCTGATGCACATCCATGTCTTTAATAATGAAGTTAAGGCTATACAAAGAAAGCAGGGACAGCAATCATAAAAAATCTTGGCGTGGTTGCATTTAATCTATGTGTTCTGAAGAACGGTTTAACAGGCAAAAAGGAAATGCCTGTCTGTATGAGTTTGCATGCCACTTGCCTCAAGAGCAAGCATTCAGCAAATGAAGCATTTGTGGTCATTTCCTCCATGTTTAGAGAAGGTTCACCTTCCACCTGTTGCCTTTTTCCTTGTCAGGCAACTGTCAGAGGCACAAGAACACTGGCAGAAAGCATGGCAAAGGCAGAAGTTGTCTGCTTGCCAGCTAACTCAGAGTTTGGGTGGGGTTAAGACATACAATACTGCTCTTTTGCTTCCTGTAACAGAACCTTAATTTTAAGCCAATTTTAAGGCTTTGTAGCTTCCACAATTGTTGAATTTACAGCTGCATATTAATTTGGCACCCGAGGTGATAAAAAAAAAACATGTCCCATTGGAGAGATCACAACTGAATCAACCGGTAGAACAAGCTTCTAAGGAAGGTTAATCTGTATATATTTGTGTCTCCTGATCTTTCAAAAGCAATGTTAAAAAAGCTTGTTTCATAAGGTATTTGGCCACAGAGTGATGCTTTTCTAGGATTTGTGGTTTTACTGTCGTCATGCTCTCATTGGAGAGTTGGCAACCAGCTGGATGCTGAAAGCTTTTGTTATGTCGTGGAGCTTTTCAGTTTTATTGTTGGTTCTGTGTAATTTTGTATCACTCATAACAAGCTGCCCTGTGCGTGAAAAGGCAAGTGTGTTTCAATACACACATGAATAATAAATAAAACCTATCAAAGAAAACAAAGATCTGCATTTAGTTCCCAGACTTGAGATGAATATTGTAAAATGTACCTCCTGCAAAATATTGTTATAAGCCACCCCAATCCCTGCTAAGCTGTGCACAGGATTCTAGGGGTCTTGGACCTCGAGCCAGGTCTGTGCTCCTTTGGAGAATTCAAGACACGACGGAGGCTATTGTAGCTTTAAGAAATGGTAAAGTTAAAGGTAAAGGACCCCTGGACAGTTAAGTCCAGTCAAATGGTGACTATGGGGTTGCTGCGCTCATCTCACTTTCAGACCGAGGGAGCCAGCGTTTGTCTGCAGACAGCTTTCCGGGTCATGTGTCCAGCATGACTAAACCGCTTCTGGTGCAACAGAACACTGTGACGGAAACCAGAGCGCACAGAAACACCGTTTACCTTCCCACCACAGCAGTACCTATTTATCTACTCACACTGTTGTGCTTTCAAACTGCTAGGCTGGCAGGAGCTGGGACAGAGCAACGGGAGCTCACCCCGTCGTGGGGATTCGAACCGCTGACCTTCTGATCAGCAAGCCCAAGAGGCTTAGTGGTTTAGACTACAGAGCCAGCACTGGAGTCCAAGGCATCTCTCCCCCCGCCCCACCGCAATTGTCTTCAGTCAGCCTGCTCAAGATGGATCTCTGTCTTTGTTCTTCTCCCCAGTACACCTTGCTAAAACACCCTTTTCCTGTCACCTTACACCCAGTTACCTGGTCCACCTTCCCAATCCCTCCTGTTCACACCTCAGGGCAGGGGGGAAAGACAGTTCTCTTGCCTTGCCAGTGGTTTTCAATGGTCCTCTGTTGTTTCTTAATGGCCCTCGCTTGGCCAGGTCATTTTTGCATTGGCCCGCCCAGGAATTCCTCTGCAGCTGGTATATTCCCTTCATATCCCAACTAATAAAAATCCTACCATTTATTAATTTTCTTCCCCAAACCTATACTGTTTGCATGGCTTTCAACCTCCCCATAAACACTTCCATCTTTCCGCTCTTTCCTTCCAGAATACCCAGCACCTGAATACCATGGCTGGGAAACCTAAGCTTTATTATTTCAATGGAAGAGGGAGAATGGAATCCGTTCGCTGGCTGTTAGCTGCTGCAGGTGTTGAGGTCTGTGCCTTTGTTTTCTTCCGGAAGGAAATCTGCAAATGAGTTGCTTGTCTGAAGTCATGCCAGGATGACCATGGGAACCATTGCCACAATTAGAGCATCCTTAGGACCATGTCAGCAGACAGGAGACTGGGTTTCTGATCTAGATGGTTTGGCAGGGCAGCCACAGGTACATAACCCATTATTTCACAACGATAGGAGTAAGTTCCTTGGCTGTCACCCAACATCATGGACACATTTCCTTTCGATGCAATATTTTTTGTTTTAAAAACCAAGGAAAGCATAACCAAGGCAGCCACAAGGCTTCCTTTTTTTGCAGGAGGATATCACATATCCCACAAGCCACACTCCTGTCTGTAATGTTGAAATTCTCACTAAAGCTGTCTGGTTATAGGGCCACTTGGAAATCAGGAAAGAACTGTATGCTGGGATGCTGCCTCTGACTCCCTCACCTTACTCCCACATTTTCCAGATTACTAAAGGTAAAGGTACTCCTGACCATTAGGTCCAGGCATGGCCGACTCTGGGGTTGCGGCGCTCCTCTTGCTTTATTGGCTGAGGCAGCCGGCGTACAGCTTCCAGGTCATGTGGCCAGCATGACAAAGCCGCTTCTGGTGAACCAGAGCAGAGCACGGAAACGCTGTTTACCTTCCTGCCAGAGCAGTACCAATTTATCTACTTGCACTTTGATGTGCTTGTAGATAACTGCTAGATTGGCAGGAGCAGGGACTGAGCAATGGGAGCTCACCCCGTCACAGGGATTCGAACCGCGACCTTCTGATCGGCAAGTCCTAGGCTCTGTGGTTTAACCCACAGCGCCACCCGCTTCCCTCTTTACCTTTACCTTTTCCAGGTTAAGCAGGCTGCAAACACTTTTTCTTTCTTCCTGGAATACAATAACATGGAAATGAGCTCTCAACATGATAGACCAGTGTGTGTTCTTGTTTGAAATTACCGTAACAGAACCACTTAACAGAACAACAGCTGCCATGCCGGGGACTAGGAAAAGATTAATCTAGCTTCTACATGAATTAAAGTCCTATATCAACCAATTATGTTTATTCACTCAATATCCCTGATCCATAATAATCCATTAATGCTCTGTATAGTCTCGTAACACAGCCATGGCTGGTTTGTATGTTGCTTAGCCTTTGGATCTCTGTTTAAATTTCATTCTTTCTATTCTCAGGTTATATAAACTGTCCACTTAGATGGTCACTGATGCACTAGGCTATGACCCATAAAAGCATAAGCTGTAATAAATTTATTGGTTAATGTGCTACAGCACTCTTGGTTGATTATTTAACGAAATAAATGAAATGTTAGTCCTCTCGCTTTTTCAGTTTGAAGAAGAGTTTTTGGAAACAAGAGAGCAGTATGAAAAGTTATTAAAAGGTAAGGCTACAGATTTAATAACTTCATCCAGATCCACAGCACTGTGTGTGTGTGTGTGTGTGTGTGCCAAGAAATTCTGATGCAAGTGTGTTTGGGCAGGGTGTGTGTGAACAAGAACTCAGCTACGTTGATTCTGCTTCACCATTGGAAATGGTGCTACAAGCTTCTCTGCTCTCGCTATGGAACGTGGGCAGAGGTTCAACCAATGAAATCCCCCCTTTTTTTCTTTAAATGCTTCCTTTCCCATTGTAGGAAGTTCACCATTGTAGGAAGCCGTACAGGAACTTGTCAGGGCTGACATGATGATTCTCTTTCAACAGATGGATTTCTGCTCTTTCAACAAGTCCCCATGGTTGAAATCGATGGAATGAAGCTAGTGCAGACTCGAGCCATCCTCTATTACATTGCTGCAAAACACAACCTCTATGGGAAAAACCTGAAGGAGAGGGCACAGTATGCTTTTTAGAAGCCATATTACACTAATATGCAAGGTTTTTTTCTGGCCTAAGCACCTGCCTTTTTAATATAACAAAACAATAAAGGGTAAAGGGACCCCTGACCATTAGGTCCAGTCGTGGCCGACTCTGGGGTTGCGGCGCTCATCTCGCTTTATTGGCCGAGGGAGCCGGTGTATAGCTTCTGGGTCATGTGGCCAGCATGACTAAGCCGCTTCTGGCAAACCAGAGCAGCGCACGGAAACGCCGTTTACCTTACCGCCGGAGCGGTACCTATTTATCTACTTGCACTTTGATGTGCTTTCGAACTGCTAATTTGGCAGGAGCAGGGACCGAGCAACGGGAGCTCACCCCATCACAGGGATTTGAACCGCCGACCTTCTGATCGGCAAGCCCTAGGCTCTGTGGTTTAACCCACAGCGCCACCTGCTTGAGGAGAAATGAAGGCAGGAATTGGTGACTGAATAGTGCAACAGCAGTAACTTAGAAGGGGGGATACCCTCTGAGCTCAGCTTCAGGTAGCAAAAAGGTCTTGGAACAGCTGTGAAGAAGCATATGCATATGTTTTGCATATACACTTCTTCCATATTTATAGCAATCATGTAAGAAAATTTGGAGTTGGATTTTACAGCCCCACCTCTGTCAAGGTCCAGTGTTGGTCAGAGAAAACAAAACTGAGATGGAACCTAGTAACAGGAAGCAAGGCTGGCTGTTATTCATTGCGTATCTGTTGCAACCACACACACACACACACACACACACACACACACACACACACGTAAGGAGGTCAGGAGCCCAGAGCAGAATGTGCAGACCCTTTTAAAGCTTCAGAAATTGTAACAGAAAGACCACCCCAAATTGTAATACGGATGCCATAAAAATGGGTTCTACACTCTACAATTCTATGTAAATCAGATCCTGCTCAGAGTTCATGTTTCTCTGACATATTTACAAGTCAGGCATCTTGATTGGAAGACAATACCTGAAAACAGCCCTCCCTGGCCTGTCTGAGACACCCTTTTGAAATGGTGAATACCTCGACTCCAGAATCCATTGACAAGGACCAGTTTCACTCATACACAGATCTGCCTTTTTGACAGGTCTGCTTAGATAGTTTCTTGTTAAACCAGTTTCACAGGCGGGAGGCTCAGGAAGAATTTCCTGCTATGTGGATGGAGGGGTCTCTGAGGTCGACTAGAGGCTAAACATGGTCTCAGCCTTGCTCAGTGTATTTGTTTGGTTCATGTTTTATTCAAATAGAGTATGGTTTCATTGATAAATTGGCCCTTTTGTTGAGAAAAGGGCCTGACTGAAAGTAGCCTTTTATCAATACTTTCTGCAGAGTGATTGGCAGATGAAGGGTTAACCCGATAGCCTGTGGTACCTCTCTGACTCCCGCAGTGGCTAATGTTGTGCAAAGGGATTAAGACTTTGGAAGAATCATATAGGACCCTGAGGATCATCTACTACAACTTTAATATGCAGCTGTCCCATACGGGGATCGAACCTGCAACCTTGGCATTATCAGCACCACGCTCTACCCAACTGAGCTGTCCAGGGTGTGTTTTAGCATCTTTCTTAGTATTTTTGAACTTTCATGTTTTATGTGTTTTATACACATGCATTCCTCAGGGGTGCTTATTAGGAGCACCCTAATACGATTATGAGGGACGCAGGTGGCACTGTGGGTTAAACCACAGAGCCTAGAGCTTGCCGATCAAAATGTCGGCAGTTCAAATCCCTGCAATGGGGTGAGCTCCCGTTGCTCAGTCCCTGCTCCTGCCAACCTAGCAGTTCGAAAGTGCGCCAGTGCAAGTAGATAAATGGCTACTGCTCCGGCGGGAAGGTAAACGGCGTTTCCGTGCGCTGCTCTGGTTCGCCAGAAGCCACTTAGTCATGCTGGCCACATGACCTGGAAGCTGTACGCCGGCTCCCTCGGCCAATAAAGCGAGATGAGCGCCACAACCCCAGAGTCGGCTATGACTGGACCTAATGGTCAGGGTTCCCTTGACCTTTATGATATGCAAAATGAGCTATGGAAGGAGAAGATGGGAAGTCATTGATATCTTAAGGATGTAAAAATGAGTACTTTAAAATGTAAAACAGAAAATTTAATTTATATAGATTATATTTATATAAATATTTATATGTGGAACTAAGCAAGAGGACAGCAGTCAGGGAGAGAAACTTACCACAGATTCAGGAAACAGCTACCAGGAAGTGTCTTAGCAAAAACTGCTGGAGGGTCAGAGAGAGTTAGGTGTTGAATGCAAGCTTGCTTTAATCAAGTTCTTTGTTTTATTTTACCCCTGCGTGATTGTTAATATTACAAACACCACTTGAAGCAAGGCATAGAAGGCGTGGGAGGAAAGGCAGAACAAACAGAGATAGGGAAGGATTTGGTTTACAGTGCAGTTTTATAAGCAAGTTGCACCCAGTACTTATTGACAATACTGTAAAGGTGTTCCTAAATAGGAGGTGTGTTTATGTGGTAGGAGCAGATATCCCCCCCCCCCGAATTCAAGCCTATGCATGTTTCCTTGGAAGTAAATTCTTCTATGGCCTATGAGGCTTGGTCCAGGTACATAGGAATGCCACCTCAGTACACCTGCTAACCTGTAAACCCCACACTGAGTGTGTAGATCCCTGTGTTGATCCTTGACCATTCAGATGGTGGCCTTGGGACTAGCGGGATCAGCATGCGTCCAAGTATGCGTTGCACAGATGCTCAGCTCCACCTGCTCCCTTCTCCTCCACCATTTGCTTTTGCATCCCATCAAGTGCTGGAGCCGAAACCAGACACATGGGAAGCTAAGCCCCAGCAACGCCTAATGATCAGGGCAGCCTGTAGTTTATTTAGGATGACATTGCCTCTCTTTCCCCCCAGAATTGATATGTACGTGGAAGGAACAACCGATCTGATGGGAATGATCAGGGTTCATCACAAATCACCTCCTGGAGAAAAAGAGAAGAATCTTAGTTTAATCATTGAACAAGCCACAAAAAGATACTTCCCAGTTTATGAGAAGGTACTGTATGTAACATGCTGGCACCATGTTCTGCTACGTCACATTTTGTTGAAAATGAAAGGCCATAGATTTTGGTGCTAGTTAGGGTTTGGCAGAACCATGTGCATTACCTTAAGCTTTGGTAAAAAGTGGGGTGTAAATGCATAAACCCTAAAAGGCCTTGAAGAACAAAATGGTCTTTGCCTGGTGCCTTAATGACCAATGCATGGCCATTAGATGACCCTCTGTGTGAAGGACATTCTAGATATGAGTGCCACCCTGAAAAGGCCCTCTCGCCTTGTAGCTACCTCCTCGCTTCGTACAGCCATGTACATGCATTCAATGAACTTTTCTTCCGTAGGTTTTAAAAGAGAACGGGCAACCTTTCCTTCTTGGCAACCAGTGGACCTGGGCTGATGTCCAACTGATTGAGACCCTATTAATGGCAGAAGAGAAGGAGTCCAACATTCTCTCACCGTTTCCTTTGTTGCAGGTAAAAGAAGTAGCTGAATTAACAATGACCGTGTACTCAGTAATATAAACCTTCAGTTGAAGTGAACAGGCATTCGACTGATTGTGTCCTCGACATTTTCCAAACTCACGTATAGCTAGTCAGATGCTGATACTCCTGAGAACAAGGAAGTATGTTATACAACACAACACCATTCTAATGAAAGCTAGAGTTTCCATAGGATTGCCATATTTCAAACAGTGAAAATCCAGACAAAAATGGTTGAGCTTTTTATGGCAAAATCGCAAAAAAAATAATAAAAGTAAATAAATGCTGTTTGGGGGCTATTTTTAAGGAAAATAGCCAAAAATTGCACTGCCTGCATGAGCTGCCATATGTCCAGATTTTCCAGACTTTTTTTTGCTGATTTCTGCCTGGACACGGCTAGAGACAGCAATATCCTGGACATGTCCGAAAAATTCCGGACATATGGCAACCCTAGTTTCTATCTTAGATTACGTTGAAGGCCCAAGTCCCTGCAGCAAAGTATCCTAAACCTTTATCTCTTGCTTTCCATATGAGCTATCCATTTTATGCACATTTCCCCCTAATATACACATTTTTGTATACATTTTTTCATTGCAGAACTGCATTGCAAAATTCAGAGAAGGGCCTATTTCCAAGGGGTAGCTGTGTTTCGGTTAGCATTTTGTTTTGGAAAGTATGAATTATTGGTTTTACTATTGTGGTTTTCCCCAAGAGACTTCAGGAACTGACAGTCGTTGATGGGGGCTGCAGTCAGCAAACTCACACTTCTCAGGATTTGGGCCTGACACTTACACTGGTTTCAAATTTGTTCAGCACTGTAATTTTAAGATTGCAGACCTAACTTACTTGCTCTGAATGATTTGCAATATTTGCAATTTTAGGCTTTTAAAGCAAGAATGTGTGATGTCCCTACGATTAAGAAGTTCCTTCAGCCTGGAAGCCCAAGGAAGCCTCCCCCTGATGAAAAATTTGTAACAACAGCAAACAGGGTTTTCAACAGGAAATGAAAACTGGGCATATGTTGCACTGTGTTAACTCCTATCTGGGAAGCAGCTGTCTTTAACAATGCTTTGCAAATGCTTCCTAAAGCTAGTGGGCTGCTTTTAAATAATAATCCAGTTGGCTTCTGGCTAACAAATAAAGTTTTGAGATAAATGCTAATCTAAAACTCTTTAGCGGGCCGCATTTGGGTGTAGGGGTGGGCGATTACAAACCTAGATTGGGGCAATATATTAAGATAGAGAGCATTTGACAATAAAACAATAAAAATGATGTTATAATAAGAAATGCTGTGTTTTTATCCAGTTTAAATACTTAGGCTGGGGTCACAGACATGATGTATGAAATGGCACCCTTGAATATTTCCCCTGGTGCTCATAAAGCCTATGATACTCAGGTCCTCTTTGTCATGAGATAGTTATCTTTCCTCCTCTTGAACAAGTACACAGAGCTGAAGGGGGATATTGGAAGAGTGGTGTTCTTTGGCATTTCCTCTTTCAGCTATATGTGCTTTTCAAATTTTAGATTGGCACCTTGGGGGGGGGGAATAGAATGACTGGCAGTCTTTCTCCTTATTTCTGTAGCACCCCACTTTCTGCTCCCCGTCATCCACTTCCTTTTCCCTTCCACTCTCTTGGTCACTCCAGTTTCTGTTCAGCTGCTCACGTGCCAACCCAAACCCTGAGAAGAACATAGAGCTGAAAGAGGAAGTGGGAAAGGGTACTTCTCTCCCAACTTCCCTCCTTCAGCTCTATCTACTTTTCCAGTGGGAGTAGCCAGAGGGCAGAAAGTGAGGTACTGCAGGAATCAGGAGAGATAGCAAGCATGGCTTGCCAGAAAGACTATGTACAGTGGTACCTTGGGTTAAGAACTTAATTCGTTCTGGAAGTTCATTCTTAACCTGAAACTGTTCTTAACCTGAGGTACCACTTTAGCTAATGGGGCCTCTTGCTGCCGCTGCACCACCACCGCACATTCTCACCCTGAAGCAAAGTTCTTAACCCGAGGTACTATTTCTGGGTTAGCCGAGTCTGTAACCTGAAGCGTCTGTAACCTGAGGTACCACTGTATACACACACATAGGTAAAGATGATCCTCTTGAAAATGCAGACTAAAAATGGCTGTTCAGATGACTGTATTAACCAGAGTTGTCAGCTGTTGGAAATGTCTCCAGGACCTGATGATAGGTAAAGGTAAAGGACCCCTGGATGGTTAAGTCCAGTCAAAGGCAACTATGGGGTTGTGGCACTCATCTCGCTTTCAGGCTGAGGGAGCCAGCGCTTAGCTGTCAAGTGTCCCTTATTTGAAGGGACAGTCCCTTATTCCAGCGTCATGTCCCGCTGCTATTCCTTATTGATGGATGTCCCTTAAATGTCCCTTAAATGATGTCCCTTAAATTTCAAAGGAAGCAGCTCCTCTCCCTCCCTCCCTGCCGGCCAGGGAGGAGGGAGGCTCCAACTGTGTTGCTTGGCTGTGTTGCTCACCCAATAAGAAGTCTAAGAACGACTGGGGGTGGAGCTTGCATGCCTTGTGTGTGGCTAGTTAATGAAAGCTGAGGGAGTTTTTGAATGCTGGATGCCATTTTGTTGCATGTGCTGCTGCAAACTTTGCAGTGCAAAGCCAGGCCGGGGAGCCATCTTAAGTTGAGGCTGCATAGGCCTTGTGGTGCATGTGATTCAGATTCTATTCAGTTGAACCTCTGGTTACAAAGTTGGTTGGACAGTGTTCTCGAAGCTACCAGCATGAGTTTGACCAGACTGCAGGAGGACAGGAAGACTGGAGTGCCTGGAACAGGTGAGGCTGCAGGTCCCTTATTTTGGCTGCTGGTCCCTTATTTTCAAGACTGCTGGTCCCTTATTTTCAAATCTGTAAGTTGACAGCTATGAGCCAGCGTTTTTCCACGGACAGCTTTCCGGCTCATGTGGCCAGCATGACTAAACCACTTCTGGCACAACGGAACACCGTGACTGAAGCCAGAGCGCACAGAAACGCCGTTTACCTTCCCGCCACAGTAGTACTTATTTATCTACAGTAATACCTCTGTGAACATCTGCCTCGTCTAGCGTCCGTTCCAGTGAACATCCACAGCAAACCCAGAAGTACTGGAATGTGTTACTTCTGGGTTTGTCACTCGTGCATGCTCAGAAGCACAAACCGCTCTGCGCACATGCGCAGACGAGCACTTTACCCTGCGTCCTTTTCTGCTAGCGACCGGGGCTCCGGAACGGATCCCGGTCGCAAAACAAGGTACCACTGTACTTGCACTTGCATGCTTTTGAACTGCTAGGTTGGCAAGAGCTGGGACAGAGCATCAGGAGCTCACCCCGTCGCAGGGATTCAAACTGCCAACCTTCGGATTGGCAAGCCCAAGAGGCTCAGAGGCTCGGACCACAGCGCCACCCACGTCCTACATTGGTCCACCTCAGACCTGGAGCTGGTCCTCCTATTCTCTCATCAGGAATTCAAGCAAATGGAAAATTAAGGTTGCCTCATGCATGACATGACAGGAAGTGTATGGCACCATTTTTACACCTGACAGGAAGCCACCGGCCCTGTCAGTCTGAGATGCATAGAGCAGCTATGGTAGGGAGCAGCTATGGTGTGGTAGGGAGTTGCAGTAGGTCCTGACTCACCAGAGGTGGAAATACATACTTTGCTGCAGGTTTAATTCTGTTTGGTGGTTGTGGTGGTGCAGTACCTTTGGAATCATAGCAGATTCATACCTTAATGGACCCATTAAGACCCGTTTTGCTTAGTGAGGTCATGTGGACTCCAATCCCAAGGACTGTTTGCTCAGAATGAAGCACGCCCCAATGCATTTTACAGCTTTTCTCCCAGGTAAGTGTGAAGCCTTTGATCATCATGTGATGAATGCAGATATCATGCATTGTAAATCCATGAAAAATGTGCAGCTCTGTACACAGGATTCTCTCAAATACAAAGCATAATGGACCCTTTCTCACCTGCTTTGAATGCGTGAAACTGTACATTTTGATCTACCTTTAAAAAACAGTAAACACAGCAGTTTCAGATAGAACATCGTTTATTCGTGCATGCCCACAAAACTTTAGTAATGTTAACCAAGCCCAAGTTTCTGTTTTTTTGTTTTGTTTTTTAACTGAGTGGTAAGACAAGAGGAAGAGACTCCCCCAAAGTAGGTGGAGTTTCCTGGACTGCAGGATTTTGAAGGCACAATTTATCTGCGTGTGGAGAAAGAGATCAGCTAAGTTAGGCTTTGGAAAAGGTTAGTACTGGAAGTTGGAAATAAGCAACTTTTTCAGCCTTAACAGGTGCAGTCCTATACAGTTCTACTCAAAGGTAAGCCCCATTGACTTCAGTTGAACTTGCTCACAGGCTACGTGGGGTCTAAGAGGCTTTAAATTAGCTGCTGTGTGGATATTGGGTTAAGTATTCACCCCAGAAAGCTGCGTGTAGCAATGCAAGAATATTTTACTTTGCCTTTGGCATGAGGAAGGAGGGGATAAATAATTGTATTTTAATTGATGAAAGCAAGAAAGTGGGAATAAAGCATGGGGTGGATTAGCCAGGGCAAAAAGTGAAAGTGTGGGGTTGGTTAAAGGATACTATAATAAAGAGTGGCTGACGTTCAGTTAGATGAAAGCAATCTCAGAGTCATGATGGGTTCAACCCCCATGTTCGGCAAAAGATTCCTGCACTGCAGAGGGTTGGACTAGATGACCCTCGTGGTCCCTTCCAACTCAACAGTTCTATGATTCTATGTTTTGCTTTGAAGCACAGGAACAGGTTGAAGAGCGTTCCCTCTTGCTGTGAGAAATGGGGATTTCACATGGATTTGCTGCATACTATGTTGCTGGAGGGAAGGGGAAGATTGTTGGGCCTCTTATTTTCATAGAGCAAATACATTTCAGGTGGGGGGGTAGCCAGTGAGGAATGAACGAACATCATCTGAAGGGGCAAAACAAAGCCTGTAATCTCTGAGCATACTGCCCTGGCACTTATTTCTGTAATGGCACTTATTCAATGGTGCTTATTTCTGTAATGGGATTCCCTAAGCACACTTTTCTGGAAGTAAATACCAGTGACACTTACTTCCAAGACAACATTTTTTAACAAAAATGTGTGTGTGTGTGTGTGTGCGCGCTGCATTTAAATATTATTTATTATGCATATTTTTTCTTTTAATCTGTTGCAAAGCATCCCTCAAGGTAAGGATTGGCTTAGGCATACAACAGCACCTGTTGATTTGACGGCCATATAAACTGCAAAAAACAAAACACAAAACCCCCAAACCAGAATATGTTGCTTTCCTTCTGCATACTCTTCGGTGCAGAGAGGCCTGGACAGAGCAGCAGGGTACACTTGCCCCAGGTATTGGGGGGCTATGGCTGGGGGGGGGGGAGCACCAGGGACCAGCTGCTTTTCTCTTTGTGTTCATTACTGTACATTCTAACAAGACTCCTGCCTTGGGTCTCAGACAAGCTTTGCATGAACTTGAGTGCAGATAATATAAGAGTGGAACATGTGCAGTTAAAATGATAGCCTATCCGACAGTACAGATGATTCCTGATGGGCAGTGTACCCAGAAGAGTGCCTCTTTAGCAGGGTTGTTTTTGCATGAAAATATGAACAAGGTGCTTTGCTGCTGGTATCTGCCTCACGCCAAAACAACTTGTACACACCAAATAACTTGAATAGTGTAGACTGCAGAATCTGTGTGCACGAAACGAAGTGGTGGTGGCATCACTTTCCTGTTTCTATATTGAGAAACGGCCACCACTGAACCACACCAATGCAAAACGCCCTATCTTCTCATTTCTTTGGAAGAATTACTCAAACCCCACCTTTGTTAGTCTAAAACACGGGTGTCAAACACAAGGTCCGCGGGCCGAATCCGGCCCGCCAGACCTCGTCATGTGGCCCATGTAGCCGCCGCCGGCCGCCAGCCTTCATCTTTTATTCTCGCTTTTTTTTTTTTTTTGACACTAGAAAGCCGCCTCTTCAGCGCATGCGCAGCAGCCTACAAGCCAGAGAACGTCTACCCTCTAGCGGCACCAAACTGCTGATGCGGCCCCTGATGAATTTGAGTTTGACACCCCTGGTCTAAAGTCTTCCCCGTTTCTCTTTATTCCTCTTTCTCACCTACCAGGGAACCTCCATTGGGCATGGGAGAGAGTCAGACCTGGAGGGAGATGCTTGGCTTTTGCATTTCCAGAGATGGGAGTTCAACTTATCTGCATTTCCCCTTGCGTGTCGAGACCCCGCAGCCACCCCCTCGTTGGAAATAACTCACACAAGGACACGGATATTAGGTTTATGTATTGGGCAAATTTTGGGCCACAACTTTATTGAAATTACAGAATGTGAGCAGTATTGGCTTAGGCATTGTTTGGACCTGAACATACCTGACTCCTGCCCATTGTGCAGGAAGTCCAGTAAGGGTAAGCCACCGGTAGGGGGAGCCCTGTCGATGCGAACCCACTCAAGCTCCCCCTGGTATTTCCGTCGGGGTCGTGTCAAGGCCCTAGCTCCCAGCTGGGCTTCAGACTAGATCAACACCCCTGGGTTCCTTTAACGGAATACCCTTAAGCATGGAGGGGCAGGTGATGGCCACACCTCCCCTCCCCCACACAAGGTCAAACAATGCCTAACTGCAACCCTAACAAAGTTGTGATGATTGCTACGAGGTAGGTGAAAACCAAGTGGCCAGTGCCAATTTGCCAAGTGGAAAAATTCCTACCAGGCCCCTCAGACAAGCAAGGCAACCAACCAAAGTCCATAGCAAGGCCATTGCCTAAGCTGCAAAATAGGGAGGGAGGGCAGGTGATTGAGGAAGTGAGCCAAAGAGGAAGTCCTCTGGCTCGCCCCTCCGTTTAAACAGCCCTGACCATGCCCCCCCCGGACAGCAAGTTGGCTGGCCGGGCTCTGATGTGGCCGGGATCCCCCAGACAATGGGGGACAAAGTCCCCCGTCCCCGGTGGGGAGTGAGTGGCCATGCGGTCCACCGCAACTCCTCCCCACTGGGAAGTGGAGCGGATTTGTCCCTCCTGCTGCTCCCATCTCCTTCCATAGGGAAAACTGCTCTTTAGAGCTCAATCTAAGCAAATGGCACTTTTGGTTTTCTGTAGACTCCCATTTTCCCCAGTTTAGAGCCAAAGAGAGGGTTTTCCCTGGGAAAGGAGGAGAAAACCACTCCGACCCATCTTTTCTAGGCACAGGAGAAGCAGAAGCGTGGATGAGCCCTGTGTGTTTCTCCCTCCTGATAGGTCTTGTGCAAACCTGGAACCTGCATGGCTCCTGACAGAGCATCACTTGAATATCTGTTACCTTCTCCCACCTTCCATCTGAAGGCTCCTTAACAGATGCAGGCATGCAGAGCCGAACTATTGGGCAATTGTTCTTTCTTCCCTTCGCCCTGCTTAGTTGGCCAACTAGGCTGATAAAAGGTTCCGGAGAACAAGAAATTTTGCACACTATTTTGTGGCATTTTGGTTGGCCTAATAAAGGTATTGTACTAAGATGGATTTTGGAATTTTTAAAATGTGGGCCAGCACTTTCCTGCTGTAGGCGAATGACCCCTGAAAATAACCCTCAAGGCAATACCCTTTCCCCCTTTCAGTTGTCTCCAGCTGGAAAATTTAATTGTCCACCCACCACCCATCCTGGTTCAACTGGAAACCTCTGAATCTCATGATTTGCCATGAAGGCATCAGCATGTGAAAACAGCTAAAGGGGGGTTTTTATTTCAGGTGAAATAATTAGATCACCTTATTAATTAGAATGAAACGAATACTTTACATATTTACATATGAAATTTTTGCAGCCAGCATACTGGATCTGGATCTTAACAAGTCCTACATTTCCAGAAAGCTCTTTGCTTTCCCCCCTCTTGCAATTACATCCAACATCTCTGATGTGCTGTGGATTTCATTCCAGTCTTAAAATATACGCTGCCAAAGCTAATAAAGAGCTTTTGAGCTATGCATTGTTTACAGAACAATGATCTTATAGCACTGTCCAATCCATCCATTTTTTGACGACAATTGAAAGTTGAGTGTTTGCTTTAAACCTTTGAGCACTAATACCCATAACTCGGCTTGGGTTGAGTTACTTCATAGTAACTACAACATTGCTTCTCTACCTGCCTGCCCCCCCCCCTTGGTGTCAGGTAATGCCAAGAAAAGCAGGATGACCTGGCTCAGTCAGACATAATGATCTTGAGCTGAGAAACTATCCTGGTTTCATATTGTGTTTTGCAAAAAGAAATTAAAGCACAGTTCCCCAGTTCAGACCTCATGGGAAATGTGGTTTAACTAGCCAGGATATAGGCACTGAAGCTGGACATGTGAAGAGAGGAGTGAATACGCATTGCACATGCACATTGCTCATTATTTAGCCAATAAACAATGGCTTGTTGAACCATTCTTCAATGATCTGGATTTAGGAGGATGGAGACTCAAGCAGGGGCACATTCAGATTGCGGGATTACTGCATTTGTTTTCCTGACTATAATGCCAGCGCTGCTATCCTAGATTCTAAGGTTCCCTTTTCACTGCATTACCTGTTGCGTTGTGTAACTGTGGCTTTTTGATTGATATATTGCCATGTGTGCTAAATTTTAAATGGTGGAGGGAAACTGTATGCTAGAATGCTGCCCCAAATTTGATCATGTGAAATTCTGGGTTGTTTTTCCCCTGGAAGTAATTAACATGGAAATGAGCACTGATCATCAGCTAGATTATGCTAGTTTTTAAGAAGTGGCTTTTACATCCTATGGAAGATCACATAAAACATGGACATTATCAGGTAAGGAAATGTTGGGACAATGGGCAAAGAGCTGCTTGAATGGAGCCCAAGTTCCATCCTAACGTATCTATTATATTGTGGTGAGTTTTGTGGGTAGCTATGCACTCAGTAAGGGAGGCGGGTGGCACTGTGGGTTAAACCACAGAGCCTAGGACTTGCCGATCAGAAGGTTGGCGGTTCGAATTCCCGCAACGGGGTGAGCTCCCGTGGCTCGGTCCCTGCTCCTGCCAACCTAGCAGTTCAAAAGCACGTCAAAGTGCAAGTAGATAAATAGGTACCGCTCCGGCAGGAAGGTAAACGGCATTTCCGTGTGCTGCTCTGGTTCACTAGAAGTGGCTTAGTCATGCTGGCCACATGACCTGGAAGCTGTACATCAGCTCCCTCGGCCAATAAAGCGAGATGAGCGCCGCAACCCCAGAGTCGGCCACGACTGGACCTAATGGTCAGGGGTCCCTTTACCTTTTTATGCACTCAGTAAGCCACACCACTGAGAAACTTGAGGCCTGTGCATGCCTATTGTAATCCAATCCACCCTGCTAAAGAACAAGAGCTCACTCATGTGCCTTGAATGAGTGGAGGGGGGAGGCTGGGTGGGAATAATGGGAGGCACGCACAGCGTGTTTATGAGCTGAAGGGGATGAGAAAACTAGAAATTGTGTAGACGCTGACTTTTGCCTCCAGGCTGACATCCAGGAATTGTACCATTCCGTATGCCTGGAAATCAGCACGAGCCTAAGCATGTTTTAACTCAGGTGTGAGTTCAACTGTGTTCGGTGAAGTTTGTTTGCTCCTTAAGTGTGCTTGGGACTGCAGTCTTTGGAAATCAGACAATCCTTCTAGATCCTTTTCCTGTTGTAACCACAATAATGCTCAGCCTTTCATAATGCATATTCTATTCATTTTTTGTAACATTTAATAAAATTCATAATACATATTCTCTTCATTTTGCTCCACCTAATTGAGCTGTTCTGCAAAATTCTACCTGCATGGTTGTGTACACAATTGCTGGTTTATATTTAATTAAACGTTTTCTTCTCCCCATTAAATGGCACTCATCAGGAAACCACCAGCTTAGAAATATGTCTGGGAAACCAAAACTGACGTACTTTGAAGGCAGAGGAAGAATGGAATCCATCAGGTGGCTCTTAGCAGCAGCTGGAGTGGAGGTTGGTTGCTTCTGTTTCGCACCAGAAATTTGCACAATTGTGTGCTCAGAGCTTTGAACGGGAGATTTCCCAATTCACAGCTCACACTCTTAGCTATTTCTGTATCTACAAAAGAGCCACGTAGTAACTTTATGCAATAAAATGAACTGGCATGACACAGGAATGGAAATAACTTGATCTGTTTTCCTGTCTTTTTTTCCAGTTTGAAGAAACGTTTTTGAAAACAAGAGAACAGTATTTGAAGTTAATCAAAGGTAAACTCATGGTGCAAACCTATATATGCCTGTTCAGAGGGGAACCCCACTAAATTCAGTGGGGCGTAAGCCCAGACGAGTGAGCAGCCTTTTTTCTACCCATGGATATTTCTGAAACCACAAAATTTTTACCAGAGACAAAAGTGGAAGGCCTGCATGCAATAAGCAGCAAAATAAGTAAAACCTCTTTTGCTCCAGCCAAGGGTGTTTTCGCACATAAAGCACAAATCATGCTGTTGCCCCTTCTCCCTCTGCATTTCCCACATATAAAATGTAAATGTAAAATCTATATTGATAGGAATATATTTTAAAATATTTCTATTCTGCCTTTCTGCCCCACACAATAAAACAACAGATGCCCAAATGTGTGTCATTAGTGTGTCATGTAGATGGCAAATACAACATGCATTATTGGAGATCTGGATGGGGGAAAACATAATTCATGTTTTCCCCAAAATGTGTAACATTCCTCAGTGCAAAAGATCTTTCTAATTTTATTGCACGTTATATCATCTAGGCTACAATATACAATTTTTTCCTTAAAGGCAATTATAGATGGGCTTGAGTACCTGGGTTATAAGACAGACTGTCCTTGGAACAATTAGTTTATTTATTTCCTTTTATTTTGCTTGGTGTATTCTTTGGGGGTGGTAGATTATAAAATGGCCCCAGGATCTGACATTAAAATCACCTGAGCATGTAGAAATCTTTCCAGATTTAAAGGTGTGGTTGATTCTCAGAACCCATGGGAGGATGGAGGTTTGAATCATATTTAAAACAGGGCCTGGGATATAAAGTTTACTACTCAGCAATGTTTTCTTGGGCTTGCCAATCAGAAGGTCAGCAATTTGAATCCCCGCAACGGGGTGAGCTCCCGTTGCTCTGTCCAAGCTCCTGCCAACCTAGCAGTTTGAAAGCACACCAGTGTGAGTAGATAAATAGGTACCTCTGTGACGGGAAGGTAAACAGCATTTCTGTGCGCTCTGGTTCCTGTCACGGTGTTCCGTTGCACCAGAAGCAGTTTAGTCCTGCTGGCCACGTGACCTGGAAAGCTGTCTGTGGACAAACGCCGGCTCCCTTGGCCTGAAAGCAAGATGAACGCTGCAACCCCATAGTTGCCTTTGACTGACCCTGATCATTCAGGGCTCATTTACCTTTATCTTTTTTTACCTAAGCCTTTTAATTATTTTAAGCATTGTTACCCTACTTTTTAGCCAAAAAGCTTCCCAGAAACAAGACAGTTCCTGCTCTCAGGCTAACAGTCTAAAAGACATGACTCAAAAGGAAAAGGTGTTGGGCAGAGAAGAGGAAAATAAGCAAAAACAAACACCATCGCGTTACTTATAGAAGCCAGCTAGGGGGAGGGAGAAACACATCAGGGAAAGGAGGAGCCAAAGGGGGTCGGTTTCTCTGCAAAACTAATGCCGTGGTCCTTGCACAGCACTTTGTGTCTATGCCGAGCTGTTTTTTCCCATCCTTGCAAACCATGTAAATAATTTGTTGTGGTTTTCTATCTCAAGTTGTGAGCTTGATGGCACCTGGGAAAGATAGGAGAGCTTATTCAATGTCTCAAATGTTGGACTCATTGGTCATAATAGCAGGGAGAAGCTAGCTTTTCTTCTCTGACACCAGAAGACCCTCCAGTCTATTTGGAAGGTGCCCACGCATTCAGAGCATGAGACGTGTTGCAAAATGATAGTAGATTGGCTACTTGATCAAAATTTCACTTGGCTGTTTGCATTCTTGCAGAAAGTGAGGCCAAATGCTAGCTCTGAAAGTGCTTTACTGTGGCAGAATCTTGCCACATTTCTTTAATCTCACAGAATAACCATTTTGGACCGATCAATGACTTTGTTTTGGCTTTTTCCTTTGCTTTCCTAAAGATGGATACTTGCTGTTTGATCAAGTCCCTCTGGTCGAGATGGATGGGCTGAAGCTGGTCCAGACCAAGGCCATCCTCAACTACATCGCGGGGAAATATAACCTCCATGGGAAGGACCTGAAAGAAAGAGCATAGTACTTATCATGATTCACCATACTGTACTTAATAGCTGCATTAAAAGACTCTAGTGGTATTAACAGTATTTGCACATGCTCACAAATTTGCATTGCCTAGGAAAGAGAAAAAAGCTGTGAGAGGCCAGGGAAAAGATATTCTTGAAGATTTGGGCTTCTGGTTTGGTGTCTAACTTGTTCTAATGCCCAACCCATATGTGTGTGTGCATGTCTTTGTCCAATGTTGATCACACTCAGGATAGATCCACTGAAATCAATGGGGAAAAGGGCACTTCTTCTTCTTCTTCTTCTTCTTCTTCTTCTTCTTCTTCAACAACCCAAACAACCTACAATTATGTGGTTTCACTTTGGCATGTCAACGAGTAGAATTTGGCTTCCCTTTCAATGACAGAGGGAGAACCCTGGAGACTGATGGTGCCTTTGTAAATAATGGCATTATTTACATATCTACAGGTGGGACACACTGGAAGCAAAGAGTCTTTTCATCAGCTGGTAACAAGTCCCTAGGCAGCTATTTGTGCAGTTCTCCTCCTCCTAAAGTAGCACTCCCAGGCTCAGCTACCGTGTTTTTCGCTCTTTAAGACGCGCCTGACCATAAGACGCACCTAGTTTTAGAGGAAGAGAACAAGAAAAAATATATTCTCTCCCTCTCTGCACAGTGCCTCTCCAACAAAGTGGGAGGAGAAACAGAAGCAGAGAGGGAAAGCTGCGCAGTGCCTCTCCAGCGAAGCAAAGTCAGAACAGCAAGAGGGATCGCTGCACAGCGAAAGCAGTGATCCCTCTTGCTCTCCTGGCTTCAGCGAAAGGAACACAAAGCCTCCTGAGTGCAGTGGTAGCTGCGCAGCCTGCATTCGCTCCATAAGACGCACACACATTTCCCCTTACTTTTTTAGGAGGGGGAAAGTGCATCTTATAGAGCGAAAAATACGGTAATTCTGCTTAGAAGCTTCCAGTTCTCTCTTTCTAAGGTGGTTCAGATAACCCCTAAGCACTGAAATAATACATGAGGATAGATCGACAGGCCACATGAGCTAGACCCACCTCCCATTTTTATGTTCCTATTTTCCCAATAAGTTCAATTAAACAGATGAATTTTCTCTACCCATGCCTGCCTTGTCCTCACAGCATTGACATGTATGTGGAAGGAACCATGGACCTGATGGGGATGATTCTGATGTATCCCTTTTCTCCACCTGAGCAAAAGGAGAAGCAGCTTGCTTCCATCCTTGAGAAGGCCACTACCAGGTACTTTCCAGTCTACGAAAAGGTATGGCACCAAAGATTCCTATTAGTAGCTACATCAGGGATGGGGAACCCAAAGATGAGCTACTTGGGATCATCCTGCGCCATCTCGGTGTCCTCCAGAAACTTTGGACTACAATTCCCATCAGCCTCTGCCATCATCACCAATGGTCAAAGATGTTGGGAGCTGTAGCCAAACAATATCTGAAAGGTTCTTCATTGGGGAATGATGACTTGGACTAATGGCACAGGTCATATTTTTCGTAGCTCTTTGAAAATATTAGACAGGTTTTACTATGTCCTGAGACTTCTTTGAATATAGAGTGAGGCTTCATCTGTGCTATGCAATTAAGGCAGCATTGTGCAACTTTAAACAGTCATGCCTTCTCCCAAAGATTCCTGGGGGCCAGGTGCACCAACTCTAGGGGGCTGATGAGTTTTGAGCCCCCTCAATATTTTTTGGAAAGGGGCCAATGTTGAGGGGCCCCAGGATGCATCGTAGCTTCAGCGGCCAGCTCCTCCGGAGCATTCGGCCTCCTCCAGACGTTGTGATGTCATGAACAACATGCACTGCACGCACAATGTCACACACACACAATATGTGCTGGGCCCTCTCAGTGTTAGTTTATTAAAAGTGATCAGAGTGGTTATCATCTTATGTGGCTTATATGACATTTAAATTTAAGTCCCCAAAATGTCTCACACTGTCCCAACATTTCTCAGAAGAGTTAAAAGTACATTTTAAGGTAAGAGAGTACATTTTACCCAAACCAAGCACATTCTTTATTGTTGTTTTCTAGGCCCTGAAACAGGCTGGAAAAGAGTTTCTCGTTGGCAATTGCCTCAGCTGGGCAGACGTACAGCTGCTTGAGGCAATCTTAATGGTAGAGGAGAAGAAAGCGGAGGTTCTTGAATCCTTCCCTCAACTGCAGGTAAACTGTTGGTAGAGTTCATCGTGCAGAATTCTGCTCTCGTTATGTTTCAGAATGTGTTTGTTCAGACCTCTGGATTGAGGTGCATAGAGTTCAGTTAAGGTTAAGCTATAGTTAAGGGACTATAATGATTCCCTTTCTGGGCAATTGATTCCAAAAAGCTGCCTTATAGGAAGTCAGGTACACCCAGCTCAGTATTCTCTACACTGAATGGCCATTTCTCTATGATTTCAGACAGGGGAACCAATTATTGTATCCAATTTAGCCTAACCTTTGCAAGTAATTTCCCCTAATATGAATCATTTGGGGGAAGTCATTTTCACTTATAGGATATTTTTGTGCCCTTTCTCCTAATATACATTTTTGTGGAAAAGGTTAACTGGAGAGCAAAATGCAGGGAAGTGCAAATGTTGAAGGATAGCTGTGTTTCAGTTTCCTGTTTCACGAAATGTGAATCATGCACTTTCTTCGTAAAATGCAAATCGAACCAAATTTCTCCCCCATCCTTACAATAAACGGGAAGTTGGGGATTGAGGAAAAACAGGTACTCAAGAAGATGTACCCTAGGGAAATCCCCACATAGCTCCAGCAATGCCCAGAGGCTTCCACCTATGCAGCTGATTCCAGCATCTGTTTTCCATATAATAGGAGTGAACCTGTTTGGCACATTTAGATGTTAGCGCCACAGAGTGGGATCCATTCAGGGGGAAGCAGCAATCAGACTGTGTGGATCAGATATTAGCTTTTTATGTGCAGGACAACGAGTCTCTCTTTCTGGTGGTTGGTTAACGTATATTGGCATAATTCCTTACTTCAGGTTGTATTGTCAAATATCCTTTAGAAGGATGTTAGTCTATACACTACGAGCTATTCTGATGCTATATATATATAAACACTTCTTTGTTTTGTTTTGTTTTTTGATTTTTGCCCTAGGCTTTCAAAGCAAAGGTGAGCAATCTTCCCACCATAAAGAGGTTCCTGCAGCCTGGAAGCCAAAGGAAACCACCCCCTGACGATGCATATATCGCAACTGTGCTGAAGATTCTCACAAGTGACTAAAAAACATTGCATCAGATTTTAAGGCTGCTTGCCAGAGTCACCATGAATGCTGAAAACCAAGGGATCTTTAAATGAAATGATTGTTACCTGCCATGAAAAGCAAAAGTGGTAACATGGAATGTTGAGCAGATGTTGATTTAAAGTGTGTAAAGTGCTTGCATTAAAATATTCAACAAGAGTGTATTTTCTTTCATACTGCAAAATGACAAGGCTATTTATGCATTCTTTCATTCACATATTTATAACCTCCCATCTAATGCATTCTTATTAACCAGAGTGACTTACAATAATAATATTTTTTTTAAAAAAACCCACAATCCATAATCAAACACACACACGTAATGGATTGTAAAACAACACTGTTCACATGGCTCCTCCAAAGCTGATGGAACAGGCAGTATGGTTAGCTAAAAAATGCTTATTTTTGTAACATATGATGTAAGGACACTATATTTTTTATCCAAGGCTCAACAGAAGGACAGAGTCACACGCTGGGTTCAATATAGTTTCCAAACAATGGCCAAAAGGAGTTTAAAGAGTTGGACAAATTTAAGGTGGGTTGTCTCATCAAGAGAGGGAACGTCAATGAAGTTATGTACCCTCAAGTGGATAGTAGTATGTCTGGTCCCGGTAAACAGCGGTCTTCAACATTCCTACCAGCAGTACTCTGTGGCAATGGTTTATTAGATACATGGTGGCTCTATAATCTGACCCTAAGTGATTATTCTTTCTAATCCTTGAGCCACAATATTTCGGAATAGATCATGTAGTTCTTTCAAATCCCTGTCTGATAAAATAACAATTTGATAATCCACATACATGAATCAGACCATGCTTCAGTCATCGTTGATTTCAACACTATGAGAAGGGGTCTCGAGACCCTTCTTTTGGTGCCTCCCAATAACTCTCTTAACACATACAGAAATTAGGAACAGACTGAAAACAGAATTGATAGCCTATTTTGAACTGAACCAGTTTAGGCCATAATCTGGGATGCTATGAAAGCAGTACTGAGGAGACATTGCCTAAAGCCCATCATTTTGAAGAAGCAGAAATCAGCATTGCAAACTGAGATGGTGAAAGACATATCGGCCTCAGCAGACACAAGGACTGAACTGAAAACTTTATGCCAATTTATTGCGTAAGCACAGTGAGCTTCTAAGCACTAGATGCTGAGTATATAAGCACCTCTATGCAAAAAGTAACCGTGTATATTATGAGCTTGGAAATAAATGCTCTAAAATGATAGCGAGAGCCTTTAAGGTCCAGAAGGAACAAAACCATATAGGCCATGTTGCTTAGGAGCCAATTCCTAGGGGCCAAGGTCCCTTTGCCCCCCCCCCATAAAATATTTGAGGGGACCGGGCCCCCACAAAGCTGATGGACATTGCTATTCAAATGGTGTGCATGTGCCACATATTGTGATCAATTATGCGGGGTGGGGCTTACCTGCTCCCCCCATATTTTATTCAAGTTGGCATGGCACCCTGTCATATTGTGATAGATGACAGTTCCCTTTTCACTACTAATGACATTAATCTCACTTTTAGAGATGTTTTATAGGTTTCTACTGTATTCTACTAGCTCTCCATCACAAGCTCTTTTTTTTGTTTTAGAGAAAGCTGTAGATAAAAAGTAGCCACATGACCATAAAGAATAGAATAGTTGATAATGGAGGAGGAAGTACAGTGAGTCTTCAAAAAATTTGAAATGGGTTAGATGGATAAACCCCAGTACAGTGGTACCTCTAGTTATGAACTTAATCCATTCTGGAGGTCCGTTGTTAACCTGAAACTTTTTAACTAGAGGCATGCTTTCGCTAATGGGGCCTCTTGCTGCTGCTGCGCCGCCGGCACACGATTTCCATTCTCATCCTGGGGCAAAGTTCTCAACTCGAGGTAGTTCTTCCAGGTTAGCGGAGTTTGTAACCTGAAGCGTTTGTAACCTGAGGCGTTTGTAACTCGAGGTACCACTGTATTAGATGGGAATAATCTACTCTGGTCTAATATCATGCAGAAACATTTCTGTCTTCTTAATAATAATAATAATAATAATAATTTATTATTTGTACCCCGCCCATCTGGCTGGGTTTCCCCAGACACTCTGGGCGGCTCCCAACAGAATATTAAAAACACGATAAAACATCACACATTAAAACTTCCCTAAACAGGGTTGCCTTCAGATGTCTTCTAGAAGTCAGTTGTTTATTTCCTTCACATCTGATGGGAGGGCGTGTCACGGGGGGGGCACCACTACTGAGAAGGCCCTCTGCCTGGTTCCCTGTAACCTCACTTCTCACAGTGAGGGAACTGCCAGAAGACCCTCGGAGCTGGATCTCGGTGTTTTACTCTATAACCCTATATGTCAAAAGAAGTTCACGCTATGCGAAACTTGCTTATTCTACCAGACTCTTATCAGGCTATGATATTTCATTTTCCCTTTGCTCTAGTACCAATGTTTGGTTTCATGGATATTGTGGTATGGAATGTATTGCACCTTATGGAAAAAAGCCTTTCAATAATAATTTACTCTTTAAAGAGAAGCAGCTGACACAGGCGTCCAGACTCCTTGACCAAAAGCACTTCTCACTGTTTTGCACACCAGTGTAAATTAATCACAGCCATCTATATACCCCAAACCCCTCAAAAGGTGAGTGCCACCAGCAGGGAACTCCTTTGTAGATGACCTTTGTCCATATTTCCTAGCCAGCAGCTGCAGCCAAAGATTGCGGTGGCCTCCTGCCCAGTGATACAAGAGCTTGGGTTAATTATGATAAGGACATTAACGTTTGCCCTCAATGCAGCTGCACAGATTTACACTAAACTGAGTTGCATCACGTTATGTACCTGCGAGAGAACCTTTCCCATTATGGATTAACTTTGTGCAACTGATTTGACTCTAGGTGAAAAGTCTCACAAAAGGCAAAGCTGTAAGGTGGAGCTTCTGAGCTTTTTATAAACTTGATGCACACAAGTTCAGCCTTTGCTCTGTCTCATAAGAAGTATCACTTGCCCAGCAGGACTTCCAGCAGGTTATTAGTCAAAGGTAGGCAATTCCTTTGGAGAGTCATAGCTCAAGAGTGACACCCTTGACCGAGGAGTGGTGCAGGGACAATTCCCAAAGACCTCACTTCTGCCCAAAGATTTTCTTCTTTTACCCAGCCACTGTGGGTGGCTCCCAACAGAACATTAAAAGGTGGTGGTAGGATTTTCTGGAGATTTGTAATCTTGTGAAAGAAGCTTTTCTGTCTGGATAGACCAAAGGCAGGAGCTGGACAGTGGCAGAACTCTAAAAATCAAATAGCGGTGGGTTGAGGGTTTTGGTGGCACCTCAAAGGAGTGTTGGGTAGAGTTGGGAGAGAAATTTGATTTAAAAAATATTTATATATATACTTTTCAAATATTCATTAATTTTACAATCATTTTAACATTTCAAAGTCTGTATTCCTTTCCCCTCTTTCTGCGGTTCCTTAAATTTATTTTTTAATATCTTCTGCATATCCAAATTCATTTAATTTGCTCATTTAATTATCTACTTTAAATATATACTGTACTCTTATGAAACTGCAGGTTATTACAATAATCCTGCCGGTGTTTATATCTGTTTGCAATTTATCTGCAAATGTTCAATAAACCATTTCCATTCTTTTATAAAAAGTTTGTTATCTTGATTTCTTATTCTTGATTTCAGGAAATCGAGAGAAATTTGATTCAGTTTGCATTTTAACGTGCCAAATTTGCATTTTCTGAAATAATATGCCACCTGAAACATAGCTCTCGTTTGAGATTTGCAAATACCTGACAAATACCTCCAGACAAATAGTGCATAAAAATGCACAAAGTGTGCATATAAATGCATTTATTAGTGAAAACAATGTACCATGTAGTCGTCCAGAGAAATAGATCCATTACATTTTTGGGAGCGAGGTTCCTATGCCAGCATCCTGCGAACTCAGCTCTCCAACAGGGAAGGCTGACTTTGGCTTATTGCCTTGCAAAGTTCTAGTGTGAATTGCCACCTAAGTAGCTAAAGGATGAGTTTTATGGGTCCATTCTGCAGCACCTGCTGTTGTCCAAATGGTGCCATGGCATAGATACAAAGACAAGGACCAAACAGGATTCAAAACCTCAAGAAGAGGGGGCAAGGAAGGCAAGGCAAATCTTTTGCTTTTCGTTAAATTGGCAATTTACAGATGGTGGAGACTGGGGCAAATTGGTTGAGAGAAGGGAGTGTCTCTGTGAGGAAATCTGAAATAGTTTTAGGATGGAGGTGGGCTCCAGATGTGATCCATCACCATCATCCCTGATAGCTAGCCATCCTGGAGAGGCAGGTTTCCAGAGCTGTTTTAGGAGATACAAGGCAGATAGTGACAATGGCAACAGTGCAGGGATGAGGGGGGAATTTACTATTTTGTGCCTCTGTGAATCATGGCTGTCTAATGAGGGTTAAACATTCATTATTTTTAAAAACTCATTTTCAATTTTATCTTTACTATGATATGCCATATCTGCTTGTGCATCATGATTATGAAACTGGTTTTTAAAAAACCAACAGACAAGAAGCCGTTAGACAAGAGAGCCAGTGTGGTGTAGTGGTTAAGAGCGATAGACTCATAATCTGGGGAACCGGGTTCGCTTCCCCGCTCCTCCACATGCAGCTGCTGGGTGACCTTGGGCTAGTCACACTTCTTGAAGTCTCTCAGCCCCACTCACCTCACAGAGTGTTTGTTGTGGGGGAGGAAGGGAAAGGAAAATGTTAGCCGCTTTGAGACTCCTTCGGATAGTGATAAAGCGGGATATGAAATCCAAACTCCTCCTCCTCCTTCTTCTTCTTCTTCTTCTTCTTCTTCTTCTTCTTCTATCTGAAATCCTGCTACAAGCAATCACCAACCAGCATTTTAAAAAGTTGTCCTTCTCTAGTGGTGGTTGTTTCTCTACTAAATACCATCTCTCTTTCTCTCTGTTATCACAACAGAAAAGTAAGCACTTAGAAACATGGCTGGGAAACCAAAGCTTTACTACATCAATGGAAGAGGCCGGATGGAAACCATAAGGTGGCTGTTGGCTGCAGCTGGGGTCGAGGTTTGTCTTCAGAATTTAAACTCACCATTTATTTAAGGCTGTAAATATAACCGCATATTTGAAGGACATCCCTCTCTGCCCCCACAAGAAAAAGAATATGGGGAAATGTAGCTTGTTCAAGGCTGTTATGTGCATACATAAATGAGGGTGTTGAGAATTGTAGCTCTGTGGGGATAAACCAGATCTCCCAGGATTCCTTGGGAGAAGTCATGTGCTTTCAAAGTGCTTTGAAGGCATGCAGACTAGGAATCCATTTCAAGCAGTTGGGTCCAGTCCTACCATATGGCAGAGTGAGGCACCTGCCTCAGGTGACTGATTTTAATTATCCTGGAAGAGTAGCAAATTGTCGCATTTACAGTGTTTTCATTCACTATTGTTGTACCTTTATTGTCAGGGACTGGGATTTTCTGCGTCATGTGCCAAAATAAATTGACTTGTGCAGGGGAACCATTTGCTGTTCTGTCTCAGACAGAGAAAAGTCTTGGGCTGGCCTTGCTTTCACACCAAGACATCCATTTTGTGACTTCACTGCTTTCAGACTCACACCACTTTTAATATCATATCCCCACTTCAATCATCAATGACATTAGCAGTGGAATTAATATTGTCCCCGCCCTTATAATCCCCTCCCTTGCTTTGTGGCACTTTCCTGTCTCGTATTGCTTTCCCAAAAAATTGACAACAGAAGAGGAGATTACTTAGGGGGTTTCCATGAAATTTCCTCCAGTGCTTGAAAAACTCTGGGCCATTTATTGCAGCTGAAATTATTTCATGAGACCCTTGAAATCTTCTGCCTCTTTTATTTTCTAGTTTGAAGAACAATTTATTGAGTCAAACGAAGATCTGGAAAAGTTAAGGAAGGGTGAGTATGACATCTGAATATCTCAGGTTACTTTAGAGGATAATCACACAGACACCAAGATTACACGGAAGTTAAAAGAGCAAGTTTATAGTCTAGATGGATTCCCTGTACAATATGAAGAATAGACAATCTACTCTGAAGAGTCACTGCAATTCTACATATACCTCCTCACATGTGGGCCACATTGAGTTCAGTGGGACTATCTTCCAGTCTTAATCATAGGTGTTTTCAAAGTTCTCCAGTTCTTCATTGTGCCCTTAATCTCAGTTACCTGTGCACGATTTTCGGCAAGAATATGTGTGAATTCACAGTTGTTATCTGGTTGTATTGCCTTTAACTCTGTCCTTTGAAAGAGAAGAGAGTTTCCTAGCAATAGACAGCAACCTTCGACACATGATATTCAACACTGCATTTTGCAGGGCTTGTTTTTAGCTAGAGAGCAGATTTAGCATATACACACAAAACTAGTTTTCTACTGTGTGTTTGCTGTACAGGTTTAGCACATTTCTGCAAAAGCATTCTTCACTATACGAAAAAAAGCAGAGGCAAACTTTATGATCAGAAAGGAACAATGGAGAAGTACCTAAATACTCAGATTCAAAGCTGTTCCTGAAAATTCACATGTTCTTGTAATTAATTGGGAGAATGAAATGACACTTTTCATCTTCCTTTGAAAAGCTGGAGTCCTGCTCTTTCAACAAGCGCCCATGGTGGAAATTGATGGGATGAAGATGGTGCAGACGCGAGCTATTCTCAACTACATTGCAACCAAATACAATCTCTATGGGAAGGATGTGAAGCAGAGAGCATTGTACTGTAACATTTCTATAAGTTTTGTTATTAATGCATGATCCAAGAAGAAATCTCTAGTCTGTGATATAATCTGCTGACAAGCTATGAGTCAGCACATTTCAACTCCCTGTGACTGCCAACTAAAACAAAAAAGGTTCAAGATTGAGCAATGTGAGCTAATAGAACCTCTCAGTTTCCCAACTAGTTCATGTGCACTGGTTCATTTGAAATCAAGGTGGTTGCTCCAAAGTTCATGCCCTAGACATTCATTTAATCTCAATAGATTGGATCACTGGAGGTCAATACACCTTTCCCATTCCCCCCCCCCCTTTTCACTTATATAATTCTGATTTTTAATATGATTTGCTTTAAAAAAAGTGTAACTGAAGGTCTCTATGACTGATCAGCAAACCATACAGTTTTTTGTTCATTGTGCATATTTATGCCCCTGAAAATAGGGGCATTTCCTGCCAATGTGTTTTTTTCTATCAGACAAATGATATTACTCAGAAAGCACTTTTATTATGGTGTATGAGAGAGAGACTGAGACTGAGAGACACTGAGAGAGAAAAAGGCTCTTTCAAAGGAAGAAATACCTTCTCCAAAATATAGAAGCATTGTCCCTGTTTTTCTACTGAGATGACACAATTCTCCCCTCTCCCTCTTGTGTTGGTTCTGTTTGTCTTACCATTGTGTTGTTGTTGTTGATGATGTTGTTGTTTTTGTTGTTATATCCATTTGTCCAGTGCCCATGTGTGCTGTTTTCTGAAAAGAGTATAGTTTAAAGGGCTTTCCTCAGAGAGCAAGGTAAAAGAGGCTTTGGCATGGAAAGCCCCATACAAATAGGAATTAGTTGCCACAAGACTCTAGATCTGTGCGGCTAATTTTCACAATCCCACTCTGTCCTACATTTGTGGTTTTACTCCTGCTTCCATTAGCCCCAGCCAGCATGGCCTAAGGTCAGGGGTGATGGAAGTAGGAACCGAAGAAACCTCTGGAGGTAAACAGCTTCTCTATCCCTGTTACAGAGGGGCAACAGGTCTAGCACACAGGGATATCCGTATGATTTTTATTATGGAGTTATTTGAGTTGTTCTTTAAAGCCCACCCTTCAGCCAAAAAAACATTCCTGGAGCAGCTTAAAAATCACTTTGAAAAGACACCCCCCTCCACACACACATACCTCAAGCTTCTCATCTGAAAAGAAATGACATGAAAGGAACATGAATCAGGTGTGAGGAGGAAATAAGCAAATTGAGGTTCAAGTTCCTCGCTGCCGTCTTTCTTTGTGGGTGAGGTGCTCTGAATTGTTGAAGTGGCTACACAAATTTAGTTTTTTTCTTTTTTTAAAAAATATTATTGCCGATGTTGTTATTATTATCTGAGAGGAAGAAACACTTTCCCACTATTGACGCACGAGCTTTATTGGTTTCTGCGATTTTCAATGTACCACACCAAGTCCCATGGTCCCTGGCGATCCAGTCACAACAACATTTTCTTTCCCTCAGGATTGATATGTATTGTGAAGGTACTATGGATCTCTATGAACTGATGCTGATGCTTCCCTTCAAGCCAGCTGATACGAGGGAGAAGGAGTTTGCAAACATCATCGAAAAAGCCACCACCAGATATTTCCCAGCCTTCGAAAAGGTACGAGGCAAAGAAGGAACGGAACTTACAACCCCTTTTGAGAGAACAGAGTCACCTATGCTCAACTGTAGTTGGCACCTGGTAACGTTGACAGGACTGTCTGGTCCGTCAGAAATCGTTTTCTTAATTCTTCATTTTCCAAACGGCAACATTACATTTTAGACCATGTCCTGAGCTAAAAGGAAACATTTTAGTGGTGTGAGAGAAGAGTAAGCATAGCACACAGCATGTTAATACCCCAGCTTCTCATTTTTGGTGCAGTGGCTTTTCAGATGAAGTGTTGTTGTTTTTTTGGCACTCCTTACATCAGTACTGATCCAAATCCTCTTCATGTCATGATGCAATATTATCTGGGTGTGTGGTTTTCAAAAGTTGCCCAAATATATATTCTCCATTTTGTTTATGTACCTGAAGTACTTTTAAAACATTTCCCACTCTGTAGGTCCTCAAAGATCACAGGCAAAATTTCCTGGTTGGAAATCAGCTCAGCAAAGCAGATATTCAACTGCTTGAAGCCATTTTAATGGCAAAAGAGCTGAAGGCTGATATTCTCTCCCAATTCCCTCTTTTAAAGGTAAGCAACACAATTTCACAACTTATTATAAAGATAGAGAATGAACAGGTGTTGTTGTTGTTGTTGTTGTTGTATTTATGTATGTACAGTGGTACCTCAGGTTAAGTACTTAATTCATTCCGGAGGTCCGTTCTTAACCTGAAACTGTTCTTAACCTGAAGCACCACTTTAGCTAATGGGGCCTCCCGCTGCCGCCGCGCTGCCAGAGCCCGATTTCTGTTCTTATCCTGAAGCAAAGTTCTTAACCTGAAGCACTATTTCTGGGTTTGCAGAGTCTGTAACCTGAAGTGTATGTAACCTGAAGCGTATGTAACCCGAAGTACCACTGTATGTATGTATGTATGTATGTATGTATGTATTTATACATATCATACATACATACATACCCTGCCCATCTGGCTGGGTTTCCCCAGCCACTCTGTGTGGCTCCCAACAGAATATTTAAAACACAATAAAACATCAAATATTAAAAACTTCCCTAAAAAGGTACAGGTTCCTGGCTCTAGCAAGTTCTCATTAGCTGTGAAACCCTCCAGATCTTGCTGCACTGCAGCTCCCATCCACCCCGATCACTGGCCATGCTGGCTGGGGCTGATGGGAAATGTAGGCCGTCCATAACGGAAAGCTCATAGGTTCCCCACCTCTGTGCTAGAGCACACTATCCATACAAGAGTAGCAGAATAGCAAGGGGGTTGGAAGCAGCGACATACCATAGGGAACAATATGTCTACTAACTGCAATTGCCATTCGAGTCAAACTGCCCCAAAGCGAGACTCCATATTCCGTTTTCCAAGGTATACTCAGTACAGCACTGTAATTCTCTGGGGACCTTTGCTGGTATACAACAGATAGATTGTGCAGGTTCCCAGGCTTTAAAAATGTCTGTACGCATATAGTATATATGTGTGCACATGTGTTTTGGTGATTGAGCATGTAGCATCACATGGCAAAAGGCACACATCCTAAACGAGGACTTAGTAGTCTGATAGGAAGAGCAGCTCTGGAGCTCATAAGTATGGTGCCATTAATTCAACCGAACTAGTAGATCTATACTTGCACCCTGTAATGGGTTTAGGGGTTGCTCGTGCGTAAGTTGCCGCCACTCCTGGCTAGGTTACCTGGTTGAACCCTTTCTGACCGGACAGCCTCTAGCTTCGTGGCTGTCTCAGTCGCTGGCAGAATCCGTCAGTGGGCGTTTCTTGAACTTCTTCCAGCACAAAAGTTCTTTGACACCTAGTCTCCGCCTAGTCTCCCTGCGCGGAAGCCTTCTGCGCAGGGAGGGTGTGGGCAGCGGAGGACCCGTACTCTCTCCGCTGGTCTCCGGCGAAGAGTCTTGGAGCCTCCTCTCCGGTTCCCCCATCTGCCCCCCTTCTCCACTGGTGTTACGCTGATTTCCTTCCCCAGCGGACGGGCTGCCTCTCTCCCTACTGGGACCCTCTCCGGCATCCCTCTGGAGCCTTCCCTCCGCCTCTAGCTCCGATGGCAGTTCCCTGACACACCCCTTTCTGGATATCTTCAGCCTCCATATAAAGGAAAGTGGGAGGCCTCACAGATGAGAGCTCAGTATGCTTACTGAAGCATAAGCCGAGCTCTAGTATGGAGCTTTTATCCCCCTTTGCATACCTAAAACACCATTGTCTCTGAAACGTGACTTGGGTTTCCATCACACAAATAAGGCCCATATTCATTGAGAAGCCATTTGTGAATTTACTGTGGACTCTTAAAAGCAACTCAGAAGCCTGCAAATAGTGTTCAAATAGTGGCTTCCATCTTCAAAGGAGCAACCTTGAAATAACTGTGTTTTGTAGATAATAAAGTTTCTCATAAATAGTTTCAGTATCGATGATCAAGCTGTACTACCATCATGGTGAAAGATGATTCTTCAGGAATGCCACCATTTTTGCTATAAGACTTCTTTTCTCTTCTAAATGTTTTGCTGTTTCTCTTTTCAGGCTTTTGAAGTAAGAATCAGCAGCATCCCTACAGTTAAGAAATTTCTGCAGCCCGGGAGTCCAAGAAAACCACCATTAGAAGTTAAGGATGTGCCAGGGATCATGAAGATTTTCTACGGATAAACTGAAACAAAGCAAAATAATTTCACCTCATGGAAGGTACCTACAACTACACAAATTGGGGTGTAAATTCACGAAGCTACAGTGAGAACAACAAGAGTAAAAGATGGTAATATTGTGTGGCACTACACTGAAATGTAATAAAACATTCTACAGCTTTTATACTTTTGTGCAATGTTTTTCTTGAGTAGCCAATAACATGTCTGTCCAACCACCACTAGTTCCTGCTGGTGCTTTGCATAAAGGTAAAGGTAAAGGGACCCCTGAGCATTAGGTCGAATCGTGGCCGACTCTGGGGTTGCGGTGCTCATCTCGCTTTGCTGGCTGAGGGAGCTGGTGTACAGCTTCCAGGTCATGTGGCCAGCATGACTAAGCCGCTTCTGGCGAACCAGAGCAGCGCACGGAAATGCCGTTTACCTTCCCGTCGGAGCGGTACCTATTTATTTACTTGCACTTTGACGTGCTTTCGAACTGCTAGGTTGGCAGGAGCAGGGATCGAGCAACGGGAGCTCACCCTGTAATGGGGATTCGAACCACCGACCTTCTGATCGGCAAGTCCTAGGCTCTGTGGTTTAACCCACAGCACCACCCACGTCCCTGGTGCTTTGCATAAATGAAGCCAAATTTGACAATTCGGCAGCTAAACACTAAGCCAAATGGATATATAACAAGCAGGAATTAACAAGGTAACCCCTACCCAAAGACTGAGGCTGCCACCCTTTCCCCACATTTAATAAAGTCGGGCTTCCTTCTCCCATACATTTGGTTTTTTCAGTTGTGGGGAAGCTTTGCCTGATGAAACTTCTATTGAAGCCACAAGAACAATGATTTGGGTGGGGGGCAGGGAGAGAGTTGGCAACCAAGAGCAAAAGAGGAGACACTGGAGGGGGCAAGTGGTAGGGATTGCTTGCTAATGGATATAAGGGGCTCCACTGCCATGGGGAGCACCCACCGTTTCTGGAAGCTCCCCTCTCCTCAGCAACACAGAAGGAGCCACTGGGAAGGGCAACAGACCTGCCATTTTCCCCACTTGCCCTAAAAAATAAATTTGAAATCCCCCAGCGGAAGGGAATGTCCTCCAGAGCATATAAGGCCCTATGCATCTCAGGACCAGGCGACTTGAGAGACTGCCTTATTTCTTATACAGTGATACCTCGGGTTACATATGCTTCAGGTTACATACGCTTCAGGTTACAGACTCCGCTAGCCTAGAAATATTACCTCGGGTTAAGAACTTTGCTTCAGGATAAGAACAGTTTCAGGTTAAGAACGGACCTCCGGAACGAATTAAGTACTTAACCCGAGGTACCACTGTACACCCAAGAGATCACTGCAGTCTATGGGACAGTTTCTCCTGCAAAGGTCTCATAAGCTGCCTCTACAATAACTTGGAGTGGGGTTTTGAGTGTGGCCGCCTCTGTGCTGTGAAGTAGCATTCCTGTCGAAACCCGACAAGTGCTTTCTATCTGCGTATTTCTTTTTCCTGATAGGATTTCCCATCTGGATAAATGGGCCTCTTTTTTTACCATGAGCATTTGCTTTTTTTTCAGTCCTAAATGCATAGTATATGTGTTTTTAACTATTTATAATAATCTTATGTGTAAATTGCCTTGAGATGGTTGTTTAGAAGATTGCGGGGGACTCAATTATTATAATAACAACAACAACAATAAAAAATGGATAGTACTCCATGATAAGGGTTATAGGACGACAGGCATGGGAAAAAACTATTTTTACACACTTCTCTATAAATTCATGGTTTTGATAGGTTTCTGGTGGCCTTACACAATGCTTCCCCTCCCCCACAAAAAAAAAATGTTTAGGGGTACTCTCATTTTCCTACTCATCTTGAAATACTACCCCTCAATGAGGCCAAACTTAGATTCACAAAATGTTTAGGGATATGCATACCCCTGCGTCCCGTCCCCCCCCGAAAAAAGCACTGGCCTTATGACCTAGGGAGCCATTCATAGCAGCCAGCAGATCCGAGTTCTCTTTCTGTGTGTAACTGCCCAGATTAATGTCCAGAAGCAAAAAAAAAAAAAAAGGAGTGGTGAACAGCTTAAATGTTAAACCAACGGTTAAGATCTGCTGAGTTGTACTTACTCATAGTATCTCCAAGGTCAGAAAAGTTGATAATTAGTTTGTGCAATGGGTTTTGCAACTTTTTTTTTTTAAATAAAAAAGAACAGTTTGATAAAAAATAATAATAACTAACTAACATACACAGGCTAGATAGGGCCTGGCAGAGCACCCATTCATTCATTTATTTTTTTGTTTGCACAGCAAACAGAACATTCAGAAGATACAGTTTCCCTTTCAGCTCCACGCAAGGGAAAGTTTTATCTGCTGAATTTCTGCCTTTCATGCAATAGTCAAAGCCACAAAGTGTCTTTCAGGGGAAACCGTGGAAGCCATATTAGCAAAGCAAAAGAGGAAGAGCAACAGTGATGTAAATTATACTGATACCTCACCGCTACCCTCCTTCTCCTCTCTATTCTAGCTCCCAGCTCCATCCCTTCTCTTAAACATATTTTTGGTCAAACACAATCATTCATCACCAGCATTGCTGGCAGACCAGGAAAACCCCCAGCAAGGCTGTACTCTTGTGCCTTTAACAGTGCCTTGATCTGCATAAATTAGGAGGTGAGGCTTCTGGCAGTATGCAGATAAATATTACAGGAGTTTAGCTGTGCCTCCCTGCAATGTAAGGGACATAGATACAGGACCGGATTTAGGTTTGATGAGGCCCGAAGCTACTGAAGGTAATGGGGCCCTTTATATGTCCAGCTGTCCTCTGTCAACAACAAATTGCCGCTGTTTTTTGCTTTGAATATATGCTATACAGTGGTACCTTGGGTTACAGATGCTTCAGGTTACAGACACTTCAGGTTACAGACTCCGCTAACCCAGAAATAGTACCTTGGGTCAAGAACTTTGCTTCAGGATGAGAACAGAAATCGCGTGGCGGCGGCGGCGCAGCAGTGGGAGGCCCCATTAGCTAAAGTGGTACCTCAGGTTAAGAACAGTTTCAGGTTAAGAACAGACCTCCAAAACGAATTAAGTTCTTAACCTGAGGTACCACTGTATGGTAATTTATGGACCTAATAGTTATCTAAAGCCATTTGCACATAGCAAAAGATGTATTTTATCAAAGTAATTGTTGAAAAGTCTATGCAGAATGTAGGCACCCTATATATATAAATGATCAAACCAGTGATATTTTAGGGAGCAGGCTAGCAGGCGGGGCCCATTACTTATATCACAGGTGCCTACACAACACAAAACCCTGTTGCTGTATGGAGGTTTTATTTTATTTTATTTTTTATCTTATATTTTGGAAATGTACATCCATTTTCTCCCTTTAATTTTTTTTGGGGGGGCCCAAGAGAGTGGGGCCCTAAGCTATAGCTTGTTTAGCTTATACATAAATCAGGCACTGCATAGAGCTATGCAAGGGCATAGCATGGGTTGCCAGTGGGGGAGACACCTGGCTTGCCAGTAGTACATGTGAAAAGGATCTAGGGATCTGAGTGGACCACAAGCTTAATGTGAGTCCACAGGGTGACGCAGCAGCAAAGAAAGAGAATGCTATTCTAAGGCTGCATCAACAGAAGTACAGTGTCCAGATCAAGGGAAGTAACAGTCCCACTCCATTCTGCTCTATTCACACAGGTGGCGCTGTGGTCTAAACCACTGAGCCTCTTGGGCTTGCCGATCAGAAGGTCAGCGGTTCAAATCCCTGCAATGGGGTGAGCTCCTGTTGCTCGGTCCCAGCTCCTGCCAACCTAGTATTTTGAAAGCACATCAAAGTGCAAGTAGATAAATAGGTACCACTCCGGCGGGAAGGTAAACAGTGTTTCCATGCGCTGCTCTTGTTTCGGTGTTCCGTTGCCCCAGAAGCAGCTTAGCCATGCTGGCCACATGACCCAGAAAAACTGTCTGTGGACAAACGCCGGCTCCCTTGGCCCATAAAGCGAGATGAGCGCCGCAACCCCAGAGTCGTCTGCAACTGGACTTAACTGTCAGGGGTCTTTTCCCTTTCCCTTTCTATTCTGCCTTGGTCAGACCACACCTGGAATACTGTGTCCACAATTTAGGAAGGATGTTCACCAGCTGGAACATTTGCAGAGGGCAACCAAGAGGATCAAGGGTCTGGACCCTGAGCTTTATTAGGAATAGTTGAGGGAGTTGCATATGTTTTGCCCGGAAAAGAGGAAATGGAGAGGAAGTTGGATTTTCAAAACAGCCAAACACTGATTTCCTTGATTGACATGAGCATGTGTAAGAGCTGGAAGCGTCCCATGGCCCTCCAGACTGCAGTTTCAGCCAACCGCAGCCAGTATGTAAGCTGGCTACAGGCAGATAAGATTTTTAGATGATGACATCAAAGTAATTATCAGTTAAAAAGAGAGGAAGAGTCGGTTACTTTGTCTCCTGAGCATCTCTTTATATATTTTATGTGGAGTGACTGCCATCTTCTGGATCTTACCTGTCAGGCTGAAAGAAAAACAGACTTCACTTGTATGCCTTACTTCTGCTATTTTAATCCAAACTGGCATTTCCCTCTGTCTCCACAGTTTAATTTCCACAAAAGCATGCTGCTCATATTCACTCTGTAAGTCAAAATAAATCCAAGATCCCATTTAGAAATGGCCAATTTCTGCTTTCGGCAACATAGTGACTCAATGCTTGCTTGTGACATATATGACAACGATGTATTCATTATTTATGCTTGTTTACCTCAGGATCAAATCATTTAGTTTATTGGTCCTGTTTCTATGATTCTGTAATTTTTGTATATTGTTTCCCCCTCTTTATTTGTTTTTCATTACTTTGACCCCTGATCTGGGATTGAGAACATTCAACAAAGTGATCAATAAAGCTTTTACAACATATACCATGGTCTTGCTCCTTATCCTTTCATTTTGAAAATGTTGGTTAAATTTAAAACTTGGCAAAATAATGGAAGCAGTTCACAAGCAGTAATGTTGAGATAACAG